TTCTAAAATGTGATCCACTATCTTCTGTGCAGGCTCAAAGAGGTTCAAAACGGCATTTACTTTCAACTGAAAAAAAAAAACAGACATACTTTTGTTGTTATGTACATTTCGTTGTTCAATTATGTTTAAATATATTTTTGTTGTTCAAATATTTTCGATGTGTAAATGGAGTGTTACTTTCGTTATTAAAAATCTTACCTCGGTTTGAATTTTTACAGCCGTCAGAATTCCCGGTTTTGAAGAGTGGGAGTGCTCATTATTGTTGCGGTGTACGACTTCCCTTCCTGTCTGGTGACTACCGGACACGTCATCGGAGCGGATAGAAAAAAAACCGTGGGAGGAAAAGAATCCGTTGGCCTTATGTGGAAAAGCGAAGTGCTCACAGTAAAAACCACGTAGCTGGACCCGTAGATTATTTACATATTAAATGTGTCGTCCAATAAGTTCCATATTGTTAAAAATTAATTAAGAGTTCAAGACTTAAAATTTTAAAGGTCGTAGGCATTTCATTAGAGTTTTCCTTGCGTACGGCTCTCCACAGATAAAAAGTTACCTGAAAAGAAAAAGAAGAGCCAGCAGCAACAAAGACAAATTGAAGCATTTATAGGAATAAATAAATTTTTAAACACCGGTTAAATTAAATTGATTGATGTGATTGTTAATAATGGCTGTGTAGGTCCCTATTCCTTTATTTTGTCATTATTTTTCCTTAGTATATTAAATCATGCAGCAGGCTGAACCGCCATACTGTCCTACAACAATAGTTCCTTTCTTTGTAACTAGATATGTAGGACTAGATATGTAGTTCCCTATCTTAACGTTAATTTATTCTGATATTATTAAAGCATCCAGGTGGTTTAGAGGCTAACCTGGTCTACACAACCAGTTATCTTTCTTTGACTAGTGCTCTTTTAACGCAACTAACTTAATAGTTAATTCCCGATTATTCTATGAATATTGAGATAGCTTCATAAATTTTATGACATATTCGAGGGGGGGGGGGGAGAGTACATTTTGGAGGGTAAATTTAAGTTTGGCATTTTCCATTTCTTTTCCAATTTATTGCACGCAATGATGATGACATGATTAACGGTCAAATTGTGGCCACATTCGCACTTCACTGGATTAAATTTATGGTCGGTAATTAAATCCTTAGTTCTTAATCTTGTGATTAACCCACAAATTTTGCGCGATGCGTGATAAATCTCCGTCTTTACAACCAGATCGTTGTTTTAGATAAAGTATTTGCTCTGGCCAGCTCAATTTTCCGTTCTGATTTAATTTTAGTTTTGACGATGCTATTAAATTCCTGAACGCTATATTTTAAGTATTCAGTCTCGCAGAGGCTGAGTCTTTTGCGAGCCAGGTTGTCTGTGGACTCATTGCCTGCTATATGCCAACATGGGATGGTATCCATGTAAATTCTACGGTTTTATTTTTGTTTCGGAGGGAATAAACACTTGCTCGAATATTCTGAACAAGTTCTGGTCTAGGTGTTTTTGTCATGTATTATTGACTTTATGCTGCTAAGAGAGTCTGACACAATGACTGCTCTTTGAACGGTGGATGACACGAGCCACTCAAGAGCTGTGGATATTGTCTTTATTTCTGCTGTATAGATAGAGCATCCATCTGGTAGCCTTTTCGATATATTAAATAATAGGTGCTGTTCTTGTGAAGTAGGACGTTAAACTCCATTTCATTTGTTCTGTCTTTCAACGGTGAACGTATGCACATCACTTGACACCAACTTCCTCTTGCCACGCTGAGTGCCCTATCGACCACGTTATGTACAATATCAAAATTTTATTAAAACAACTGTAACAAAATGAAATGTTGTTTAATGGCACGTCAGCTCCAACCGGGCAAAAATTGCGCCAAACATATGGTGAATCTAACGAGACAAATTAAAACGATATCACATAAATGAATTGATATATGTAAATAAAAACAAATATCACAGAAAATAAGAATAAAAATAAATATTACAAATCTTTTACATATATAAATATTTAAAACAATATACATAATTAAATATATAATTAAAATTTAGAATAAAAGTTTGTCTCCTTTAAAAATGTTAGCACTTTATCATATAGCTCCGGTTGAGCAAATAGCTGACGTAGAGATTGGTAACGGTAGTATTTAGATCTAATATACTTGAGATGTTTGCACTCAATCAAGACGTGTTTTACTGTCAAAGGAACATGTCAGTGAACACTCTGGTTGAGGTTCTCGCTTCAAAATGAAAAGGTATGACCAATGCGAGAGCGACACAAAACAACTTCATCCCTCCTGCTGGTTCTACAGGAGCTTGGCCAGTCTCCTAAGAGAGGCTTAATGTGATGAAGTTTATTTGTGCCTGCAAGATCCCAAGACCGTTGCCAGTGGCCATAAATGAAATTATTTATAATAAATTTAAAATCTTTATATGGCGTTACAAATTCAGATATGGGAAGATCTAAAGCAGACTTGGCAGCCGAGTCTGCTTGATCATTCCCTTTGATATCCATATGACTGGGGAGCCAGCAAAGGAAAATGTCCTTGCTGATTAACTCGTTAGATAATAGCAGACTATAAATGTCTGCTATTAATGGGTGATCAAGCTGTTTATTGTTTATTGCTTGTAGTGAGGACAAAGAGTCAGTAAAAATTATATACTTTAAGTTAGATGATGATTGAATGAACTCCGATTCCTTAAGAATGACCTGGAGTTCAGCTGTAAAGATGGAAGCAGCAGGTGGAAGGCGGACAGATATGGTGACACGGTAGCCGAAGCTACCCGATCATCATCTTTTGAACCATCTGTGTAAATTGGAACATAATCACCATATTTACACCTTAGCTCTCGAAAGAGAATAAAAAAAACGTGGTGCTAGTATCTCTCTTTTTATGTCGCGTAAGATCGAAATCGATAGTTAGGGGAGATACAGCCCACGGTGGAGTCTCAAGGAGAGGGGTATTCGCAATACTGTCAAGGCTGATACCAGCCTCAGACAAAAGGGGTTGTATGCGAATACCGAATGATGGAATAAAATTAGTCTTCACCAGATATAAATGCTCATGTAGAGGTCTAAATATAGCGTTAAATTAAATATGATTTGGAAGTGATGCAATTTTCGTAGCATAGCGCAGGGCCAGTTTAACACGTCTGTTGTGCAGTGAGGGCTCATGCGCCTCGACGTATAAACTGTCCACTGGAGATGTGCGGAATGCTTCTATACTAATTCTAAGTCCCTGGTTGTGTATGGTGTCGAGCTCTTTGTGATATACTCGCGGGCAGACCCATACACAATACACCCATAATCGAGTTTAGATCTTATTAAAGCTCGATATAATCTGAGCAAGACCTTACGGTCTGCTCCCCAGTCAGTATTTGATAGGACGACAAGTGGATAGACCATGAAAGGGCGAATTTGCCACTAATCCGCTTCTGGATTAAATCATAATTAAAATTAACTCCGCCAACGCGAAGCGTTCTATTTACAAGTTTTCAGCCACAAGAGATCCCATGATTAAGGCCATTTTATACATTAACATCAAATTATTGTGAATAAAATTATATTGGCTACATTAGCCAGTAAATTTAACGTGTGACACGAATCATGTCCTTTAAATAACACCCAAGAATTAATTTGGCAGTAGCCTACAGTCATCAAGCCTGTTAGCTCGTTTTTAGAGCCTTTCAGGCTAACAAATATTGGTTTAGTTAGCTCTGTAAATGAGCCTTACATTTACCAAGATCAGGGTAGCTCTCCCGTGATTATAGTCTCGTAAAATGACAGCGTTTATATACCGTCTGCATGCACGTGCAGAATCAACAGCGACACCAAGGGGCAAAATCATACAGGTGCTGATTGGCCGTACGAGAAAATGTTTGTTTATAATTCCGAAAAATCCGAGGATTATTCGTTGACTTCTGTTGTTCGGGACGGCGAACCGGGAGTGTCATTTGTAAACACGTCCGAGTCATCTTTTAGTTTGGTCCGAGTGGTCTATTAATTGGTCCGAGTGGTCTTGATCCGAGTGCAATCTGTTTCACAGAGAATTACGAGTCTAGTAATATCTCTGTCAAAGATGACTGCCTTAACACGTGCCGTTACAGCACGCGGCGTCAATCATTGGCTGAATGGCGCGTGCATTGTTTACATAAGACGTTACTGCTTCGGGCGGAATTCTGTCTTTTAGTCATTTTAATACCCATTTACACTAAAAAGGAACTAATTTTTGCCTACAAATACGTCAAACGCCTTTATTTATTTTTCCAATACATAAAAAAAATGTTTTAGAATTTAATTAGTCGCAGGAAAAAAGTTAATATTTCTGGCTCATTAAGTCGCATCGATGTCATCCTTATCAGTGATTGTAGCGGCCTAGCAAAAATTCACTGCTGATCGGTGTGGTCCGAGTGGCCATGGAACCAAAAATTGCTGTCCGTCTTCAGCAGACTGGACTTTATGTTTCCATACCAATCATAAGGGGGATAACGTGGCTAAGTGGGTAAGACGCTGGCTCGCTAGCCTGGGGGTCGGGTGTTCGATCCCTGCATTGGCCGAGAAAGTTCATCCTAGATTTTCCAGCGTGCACGTAAAAGATTCGATATAAGAGTAGGCTGTAGTGTCGATGTCCGGGCAAAATTTCCCTCATAGCACACTGTATGGCTTATGCCCGTCTTCATTAGCCCAGTTCGGAGCAGAACAGTAGGACGTTAAACCCATTTCATTTCATTTCATTTATACCAATCATAAGGTTTGATTCTCATATAGTGCTTTATTCTGTGTCACTTAATTCTATTTCCCCCAATTCAGTGGGGTTTAAGTTCCGTTTTCACCTCGGGTGATATCGCAGACTAGTTTTAATTCACTGTCGGTTATCCGAAGCAAAAATCTTCATTTATGCATCTTTCGAGTCGGTTTAGTCCATGTCAAAAATGAATATATTCTTCATACCGGAAGTGCCCAATCATTTGTTCTTTTAATAGACTATTCCCAAATTTTAACCAACCATCGACTGAGTTTATTGACTGGAAATCCTAACTGTACTTAGGGGTAATTGTTTTAATGAGGAGATCATCTCGACTGCTCTTGTAAAATGGTGAGATAATTTTATTAATTCATTGAATTCTCGATTCTAAAAGATTACTGTCTTTATTGCATGATTTAGAAATTGTTATTTTGTAATTATAAATCATCTTGCACTACGTCCATTAAACATGCAAAGTCTTCTTTGTCTTTCGGATTTGATTATTTTTTGCTAGGTCTAATGTTTCGAGAAATTTTATTTATCCATTAATTAAATTTCTGGTTCCCCCTTGTCAGTGATGCAGGACAGATGGCCTGACAAGGACAGCTGTCTAGTCATTCGGAAGGGATGAAAAACCGCCCTTGTACACATTGGCGTGCACATAAAAGATCCCTTGACAGTTGGAATTCCATATAAGAGTAGGCCGTAGTACCACAACTGTCCTTGCAAAATTTACCTCCAAGCACACTGTATGGCGTATACCCGTCTTCATTAGCCCAGTTTAGAGCAGAACAGTAAGACGTTAAACCCCATTTCATTTCTTTTCGTTTGTGGGGGTTTTATATGTATATATGGTGTTCTCTTTCGGCCACTTCCCGTGTTGTTTTTTTTTTCAATGTTAAGCTATATTTCAGTGAATAGAGAGGGTAGAATTATAATTTTTCCAAGGTATATTATAGGGTTTCTCGATAAAATGGAGAGTTTAAGGGGAAACAAACATAAAAATGTTTACATATAAGTTGATTTAATAAATAGTTATTTAGATTAAACATGCATTATGCAAGAGCTAAATCTGCCTATTGTAGGTCTTTCTTTAGGCCTGAAATGTTATCTAAATTATTAATTAAACATTAATTAACTGATCCCAGGCCACAATCAACTCTCGATGGCATCGGATTTCTCCGATTTTAAATAGATTGGAACGGGTTCAGCCATATCTTGATTAATTTAAAAATGGACGGGCTAGACATAGCTTCGAACAACCAGTACGGTAGTTGCAATTATCGCACACGTATTGTCAAACCTTCTAAGGCTAATATCTTCACTCACAATAGAGAAATTTGAATGAAATTTTCAAATAATTCATTTTTCATTATCTATTATCGAACTATTATAACAAGAATGGCCAACTCTTTATTAAACTCTTAACTAATGTATCTTTAGATTAAGTTTTAAAAGTATAAAAAATGGTATTTTAAACTTCCTTTAATCATGAAAAATCAACTGAGCGCAGGCACTGAACAAAACAGTTACAGTATGCAAGGGGTGGGATCGTCACTGAAACTTTTGCACTGGGGCGCCACAAAGCCTTGTGAGGGCCCTGCTAGTTGCTGACTTTTGTTCCCATATAATTCATTCAATGATTATATGGGGGGTTGGATGGCTGAAAAGTTAGCACATGCGCGCTGTATCATAAAGTTTGTCATTGAGTCAACTGGCGTGGTTTCGAATCCCCGGTTGTACATGACAAGGAGTAGGGTCGCCTGTCCAACCTCGTGGGTTTTCTCCGGGTCCTCCGGTTTCCTCCCACTGCTAAAGACCCATATGCGCAAGCGAATTATTGAAATAAAATTAAACCATAAGTTAGTCCCGAAATGACCTAGTTTGTGTCAAGTGGACGTTAAACCCCATTTCTCTCTCTCTCTCAATTATTATAGACTGTGTGTCCTGGTTAACTAGTACACAAGTACGGTATATGTAATATTGAATTCTTTCAACATCGGTCTTAATCTGATTTCTTCAGGGTTGCTCATATATTTGTTGTAGAATATCCCAAAAAATTATATTCTTGTATTATTAAATTCTGTCTGTAAAAATGTCAAGGAATGTTCATACTGTAAGTAATACAAAACTTGAGCACCTATATAAAACAACTGTTGTACATGTAGATAACAGAAACCATACCCACATCGTTATCAGTACCCTATCATTGTTTGTTCAACGATGGTGTGTTACTTTATCAGCAGAGTGCACAAGGTCATTCTTTCACACTAGAGTTTAAAAATGTTAAGTTTAGAACAGATATAAAATATAACATATTATCTGGATATTATAGAATTGTCTTGTTACATGTATCTGAAGGATATTATATTATTGGCAGTTCCTTTATTTAAACAAGCATCATGCAAAAGATAAGTCTGCCTATTGCAGGGCATTCTTTGGGCCTGAAATGTTATATAAACTATTAGACATTTATTACCATGAAAAGACCATAATCAACTCTCGATGTCATCGCTAGCCAGCGATATTTACTGGATTAGGATCTGATTTGCTGCTCAACATTCATTCATGATTAAATCATGAAATGGATAATCGACACTGTTTTTTATCGTACAGACTTAGGTAATTATGATCGAGGCTGGGCCGAAAATTCAAGCGCTAAATTCTCAGTTCAGAGTGGATCAATTTGACTGAAATTTTCATAAAATACCCTTTACATTATGTAGTTTTTAACTATTATAGTGAGAACTGCCAGCTCTTTATCTAATCTCCCATAAAGTACCTTTAACCATAGTGAGAACTGTCAGCTCTTTATCTAATCTCCCATAATGTACTTCTAAGATAAGTTTTGTAAAACCAAATCCACATTTTAAAATCAGACTATTTATTCGTCAATGAATGTTTAGCACACACACACATTGTACAACAGGTCATTGGCATGCTGTCGTTCATTTATCTCATTGACGATGAAAGAGTACACGATTAATTCCAATGAACAAATAAAAAAGTCAAACTATTTTTTTATACAGGTCACCAACAGGTAGCATAAGCCGGTTGAATCAAAGTGTTCAATTAGGCCGACAACTGTCAGATTTTGGACTGACGTTCAATTTACATGTATGGTAGATTGTTCGTGTAATTCACTGATCATAATTGATTAGAAATTAAAATAAAAAATTAAAAATAATTTTATACCCAAATTTATGGAAGTACATGTATATTTGATTCAAAATTCTAATATGCTGTCGTCTAATTTCTAACTTCTATTCATGTAATTTCTAACTTCTATTCATGTTATTTCTAAATTAAGACAATGTATAATTCAACTTCTTTATTTGTTCAGTGTAAATTTTTATTCTGTTTCATCTTATTTCTATTATTAAGACAAAAAATATCTACAGTACTTCATTGTCGCTAAATTCAATCGCTAAATTCTCGGTTCAGAGTGGATCAATTTGACTGATTTTTTTCAGCAAGTTCCCTTTACTTTATCTAGTTTTTAACTATTATAGTGAGAACTGCCAGCTCTTTATCTAATCTCCCATAATTTATCTTTAATATTGATAGCCTAACTTTCATAAATTACAGGAAACTAATGGTGTTACAACTTTTATATGTTACAGCAAACTAATGATGTTATAACTTTTGTATGTTACAGGAAATTAATTACGGGAAACTAATAATGTTATAAATTTTATATTACAGGAAACTAATGATGTTAAGACTTTCCATCAGTGTGTTGTATGTGATGAGATTTTTCAACAATATGATGATTTAGAACAACACAATAAAATACATGTTAAAGAAGAGAAAACTGATGATGCAGATGTACATGTACATTGTCAGGTTAAAGAAGAGAAAACTGAAGATATTGAAGCTGTTTATCAGTGTAATTTATGTGATGAAGAATTTAAATCTGACACTGATTTAGAAAAACATTGTAAAACACACAAAGCAGAAGAGAATTGTTTACAAAGATTTCAAGAGGAAAACGAGTTACAAGACCAGATATGTTTTAAATGTGATGTTTGCGGCTCAACATTTAATTCACAAAGTCAGTTTCAGAATCATTTAAGAACACATTCTGCAGAAAAACCTCATAAATGTGATGTTTGTGGTAAAACATTTAATCAAAGAGGCTCTCTTGAGATGCACATGAGAATACATACAGGTGAAAGACCCTTTAAATGCGATATTTGTGGGAAATCGTTCAAACAGAAAGGATATATTGAGCGGCATATGAGAATTCATACAGGTGAACGACCTTATGAGTGTGGAGAATGTGGGAAAACCTTCGGTGATGCAAGAAATGTACAGCAACACATGAGAACGCATACAGGGGAAAAACCCTTTAGATGTGATGTTTGTGGTAAATCATATTCTCAGACTTGTAGTCTACGAACACACATGAAGCTTCACACAGGGGAAAAACCCTTCAAGTGTGAGGTCTGTGGTAAATCGTTCACTCAGAATGGCCATCTGCAGAAACATGTGACAATTCATACCGACAAAACTTTTAAATGTGGTGTTTGTAGTAAATCATTCACTGAGGATTTTAATCTCGAAGTACACATGAGAACGCATACCGGTGAAAAACCCTTCAGATGTGATGTTTGTAGTCAATCATTTACTCTGAGTTGTCATCTACAAAACCACATGAGAATTCACTCTGTAGTAGAAAAAAACCTTGAAGGTGATGTTAATAGAAAAACCCCTAAAGAAGACAAACTTTTTAAATGTGATATTTGTGGTAAATATTACAAAAGGAAAAGTTCCCTTGAGGTGCACAGAACCATTCATACTGTAGACATATTAAAGCCTTTTGAATGTGATGTTTGTGATAAATCATTTTCCTTTATGTCTAATCTGTATAGACATCTGAAAATTCACTCTAAAATATAACATATTACAATTTAATCCTTATACGGCATTTAGTGATTATTTATTATTATTATTATTATATTACAATGTCATGCCAGTGAAAAAACATTTTAACGTGATGTTTCTCGTAAATCAATTACTACTACTTCAAAACTCTGCCGCCCGTTTAGTCACCTGCACTAGATTTCACAAACACATCACCCCTATCTTGCATGAACTCCATTGGCTTCCTGTCTGTCAACGTATAAAATCAAAATTATGATATTAATTTATAAATATCTTCATACCCAAGCACCTCTCTATCTTTCAGAATTAATCACCACTTGGTTTCCACAGAGGTCCACCGGGCAGGCTATGATCGAAAGAGGAGGGGTTAGGCTAAATGACGGGTGTGACTTCTACGGATCCCTCTTTTTTCCTATCGCCACACCCACCCTCTCGAACGATCTGCTCCTAACATCCGCACAATAGACCCATTAGCATATTTTAAAAGTTCCCAACAAAATTTACTTTTTAAAGAATACTATTCCTCAAATTTTTAAACTTGAAGTATTTTTATAGCTTTTTAGTTTTTTTGTTGTTCTATATTTTGTGTTAATTCTGTAAAGTCCGTTGATATGTACATGGGACTGACTTTAAACAATAAATTATTATTATTATTATTATGTCTAATCTGTATAGACATGCGAAACTTTACACTAAAATATGGCATGAATTCAGGCCAGTGAGAAACATTTAAATGTGATGTTTGTGTTAAATCATTTTCTAGATTCATTAGATTAGGCGCACGTTTTTTCACCAGGGGGGTTGAATGGCCGAATGGTTAGCATGTGCGCGCTGTATCTGTCATTGAGTTAACTAGCATGGTTTCGATTCCCTGGTTTGGTTATACATGACAAGGAGTAGGGTCGCCTGTCCAACCTTGTGGGTTTTCTCCAGGTCCTCCAGTTTCCTCCCACTGCTAAAGACCTCTACGCGCAAGCGAATTATTGACATAAAAAAAATAAACTGTATGTTAGTCATTGACATAAAATGAAATTATCTAGTTCTGGTAGCCATTCTGAATACATGTAAATATTGTTTATGATTGATGGAAGGTTCATTGGTATTTTGTGTACACTGCAGTGTTTTCATTGATTAAAACTTTGTTATTTAATAGTTTTAACATCTAACCATTTAAGTTACAGTACCAAATGTTTTCATGCAACATGGTTTCACTGATTGATCCATTGTTATAATTTACCCCAAAAATTTTATGTTACCAAATTAATTCCTTCAGTAAAGAGTTAAATCATGAGTGGCTGATCACATGTGATTTTTTCTACAGTTATCAATTCATTTGTTTATTATCAATACATGTACCTAATCATTTATCACAGCTAATTACTCATGATTTTAACAGCATGTTATAGACGGCCTTATTTGTTTTGGGCGGAACTTTAACTACACTTTGAATACAAATCCCTGAATTGGTAAATTAATATTTAAAGTTAAATTGGAGCAAATTCTTTCATAATGTTTCAATATAATTAAACATGCATTATGCAAGAGCTAAATCTGCCTATTGTAGGTCATTTTTTAGGCCTAAAATATTATCTAAATTATTAGTTAGACATTAATTAACTAATCCAGGCCATAATCAACCCTCGATGCCATCATTAGCCTGCCATCCTTACTGGATTTGAATACATTTTGTGATTGAGAATTTTATGTAAAAATGGATAATCAAGACTTTGTTAACTATAGAACCAACGTTAGTAATGGTGATCGAGGCTAGCCTATTGCAGGTCTTTTTTTTTAGGCCTGAAATATTATCAAAATTATTAATTAGACATTAATTAACTGATCCACACCATAATCAACCCTCGATGCCATTGTTAGCCTATGATCTTAAGTGGATTTGAATACATTTTGTGAATGGATAATTGAGACTTTGTAAATTATATCACCAACGTTAGTTGTCTCATTAGATTCACCATATGTTTGGCGCAATATAGCCCGGTTGGAGCTGACGTGCCATTAAACAACATTTCATTTCATTTCATTTCATTTCACCAACGTTAGTAATAATGATCAAGGCTAGCGAAAATTGAATCGTTAATATCTTGGTTCAGAGTGAAGCTATTTGGCTGAAATTTTCAGCATTTTCTGTTTTCATTATCTTTTATTTTAATTATTATACATGAGAACTGTTAGCTCTTTATCTGATTTTACCTAATGCCCCATTAATGCAATAAAATATATAGAGTTTGATATGTCATTAATATATATTTATATATATATATATATATAAAGTTTGAGAGGGCAAAATAATGGTTACAGTTTGACCCAGGTAGTGGAACTACATTTAGCTGGTGGATTTGGGACACGTATGGTACAGCACATTTTACAAGGGGCTGTAGAAAGGTGCTCCTAAACCATGCACTTTTATTAATACAAAACACTATTGTTTTCGCAAGAGTTTTTATTTATTTTATTTTTCGGGAAGGGCAGGGGGGATTTTAGTCAGAAGTTGCAGCCAAAACTGTGCATGTTGCAAACATTCTGCCAACGTACATGTAGATATTGTTGGTCTCCGTGGAACTACCTGTATTTATGAAATATGAGTTGGGTCGTTTTTGACAAACAGGATGTTTTTTACGGATGGGACAAAAAATAATCACAGATTGCTTATATCTTGGTTATTTGTCAACAGATCTTCATCAGGTTTTTCATTTTTGTATTCTTTGGGCGAATCCCATAGGGGCTCTGACTGACGTTTTTTTGAAATTCGGAAGTTCGCTCTATTACTTTGTGATTGTCTTCTTCAGCATTTATTCGACATTCAAGAAGGCATATCTCAGTATTTGAGGTATCACTTTGAAACTTGTTAGGAATAAGAAACACCTTTATGCCCTCAAAATTGCATATAGACTGGAGGCTCAGATAAGGGGTGGTGTAGGGGGGCATCAAATGGTCACAAAACCAGATTCAACTTTTCTATTGTAAAATTTACGTAGAATATGTTGCCGAGTTGTAATCAAACCGCCGTTGGGGTGTTTTCGAGATATTCGAGGTCAAAGGTCAAATTAGGTCATTTACACTGAAAGTGAATGCGCAGCCATTCTCATATCTTGCAAACATGCTGAAAATGATCGAAACTATTCACTCATTCAATAAAAATGTAAACTTGCTAAATTCACCTTTGTTCTTTGTGACCCCGGAGGTCAAATGGTCAAATCAATTTATATTTACGCATGGTTGTTGTATGCATGTATTTTTATTGTAATGATTGTCGAGATAATTATTTAAATAAGAAAGTGATAGTATCTTTATTGTAATAATTATATATTTATAATTTCCAGTGTACTGTAATGTTATTCATGTGAAATAAAACACATTTTCCCATCAGAGCGGATTTTGTTTTTATATAGGCCCACATTTTCATGTGGACGTATTATGCCGTCGCCTCTATCCGTCCATCTGTCCGCAATTTGTTTGTGGGCACACTACAGGTCACAATTTTTATCCGATTTTGACGAAAATTGAAAGATCTTGGTTCCTTTCGATATTGGCAGGTATGGCCCATAACTTCTGGATAACGGTCCCTGATTGTTCGAAAAATCACGTTTTTAACTTGTGGACACAATTTTGATAAACCTTGAAATGCATGTTTATAACCCAAAGATCTTGGTTCCTTTCGATATTTGCGCATATCGGATCATAACTTCTTGCATTATAGCCCTTGATTGTACGAAAAATCGTGTTTTAGCTTGTTGTCCATCTAGTGGTTACATTTTTATCCGATTTAAGAAAACGTTTGAATATATCACCGTTACAAGATAATGATGGTTGAGTTCGAATTTCATGAGAATCGGACCAAAACTGCCAGACAAAATGGCCACCACTCGCACGCAAATAGTGTAAATATATGGTATATCAAGGTTGTGGACCCTGAGATGACACAATTTTGATGAAACTTCAAATACATGTTTATTACCCAAAGATCTTGGTTCCTTGTGATATTCACGTATATATGGGATCGTAACTTCTTGAATTATGGCCCTAGATTGTACGAAGAATCATGTTTTTAGCTTTTGATCCCGCCCTTACTTTTGGGTAATCTGACTTTTCGGGCAGATGAGTAACGTGAAAACAAAATTTTTATTTCATCTAGTTGGCAAAATAAAGTGCCGGAAATCTAACAAAACACCAATTTTACTTTCTTTTAATTGAATACCAGGAATTTGTACCTAATTGATTATGGATTAAAACATTTTGTCTGGAGTCCCTCTACTTTGTACGACATTTTTGGGCATTGATTCTTATCTGTGAATGCAGCTGCAACAGTCTAGTCTAGAATTCAGGCCGGTCTGGGATTTCGGTTACAAAACCATTGGACAATTTTGGAGTTGTTTAACTCTCGGGCTAGAATACATGTAGCTGGAAAAAGCATTTGTGGTGATTACATTTTCAAAATTTTCTCCAGGGGGGATGAGGCTCTGATACGATTGATTGGGATTGCTATATTGCACCACATTGAAGTTACTATATTCACAGACTGGAGCAGGAAAACGCTTTGCGCCAAATAAATTTTTAAAATTTTCTCTGGACAATCTCATCTCCATGAACTTTAAACGATTGATTGGTTGATTGGAATTTGAGTCAGCCACCTCAATTCATTTTCCTGAAGCAACGATTGCAAATTTTACAACATCTAGACGTTGCTAGACTGACCTGCAATTCACAAACTTATAGCTACATTATCTTCCTTTAACATGAACGGCGTTGTGACACAAACACACTCAAATTAAAAATGGTGACCTCCACGGAAACCGAACAAACCTTTAACTTTGCAACTCAATCATAACATTTAAGCTGGAATTTATAGGCTCCCCACCTGGGACAGTGGCCAATTGAAATTAGTGCCGAAATATGCAGGGTATTGCGTGAAGGGCTTGATATGATGTACAGCATGAAAGGGAGATCAAGCCTTCTATATATTAGACCAATTTGAAGTTGCTATATTCACGGGCTGGAATTCACACTATAAAAAAAAACTATATAATACTTTATTTTTTCCTTTAGAAATTTTATCATGAATCTGTGGGAAAAATTATGGGATTTGTACTACAGAAACTAGAATATTTGGGTCCATTATTTCCTACAGGCCCCCTAAATTCTGTAGAATACTACAGAATATCATCCTATAGAAAATGGAATAGCCCAACCCTCTAGAATGTTCTATAGAAAATTACACTGGTCATCTATGATTTTTTGCTATGGGTATACTTCGATTGACAGCCGACTAATACCATTGTGAAACAGATAACGGAGCCCAACACGTCGTTAAATAAAATGGCAAGTTAACGACATGTTAAAGTTAATGGGGCTTCCAGCAACAAACTTTCTCTCCGTTAAAGATAACGATCCATGAACTCCATGTTAACAAGTTGTTAAATCAGCTTAATCCTCCGCCAAATGCAGCCCTGTTGATATATATTACCTAGATGAGAGACAAGGGACATTTTTATAGGTCTAGATTCCAGGGATTTCCAGTATTTCACTCCTCGTGGCCAATGTTTTTATTGGTCTAGATTCCAGGGATTTCCAGTATTTCACTCCTCGTGGCCAATGAAAAACAGTAAACCATACTGCCTTAAGAAGTTTTTGTTGGTTGCCATGCATTTTATATAAAGCTTTTTCTCATTGGCTGTAAATGCAATCAAATTTACGTAAATTACAGCTCTTATCAAATCCATTCTATTGTTTTTTTTATTAAACATGGCAACAGACTGGTAATTTTTGTTTAGCAGGTAAATATAAATAATACAAATATATTATTTCTAAAATAGTTGTTAAAAATGAAAGAAACATTCAAATAATACTTTAAAATCTTTTGTGCTGAAAAGCAATGCGGTCCTAAGCGCAAGGGCAACAAGAAACAATGTTCCAAGTCAACACCACCTAAATCATATCTTTGTGTGAGTTTTGATGTGTCTTTGCAGATTAGAATTTTGGGTAAATGATTTTCCACAAATATCACATTTAAAAGCCCTTTCTCCGGTGTGAATTTTCATGTGGATAGCAAAACAAGTCTTCCGTTTAAATGATTTACCACAAACATCACATTTATATGGTTTTCCCCCTGAATGAGTTATCATATGTTGCAGTATCCCACGGTTACAACTAAACGATTTATCACAAATATCACATTTAAAAGGTCTCTCGCCTGTATGGGTTCTTGTGTGTCTCTGTAGATCACCACTAGTGCAAAAAGACTTGCCACAAAAATCACACTTATGTGGTTTTTCACCTGTGTGAATTCTCATGTGTCTGTGAAGGCTACCCCAATCACTGAACGATTTACCACAAACATCACATGTATGAAGTTTTTCACCTGTGTGAACTTTCATGTGTCTTTCAATATATCCTTTCTGAATAAATGATTTACCACAAACATCACATTTAAATGGTCTCTCGCCTGTGTGAATTCTCAGGTGTGTTTGAAACTTGCTTTGTGTGGTGAATGATTTACTACAAACATCACATTTAAAAGGTCTCTCGTCTGTATGAATTCTCACATGTGTCTGAAACTGACTTTGCGTATTAAATGATTTACCACAAAAATCACATCTAAAAGGTTTTTCAAAACTCATCTTATCTTGAATCTTATCGTCATCTTTAAATTGTTGTAAAATATTTCCTATGGTTTCCTCTAAGTTAACATGTGCTTTAACATGTATTTCACAGTGTTTTTCTAAATCGGTCTCAGAATTAAATTCCCCATCACACAAATTACACTGATAAACAGTTTCAATATCTTCGGTTTTCTCTTCTTTAAACTGTACATGGCAATATTCATCTACATCATCAGTTTTCTCTTCTTTAACATGACAATATCCATCTACATCATCAGCTTTCTCTTCTTTAACATGTATTTTATTATGTAATTTTAAATCATCATATTCTTGGAAATTTTCATTACATAGAACACACTGATGAAATTTTTTAACATCATTAGTTTCCTGAAATATATAAAAGTTATAACATCATTAGTTTCCTGTAATATATAAAGTTTATAATCAATCAATGAATTAGTGTTTATTTTATTTTCAACAAATATATGTGTGTTCAAATGTGACTTGAAGATGTCTAGAGTTTTTGATTCATTGATTTATAACATCATTAGATTCCTGTAATATTACATGTATCAAAGCTATAACATCATCAGTTTCCTGTAATATATAAAAGTTTTAACATCATTAGTGACATGTAATATATTGTATTTTTGATGTTTCAGATGTTCTTTAAATGACTCAGATGTTATATCTAAAACAAAGTGGTTACATATACAGTAGCTGTATTATGGTCATAGAGATTAATTTGGCATTTGGAAATAAAGTTAATCAAATAAAAGGAATAGCACAATTTACCCAAATCCACTCAAATCCCACTTTTTCAACTCCTCCCATCACAATGATTTATATCAATATTTGATAATATACCGTTCTTTACGCAATTTCCAAGCAAGCGATTTCCTGCATTACTCGAATTACATCTCTTGGTTACAACTTCAAAACTTGCTTCAAAATCGCAATTTGAGAGAAATTTTTTAACACAAAAATGTTATGATTTTCAATTAAAAATTACAACAAAGTGAAACAAGGGACTAACTCTAGAAGTAATTAATAGAATTATTGAAGTTAAAGAGTCTTCTTCATCTCACTAATGTAAACAACATATCAATTTCGAAACACTTGGGTGATAACTTTTGGTGTTAGAGCGTTCACAGACGGACCGACAGACAGACGGGGGCGTATAAAAAAGCATGTGATCACCAAATCAAATCGCACCTAGAGGTCATTTGGCGATTTGTGGTAATCGCTTCAGAAATTGGTGTCGATAAATTTGTTGATTAGGGTAACCAATTTGAATTAGATGGACGTTAAGGTAACTAAGTCTCTAACTCAGTATCATCCAAACTCTTTGACATTGAAAACACGAATTACCGGTATTTGTCAATTTAAATCAACATTGATGTTGTGATCTTACCAGGAAAAGATGGGCTTCTTTTATCCAATATTTAAGACCAAATGAATATTTTACCACTGGTTCAACAAATGGTGTACCATAATGCGTTTCAGCACCATTTGTAACAGGAGACTCGAAGAAAGAGACTAAAAATATTCCACAAGTCATGTCAAACTGTGACAGCATATTCTTATGTGGAGACATGAGCAATAAATACTATTGTTGTAGACTGAAATAACCAGACACTGAACATAACTGATTTGAAATTAGAGTAAAAACGGAAACAACTGAGTGTAAATCAGTTTATATACATTCATATTATATTATTATATGCATTGCTACCCATTTGTGTCAATATCAAGGTCCCAAATATTAGTAATTTATATAGTTCCTTTAAAGATGAAATATAGCCCGCTTCAAATCTACGATTCTGTATTACTATTTTATGTTAAGGTATTACTAGCGATTGTATTGTAATAGTTTAATATCAATCTCAATATCTGCAAAGATTCAGGCTCAAAAATTATCGAAATGTAAGCAAAATTACCGTTTATTTACAGGAGATGCTCGCGGGAAAATACCGGCCTGACATCACACGGCCGGGGATTTTACATTGCTACAGCTCACTGCATTGGTAAATCCACACCTAAGTTTCGGGGGATTTTAATATAGAACCCGGAACCAATCAAACGATAGATAACATTTTTGTGATCATCATGGTGCGTGATAGCCCGGGTCCCGGAATTACAGCCGTAGAAAACGAGATTTATTTGTTTTGCTGACTGAAATTTGTTAAATTTCGACTAAATATAGCCTACTTTTTTGGTGGTGTCATCCAGATTATAATATTTAACATATTATCATTCAAATTATTAAGATTTTAATAAATCTTCGATGACTATAACGTGCAGATTTCAGTTTTAAAATTGATACTAGTGATTCTGAAGGGAAAATACCGCTTAAGACGTAACTCAGATATGACTGAAAAGCACTTATTTTGGTGCCGTGGCACACATTGACTGTGTTATAGAGCATTTTGTTTACATTATCTTGGATTTTAAAATTCCATATTTTTGGATCTAATTAGAATATTTTGATGAAATAAAAAATTTGGGTAGCATTTTATGTATATTTTCACAAAATATTTTTTTAAAAAAATTTTTTGGGGCATTTGAAAATTTGACCTGAAAGCCTACATTGATAGATAATTCAAATGAAATGAAATGAAATGGGGTTTAACGTCCTACTGTTCTGCTCCTAACCTGGGCTAATGAAGACGGGCATGCGCCATACAGTGTGCTATGAGGGAAATTTTGCCCGGACAGCGGCACTACGGCCTACTCTTATATCGAATTCCAACTGCCAAGGGATCTTTTACGTGCACGCCAATGTGTACACAGGACCTCGGTTTTTCGTTCCATCCGAACGACTAGACAGCTTTCCTTGTCAGCCCCTCCGTCCTGCATCACTGACAAGGGAGAACCACGCCGGAAAATCTGGATGAACTTTCTCGGCCAACGCAGGGATCGAACAGCCGACCTCCAGGCTAGCGAGCTAGCGTCTTACCCACTTATGACTTAGCTGATAGATAATTCAGTGTATCTCATTTTAAACTGAATCTGATCATAGCCATTAAAATTTAGCTCATGGGGTGATCACATTTACTGTGCACCACCTTACTTTCTAGAATGGCGAATTCAATCGATTAATAAAATTATCTCACCATTTTACAAGAGCAGTCGACTTGATGTTCTAATTATGAACGCAAGACTTGGGCGCTTCCGGTACGAAGAGTGTCTTTATTATGGATATGGACTAAACCTACACGAACGGTTCATAATTTGGTGAGTTTTGGTACTGGAGCGTCATACTGAACATCAGTGACACGCCAGCTGCGCAAAAGTATCTCTGACACAGTGACATGCCTTTAAAATTTGTAACACTTCATTACAACGTCACGGGTCATGATGGCATGCCCTAGTTTTTCTTCCAGAAAAAAACTATTTGCAAACAAATCAAAGTGGCCTTGTCAGTGATGCAGGACGGAGGGCCTGACAAGGACAGCTGTCTAGTCCTTCGGATGAGACGAAAAACCGAGGTCCCGTGTATACATTGGAATGCACGTAAAAGGTCCCTTGGCAGTTGGAATTCGATATAAGAGTTGGCGATAGTGCCGCTGCCCGGGCAAAATTTCCCTCATAGCACATTGTATGGTGTATGCCCGTCTTCATTAGCCTAGCAAAGGAGCAGAACAGTAGGATGTTAAACCCCATTTCATTTCATTTCGGTATTGCGGGACTTACTAATGACATGAAAAAAACAGCTTCACACCAATATTCCTTTCCACACAAAGAATTTCACTATTAGTTAAGAGATATTATTAGAGAGGAATTGAATAATACTTGAATTCGGACAGATTTTTATTGGTGTAGGCGTTTGACATGTACTGATAGGATCGAGACAGGTCGTAGGCGTTCTATTGGGTCTAAACCGTAGTCTCTATTGTGCGAAGTAATGTTGGAAATTTTCGTAAGACTAGCTTAGTCTCGATTTTCGTTGCTACCATTGTTTTAATAATAACAAAGTCTTGATTATCCAATAAATTATTAAATCGCTATTCAAACAATAAAAATCATTAAAAGTTGATATGGGCTTGTCACATGAATAAATCTCTAATTAATAATATTTAAAATACAGATGTTGGCATACCATTATTTCCAATAATGTACGGGCAACTTGCCAATCGTACATTATCTATACTACATGAAATATTGGACACGTGTGACGTATTTCATTGAAAAGCACGTGCGAGATAGTTTCTGTATTTTAAATTGTTTAATGGTCTCAAGCTAAAGACATTGCGTAAAATATTGAAACAACACTCGGCTTACGCCTCTTTAAGTATCAATATATTACTCAATGTCTCGCTCTCGACCATTAAACCATACATATATAGCATTTGACAATTAAATAAAAACCTGCAATAGACAGATTTAGCCCAGTTCCGTTCTGATCTGATATTTAAGCGTTCATTGTTTGCGGTGTCTGTAGTTTGTGTCCTGTTCGTAAGTTTTCCTGTGTATTTATTTGTCTGTGTTGCGGTCTTCCTGCACTTACTAATAATGCATTTTTTAGGCGTTTTATGAGTTTGGATACACAAACAACTCGATCACTGGCTGCCCATCTTCAGAAGAGAGGACTTTGTGTCTCCACACCAATCATAAAGTCTGATCCCCACAGAGCTTTATTCCTTGTCACTTGATTCCATTTGTGTCATTTGAGTCAGTCAATGGTGATTAACGTCCGCTTCACCTACAGTGATATCGCAGACAAGTTTTAATTGACTGTCGGGTAATGCCCCGTATAATTAACATCCGCATTTATGCACCGCTCGGGTCGGTTTAGTCCATATCCAAAATAAATAAATTTATTCACACCGGAAGTGCCCAATTATTTGTTCTTTTAATGAGAATAGCCGAATTGCCCTTGCAAAATGGTGAGATAATTTTTATTAATACACTGAAGTCTCAATTCTAAAAGAGTATTGTTTCCACCGCATACTATAGAAATTGTAATTATGTCACCTACGAAGCTTTCTTTGTCTTTCGGATTTGGTTGGGTTTTTTTTTTGACAATCACAATGTACGTTTTGAGGGATTTGAATTTCTTTTACCCGTTCATAATTATTTCTCTCGTCCACTTTTACAATACAATAACACCAAATTTATCTTAAGAAGCTTAAAGGAGTTGGTCCATCTCTATAAAATTTTGATGTTATTATTATCTACCGGTACCATGAAAATATGTGATCCTAATATCCAATAGCTAAGACACAATGAACATTTTTAAATCGCTACACAACTTGTGTATTTTATGAAATTTGTAATGACCTACCCCAAAAGATATTGCAGAAGTAAGGGTAATTAACTCTTTGCAAATTAAGTAACTATTCCTTTATGTCCCAAAGTCAACTAGTCAATAGCTTATCTTCCTTGAGCTAATTAAAGGATTATCCATTAATCCCTGGTATTGCAGAGAACACAAGATAACACACAAACTATTATTCCAGTCAGAAAAAGTTCATATATTCAAATGAGGATACAGTACACCCGTTGTGATGGTTTGACGGGACACGATTATCATGATGTTTCTTGTTAATTATAGTCCCAATAATACCACGATAAATAAATCGTAACAGCCATGTGACACGATAGGCTTCGGTGTAATTTTACTATAAAATTAATCATACATTACGCAAGAGCTAAAACTACCAATTGCAGGTCTTTCTTTAGGCCTGAAATGTTATCTAAATTATTAATTAGATATTAATAAACTTATCCAGACCATAATCAACTCTCGATGGCATCGCTAGTCTGCGATATTTACCTGATTAGAACCCGGTCTGCTGCTTCTGATTAAATAAAAAAAATAGATAATCGAGACAATGTTTTTTATCCTACTTTTTAACTATTATAGTGAGAACTACCAGCTCTTTATCTAATTTCCCATAATGTATCTTTAACAATATTTTTTTATCATAAACAATCGATGTGAAAATGATATACTCCCACAATGTTAACAAATTGCCAGGATGTTCTGCGTAAATCATTATAAAACAACTATATTACACAGTTTCAATATTTATGCTGCGTTTGAATAGTTTTGTATTTACTGTATTAAAAGTATCATGGTTAAAAATTGCTCCAGAATCAAGGCACAAGACATATTTTTAAATTGCAAAATATAATGCTATTTTGATGATCGATCTTACAAGTAGAAAGAGGGTGTTCACGGTGGCTAAATGGGTAAGACGCTGACTCCAGATTTTCCTGTGTGGTTCCCCCTTGTCAGTGATGCAGGACCTGAAAATGACAGTCGTCTAGTTGTTCAGATGGGACGAAGAACTGAGGTCCCTTGTACACATTGGCGTGCGGTCCAAATGAATGACTCTTCCTGAACTATTTCAACATAGTAACAAAAACATTAACACTTTTTATACCCAGGCCACATATGAAAAAATAACATGCGGTCCAAATCTCGGTCATTGTATCTGGATCCGCCAATGTATTTAGTTTTATTTTAAAAATTATAAGCAATAACTTAGTGTGTGCTAAGAGAATTAAAAAAAAAATAAAACAAGTTTGATATCACCATCGATTCTCACAGTAAAATTAAACCTTATTGTTCTGCTATCAGCTAGACATTCATTATTAATTATAAGCCTCTATTCACAATAGGCGTGTTGAGCATTGGTTTCCAATCCCCGCTTGTACGTGGCAAGGAGTAGGATTGCCTGTCCAACCTCGTGGGTTTTCTCTGGGTCCTCCCACAGCTAAAGACTCCAACGTATTAGCGAATATTTTAAATAATATTGAACTACCATATGTTAGTCCCAAAAGGACTTAGTTTGTGTCAAGTGTAGGTTAAACTCTCTCTCTCTCTCTCTCTCCCTTGACAGTATGTATACAACTCTATAAAACATATTGATAGTCTAACCTAAACTAGGGAAAGGGTTCTTGTATATTACAGGTGCCTAATGATTTTATAACTTTCAAGGAGCTAAATCACTAACATTTGGGACCTAGAAATTGACACAAGTGGGTCGCAACTCATATAATACTGTAATATGAATGTATATAAACTGATATACATTCAATGGTTTCCGTTTTTACTCTAATTTCACATCAGTTATGTTCCGCGAAATAAGCCAGCAGTCTCAATCGAATGCAAATTTCTAGCGCCTGGTTATTCCATTCTACATACGCCGTTTGGTTTGGTGCAATATGTCTAGCCTCGTTCCTCGAGTCTCTTGCTAGAACTGGGGCTGAAACGAATTATGGTACACGATTCGTGTACCAATGGTAAAATGTTTATTTTGTCTTAAATATTGGATATCAGAAGCCCATCTTTTTCCGGTAAGATCACAGCATCAATGTTTATTTAAATTGACAAATAATTTGTGTTTTCAATGTTGAAGATTTTGGATGATATTGAGTTAGAGACTTAGCTACTTTAATATATTACAAGAGACTAATGATGTTACAACTTTTATATATTATAAGAGACTAATAATTTTTATATACATGTATTACAGGAAACTAAAGATGTTATAACTTTTCATCAGTGTCTTGTATGTAATGCGATTTTTCAACAATATAATGATTTAGAGCTACACAATAAGATACATGTTAAAGAAGAGAAAACTAATGATGTACATGTAGATGAATATTGTCATGTCAAAGAAGAGAAAACTGACGATGTAGATGAATATTGTTGTGTTAAGGAAGAGAAAACCGAATATATTGAAACTGTTTATCAGTGTAAATTGTGTGATGAGAAATTTAAATCTGAGACCGATTTAGAAAAACATTGTAAAAAACACGAAGTAGAAGAGAACGTAGGAAATATTTTACAGCGATTTCAAGAGGAGAAAAAGTTACAAGACCAGATATGTTTTAAATGTGATGTTTGTGGCTCAACATTTAATTCACAAAGTCAATTTCAAAAACATGTGAGAATACACACTGGCGAGAAACCTTTTAAATGCGATGTTTGTGGTAAATCATTTAATCAAAGAGGCTCTTTTGAGATGCACATGAGAATACATACAGGTGAAAAACCATTCAGATGCGATGTTTGTGGGAAATCGTTCAAACAGAAAGGATATATTGAGCGGCACATGAGAATTCATACAGGTGAAAGACCTTATGAGTGTGGAGAATGTGGGAAATCATTCGGTGACGCAGGGAATGTTCAGCAACATTTGAGAACTCATACAGGGGAAAAACCCTTTAAATGTGATGTTTGTGGTAAATCATTTAGTCGATTTGAAATTTTACAGCTACACATGACAACTCATACAGATAAAAAACCCTTCAAATGTGATATTTGTGGGAGATGTTACAAACGGAAAAGTTGTCTTGATGTACACAGAAGCATTCATACTGTAGACATAGTAAAGGCTTTTAAATGTGATATTTGTGATAAATCATTTACCTTTAAGTCTAATCTGCATAGACACACAAAACTTCACACTAAAATATGAATTCAGGCCAGTGAGAAACATTTAAATGTGATTATTTTCTAGGTTGAAGAATCTTCAAGAACATACATGTATAAGATTTCATGAAAAAGTATTTAAATATGATGTTTGTGGTAATTCATTTTCTGAGAGTCATCACCAACAGCAACATGCAGGAACTCATGTTCTTCCTGTAATAGGCTTATTACCCTGCCTTGCTATGTTTCATTCAACTATTTTTTATGAGATGAAAAACCAAGGTGTTGTGTACATATTACACGTAGCATCTACGTGAAAAATATTATTAATGTTTCCTGCTCTGTACTGTTTTGTCCATTTTACAAAACAATTGTAACATATGTGACTCCCTACATTGTATTACATTGTATTAAGTCTAAATAGTTCAATACAAACAAACTAGTCACTGACACCTCGGATAACCGATCTTAAAGCTACGTTCCCAGAAAAGTATTTATCGGGTGGTTATTTCTAATAAAAGTATGACAATTTTGGTATATATGGAAAGTAGAAATATCCAATCTTACTAGAAAAATACTGGATTCCAAGAAAAATACTCATGGAGCGCATACAGGACAAAAATGTAAGGGTTTCCCTAATCGACGATTACGAGTGTCTGCACGCATGACGTCGAAGGTTGCACGCGGAGATTGAGCGCTTGATGTACATTTTGAAAAACTTTATGAAGAATTAGACGTACAACACTTTCTGAGATAAAAATCACGGGAAAAGACGCGGGCAGTGGATAATCCGAAAATTTAATTAGGCTTCGATATTTGTAATAAATAGTCAGCGATTAAAGACAACATCGCTTGCGTTGCTAGGTACTGAGAGAGGTAAGTCACGTGACACAAACATGACCTCTTTTGATTGATTTTTTATAGCCAGGGTATTTCCTGACAATTGCAATATTTTGAGAAGAATTTGAAGCAAAATTATGATAAATTAATTAGTTTGAATATGTTTTTAGTCCAAATATATCATCAAATCACCCAGTTTGTACCCGGGAATGTATCTTTAAACAAGCTAAATCGCTATTCTTTAGCCTCTAGAAATGGACACAAATGGGTTGCAACGCATATAATAATGTATTATGAATGTATATAAACTGATTTAAATTCAATTGTTTCAGTTTTTACTGTAATGTCTAATCGGCTACATGAATGTTTGGCGAAATGCGCAAAATTCCAAATTGAATGGCAGTCTTTGGCATCTGGTTATTTCAGTCTATACCGGTACTACATGTATTCTCCTGTGGGGTATGGTTACCCTCGATCATCGGGTTGCTTCATAACAAAAAGCACTCGAAAGCATTCTGGTGCGCGATTCATGTGCTAATTTTAAAATTTTCATTTTGTCTTAAATATTGAGTAATATTGATTTAAATTGACCAACAAGTCTTGTTTGCAATGTCGAAAACTGTGGATGATATTGAGTTAAAGACTTGCCTCCTTTAATAACCACTCTTTATATATGTCTTTTATTTCATTATACAAATTTGTGTCCGTGAGAAAGCATTTAAATGTGATATTAGCTGTATTTCCAAGATTCTCCATCTACAGCAACATGTTTGAACTCATTGTAAACTGAGAAAGAAATGGGGTTCAACCTCCACTTGACACAAACTAGATTATTTGGGACTAACATACGGTATGTATGGTACAATACATGTTTATTTCAATAATTCACCTGCATGTAGGAGTATATAAAATTTTACCATATGTTGGTCCCAAAATTACCTAGTTTGTGTCAAGTGGACATTAAACTCTCTCCAGGTCCAGTTGATTGATGTTTGGTATCATCAATGCAAAGGCAAACAATCTGCTTGTTTTATGTGCAAAAGCATAGTTCATGCTGTAAAAAACACATACATGTATCTAGACTTGTGAATTATTTACAAATTGAAATTTGTTTGTCCGATTATTGACATTGTACAGTGTATCTATAATTTCATGTGTACTGTATAACTAGTCATGTCTTGTTTTTGTGATATAAAACGCATTTTGTCCCCAAAGCTGGTTTGGTTTGATTTTATTTCATGCAGAGTAGAATTATGTACCCTTTGCTTATTCTACCCACAAACTTCATCTAGAATCCTGATACTGGTATTGTTTAGTATAGTAAGCAGTGGGGCAAATTGCCTCGTCACTTCGTAAAAAAATAAAGAAGCAGTGGTACATTACTCAATCAATCTGATTAAAATACAGATTTATATTTCGTTTCGGTTTTTTTATAATTTCGATGGCACCTACAACATGAAGATCTGACCATCTGACCAGTTGTAGTGGCAGGTCGCGTCAGAAATTTGATCAACCAATCAGCTTTGATGTTTCTAGTAGGATACGCACAGTTCCGAGCACAGCAGGCCATGAACTCGCTGCAACAGACTGTTTCATTGGCTAATCCCTCACATCAACTAGAACGCGGGTTACATTACAACTCTTCCAGATCTTAGTGTAGTATAGACAAGTAAGACGAAATTTTGAACTATAAAAAATGAAAACGAAATAGGATCTGTGTTTTAATCAGATTGTTACCGGATGGTACTAATTGGGAGAGGAACAATACCGGATGGTACTAATTGAGAGACAGACAAACAGACAGACAATGTCTAATGGTACTAATTGAGAGATGAACAATACCCATAGTACTAATTGAGAGGGGAACAGTACCGATGATATGAACTGAGAGAGGAACGATTACCAATGATAATCTTTGAATGGCAATTATTAACTGGATAGAGTAACAAAACACATGCTTATGGAAAATAGCTACTAATTAGCATGATCAAGTTGAAAGAATACTCTTTGAAACATTACCTTAAATACACTAGAAGCTGTTCTCCATAAGTAGGCCTATGTGTTTTATTACCTTTTGGTACTATTTAGAGAAATGGAAAGAAACATACATGTATTTAAGTAGACATCACACTCAATTGAGATTGTTGTGTTTCTATGATGAGGGATGTATTTGATTTCTAGCAACCAATAGGCAATACAGAATGACAATTTTCTATCTTTTATAATAAATAGGTCAACTTTAAACGTTTTTTATACGCCCACATTGAAATGTGGTCGTCTGTTGTCGTCATCCCTGTCCGTCCGTCTGGCGTCCACAATTGCTTGTGGCTGCTCTAGAGGCTAAAGTTAATATCCGATTGACTTTAAATTTTTATCCAGTGTTTAAGGTCTACAGACGAAATAGTATATTGATTTTCAATGATTTTTGATAACTTGAACAGCTAAATCCATGATATTAAATGTTTTGTATACTAAACATTGGCTTGGGCAAAGCAAATTCCAATTTTTTTCTGATAATTACTTAATGAGTTGTTATTCGTAATCAGATTTTAGTGTATTATAACTGTTTCATTACCGACAAAAGTAAAAATATGCAACAACTCTTGTTGACTGTCCATATGATTTAGCTGCTGTGGGCGTACGTTTCGTTGCCTGGCAACCTATCTTACGATAAATAGGTCAATTTTCAAGTAGTCTAAAGATAGATAATTAAATAAACAACACCTCCCCTGCCATGCACCCATCCGTCACAGATTCCTTAAAATATAAAAAAAAAAACGGTCCGGATGGTATTATTAGTCCAATTAGCCTAGTGGGTCATATTTTAGTATGTTTACAGTAATAAACTTTGGCGTTCATTATTTTTATTTGATATAAATCTGTCTGAAATTGTCCATTTTCTTATTTTGTGATTAAAATAACATGCGGTCTGTGCATATTCAAGTCGCATAATGATGGACTAGTTCAAATATATTTTGTTTATCTTTTTGTATCACAAAATTCTACTTGAAAATAGTGTTGAATTATTACAAATTTGTGTCAGATGTTGTGAGAAATGATTCCCGTCGGCAAACAAAGTAGAATCACAGTAAAATATAGAAGGTAAGGATTTCAAAATAGCCTTAGAACAGAGGTGGGCTAGAGCAGTACTTTCATATTGCAGCTTAATATGGACGAACAGGAACCGTAAGTGAGAGAGAGAGAAATGGGGTTTAACGTCCACTTGACACAAACCAGGTCATTTCTGGACTAACACATGGTTCCATTTTTTATTTCGATAATTCGCTTGCCCGTAAGGGTCTTTAGCAATGGGAGGAAATTGGAGGATCCAGAGAAAACCCATGACGTTGGACAGGTGACCCTACTCCTTGTCACGTACAACCGGGGAATCAAAACTGCGCCAGTTGACTCAATGACAGACCTTATGATACAGTGCGCACATGCTAACCATTCGGCCATCCAACCCCCTAGGAACGGTAAGAGAACATCGTCCAATCAGATGCCATTCCTAAAGGAACAGGACAGAGCCACGCTCAATTCATGTGTTTTTTGTCTAGAGGTTGGAATTTTGAATAGATCAAGGAACTTGGCATATTTATTCCTTATACCGTAAGGATGGCAACTGTCTATTTTGGTGCATGTCCCAACCAACAGGGGTGTGGTACCACCCCCACTTTTTAAAAAAATTTGTCTGTAAATACTCAACAGCTTGCAATTATCAACAGATTTTGTTCAAAATCAGCATATCAATCATTTCAATAACAGGGTGGTACCTATTTATATTGTTCCATCTTCAACCCCCAGGGGCAGATTAACCCCCAGGGGCAGAGCCATGCCCAATTTTTGTGTTTTTCATCTACAGGCTGAAATTCTGAATGAATCATCTTGCATATTTATTCCTTATACCGTAAAGACAACAACTGTTTATTTTGGTGCATGCCCTGACCCGTATATTCAGGACATGTCTGACGCTATTTTCCAAACGTCCTAAATTGTCCGACCAGGAATATGCTGAATCGGACATCAAGACATGGTAAATAATATTCAAAATTCCAAAATTAATATAGTGTACTAAGTGTATAACTACCACTCAACCCGATTAGCGTTGATAATAGGCTGGATTGATTAGGTAATTAAGTGATCAACGTATTTATCGTTTTATACCGTCTATACACCTACCTTGATTAACTACTTAATCTGCCTTGATTGGCTGACTTAATTCTTTGTCGGACAATTCATCAATTCAATCCTGAACAGAAGTCATTGCTTCTCAATTGTCGGACTATGTAGGAATATGAATACCGTACGGGAATTAAATATGAAAAACTAAATATGACAACTAAAATTTTGAAATCCCATCACTGGTGTCACACCCACTGTTTTGTTAATATTTAGTCTGCTGCTTGTCACTGCAGCCATTTCATATTTCATTCTCTTCAATCAAAGCAGGAATGTGCAGCGGTTCCGATGCTCTAGTTGAGATTTTTGGTTTAAAAAAACTAAACCTGATGAAGTGATGACTTCGCTAGGGATAACAATATACAGGTCACAATTCTCTGGAATACAATTACTGCTTATTACTTAGCGACATTTCGACTACCAATAGGCTTCTCTAGTCATTATTAAGCAATGATAATGCCTAGACAAGCCTCCTAGTCGGAACATCGCTCAGTAATAAGCAGTAATTGTATTCCAGAGAATTGTGACCTGTATATTCCAGTTCAATAACTGAATGTCATTGAAACAATTTACAGATGAAAAATGGTTTTGTGTGTTGATGAAAGAACATGGCAGCTATCATGGATTATGAAATTTGAGAACTATATGTGCATAACAGTATACATAAGGGCAAGTGATTGCCTTTTGGACTAACTATTGCCCCTCCAACATATTGCCCATTCAGGGAATCTGTCGATAGACAAAGGCTAAGTGAGGGTGGTCAAAACGGCCCAAAAATTCAAAACAGCAAATTGTTATTTATTCTGAATCTAATGATATTGTTTCTATAACATAAATTTAGCAAAGCATAATTTTAAAACACATTATTTACATTTTAATAGGGCGACACAGTGGCTCAAAAAATTTTCCCATTGTGGATGGTGCAGAACGGAGTGCCTCCAAAGTGTGCAGTTGTTTGGATGGGTTTTCTCTGGGTCCTCTGGTTTCCTTCCACTGCTAAAGAACCCTCAGCGCAAACGAATAATTGAAATAACATTTGACCATGTGTTAGTCCCAAAATGACCTAGTTTGTGTCGAGTGGATGTTAAACCCCACCTCTCTTTCTCTCTTACAACATTTGCGTGTGTACTTTTCTTTAAAGATTGTTTAGCTTTATATTTATGAACTGAGATGTGATTTAATGAATCACTCTTCCACTCAAAACCTTCATCATATAAATCGCATTTAAACATGTTTTTCTCTGCTATGAATTTTTCTGTGTTCCTTTCAATCCACATCTTCAGAGTATTGACCACAAACTCCACATTTATAACTGGAGATAGGATGTTTTACTTTTAGAGAACCACTGTGAGATGAAAAACTACACTGATATCAACTGCCAACTTCATCTTTACAGTCTAGATCTTGGTGTTTCTTCAGCTGATGTTTGTATGTAAACGATTTACCACAAACATCACATGTAAAAGGTTGTTTCTCCAGTATGAATTCTGGTGTGTCGATTAAGAACACTGTCACTATTAAATGATTTACAACAAACATCACACTTATAAAGGTTTTTTGGGGGTTGGATGGCTGAATGGTTAGCGTGCGCGCGCTGTATCATAAAGTCTGTCATTGAGTCGACTGGCGTGGTTTCGAATCCCCGGTTGTACGTGACAAGGAGTAGGGTCGCCTGTCCAACCTCGTGGGTTTTCTCTGGATCCTCCAATTTCCTCCCACTGCTAAAGAGCCCTACGCGCAAGCGAATTATGTAAATAAAATTAAACCATATGTTAGTAACGAAATGACCTAGTTTGTGTCGAGTGGACGTTAAACCCCATTTCTCTCTCTCTCTCTATAAAGGTTTTTATCCAGTATGAATTCTTGTGTGTTGATCAAGAACACCTTTACTATAAAATGATTTACAACAAACATCACATTTTTAAGGTTTTTTCTCTTGTATGAATTCTTCTGTGTGGTTTCAGTTGACCCTGCTGAGTAAACGATTTACCACAAACATCACACTTATAAGGTCTTTCACCTGTATGAATGCGCATGTGTTGCTGTAGATTACCACTCCGAGAGAATGATTTATCACAAACATCGCATTTAAAAGGTCTTCCTCCTGTATGAATGCGCATGTGTTTTTGTAGACTACTAGTCTGAGTGAATGATTTACTACAAACATCACACTTATATGGTTTATCTCCCGTATGAATTCGCATGTGTTGCTGAAGTACGTAATTACTATAAAAAGGCTTGCTACAAACATCACATTTAATTAGTGTATAGGTTCTAGTACATGTATGGGTTCTCATGTGAGCCTGGAGATAATTATGCTGTGTGAATGATTTACTACAAACATCACATTTAAAAAGTTTTTCTTTGATATGAATTGTCATGTGTGTTTCTAGATAATGATTGTGAGTGAATAATTCATCACAAACCTCACATTTATATGTTTTTGCACCACTATGAATTCTCATGTGTGCTTCTAGATTATAATTCTGAGTAAATGATTTACCACAAACATTACATTTGTAAGCTTTTTCTACAGTATGTGTACCGATGTGTTCCTGGAGATGATTACTTCGAGAAAATGATTTATTACAAACATCGCATTTATATTTTTTTGCTCCTGTATGAGTTCTGATGTGTGTTTTTAGATATAAATTCTGAGTGAATGATTTACTACAAATATGACATTTGTAAGGTTTTTCTACAGTATGAGTTCCCATGTGTTTTCGTAGATGAGTCCTCAAAGAGAATGGTTTATCACAAATATAACACTTAAAAACTTTTCCTACAGTATGAGTTCCCATGTGTTTATTTAGACGATATTTCTGAGTGAACGATTTACCACAAACATCACATTTGTAAGGGGTCTCTTTAGTATGAGTTCCCATGTGTTTTTGTAGTTGAGTCCTCAAAGAGAATGGTTTATCACAAATATAACACTTTAAAACCTTTCCTACAGTATGAGTTCCCATGTGTTTATTTAGACGATATTTCTGAGTGAACGATTTACCACAAACATCACATTTAAACGGTTTCACCCCCGTATGAAGTTTTATGTGTCTTTGTAGACTACAAGCCTGAGCAAATGATCTACCACAAACATCACATTTAAATGGCTTCTCTCCCCTATGAAGTTTCATGTGCCTTTGTAGACTACTAGTCTGAGAGAAAGATCTACGACAAACATTACATTTAAATGGTTTCTCGCCAGTATGAATCCTTATGTGATTTTGTAGAGCATTACTCCAAGTGAATGATTTACCACAAACATCACATTTAAAAGGTCTATCAGTTGTCTTTTTAGTCTCATTATTTTGTGAAACTCGTCTCGTAGTTTCCCTGACTTCAATATGAGTTTTGCTGCATTTCTCCAAATCAAAGTTTGATTTACATTTGTCATCACAATCCCTGAAATGTTGTAAATCAGACTCATCTTCTTTAACGTGTATTTCACAGTGTTTTTCTAAATCTGTGTAATATTTAAATTTCTCATCACATAAATTACACTGATAAAATGTTTCATTATCTTCAGTTTTATCTTCTTTAACATGACAATATTCATCTACATCATCAGTTTTCTCTTCTTTAACATTACAACATACATCTAAATCACTAGTTTTCTCTTCTTTACCATGATAATATTCATCTTCTTTAACATGACAATATTCATCTGCATCGGCAGTTTTCTCTTCTTTACCATGCCAATATCCTTCTACATGCATATCATCAGTTTTGTCTTCGATAATATGACAATATCCATCTACATCATCAGTTTTCTCTTCTTTAACATGACAATATTCATCTACATCATCAGTTTTCTCTTCTTTAATGTGTATTTTATTGTGTTTTTCTAAATCAGCATATTGTTGAAAAATCTCATCACACATGTCACACTGATGGAAAATTTTAACTTTTTTAGTTTCCTGCAATATACAAAAGTTATAACATCATTAGTTTCCTGTAATATATAAAAGTTATAATAAATAAAAGTTGTAAGATCTTCAGTTTCCTGTAATTTATGAAAATTATGACACAAGCCCGGATAAGGGTAGCCTACGTGTCATTTTATCCTATTACAAAAACACCTAATTTTGTAGCAATATTACGGACATAAATTTGAATACTGTACAGGAATTGAACATGAAAAATAGTGAGGTGCACCTATTTTTATTGTATGCTGCATAACATAAAACTATTTGTAGATGAAGTCTGTTAAAGGAATGAAAGTCCCTCATAAACACATAAACATAATTTGTATATCGGTAGAAATTATGGCCTTCAGAGATTGTTCAATACGATACCATGAAAATTTACTTATTTGCCATTCAATCAAGAGGAACTGCTAATCAATTTCCAGATTGATTATCACTTTTTTTAAAAACATTCAATAATTGCTAATCAAATTTTTTTTTAATATATATACATATACCCTCGATAGGATGACCTATATATGACGTCTCATCATATACCCTGGATAGATGACCTATGATGTTGCAAAAGGTTAACTCGAAACGAAATATAATTTTATATAATGTTGCAGTCTTTTAGACACTACGTCCGTCGAGACTAAGAACTAAATATAAATGTTTTAGGACAATTTAGATCACCACAATAACAAAGTAAATGAATTAATATTGAAAAAAAATTAAAAACATACAAATTTTGTTTTGTGTGGAAGAATCCTGTTTGGAATTGGAATTTGCCGAAGTAAAACTACATGTAGGTCATTTCCTGTTTAATGGTTAACAGTTGATTGTCGACGATGAATTCATAGATATCTCGTATAATTTACAGTAAGAAATATTTTGTGTGAAATAAATGGACCAGATATATAAGTTTAATGTAAGTTTAGTGTAGACAACTGAACAATCTGAATTTGGCCGTTCGCTGAGAGGAGTAAACTAGTTATCAACTTTTGTGTCAATCCTTTGACTGTTCAGATGTTACATGTTACGTCCTTAGTTAGAATATAGAAGAGTAGCCTAACATCTAACTTGTTAGACAAGTTAATTGACACCCTTTGTACTTGATGATGAATGGTAAATTTTATCTACATGGTTTTTTTTTATAAAATTGTTTTTAACTTATTATAAACTGATTTGACTTTTGTGTTCAACCTTTCCTTGAAACTTACTATCGGATGTGAAATGTCACCTGCCCGAGTCCGAAACGTCAAGGACATATTTCTTTGGAGTCCAAAAGGTTGTCATATACGGTAATTATTTTATTTAAACGAAGGTGATTTCAAACACAAAGATAAGTTTTTAATGACCTGAATTAAATAGTTTTTCGTAATCGGGCTATACTAACTATATACCGGAAAACAGCGGAAAACAACCGGAAAACACCATGTTATACTGAATACCGGAAAAACCTAAACCTAACCAACCCCCCCCCCCCCCCCGCACACAGAGGACCTGGCTCCAGGTTACCTATTTAGGGTATTTTCCGGTATTTAGTGTTTTTCCGTTGTTTTCCGCTATTCAGTATAACATGGTGTTTTCCGGTACTTTTCGGGTTGTTTTCCGGTGATTTCTGGTATATAGTATATAGTGAAGTCGTCCACAAGCAAAGTCGTCCACAGTGAAGTCGTCCACACCCATTGGTGGAGTCGTCCACAAGGCATTGGTGATGTCGTCCACAACTATTGGTGATGTCGTCCACAACTATTGGTGATGTCGTCCACAACTATTGGTGATGTCGTCCACAACTAAGAATAAGACTCGTACACAATTTACTCGTACTCAACTATTGGTGATGTCGTCCACAACTAAGAATAAGACTCGTACACAATTTACTCGTACTCAAAACGCCGATGTTATTGTTTGTTTTGTTAGTTTGTTGTTCACCGATGTTTTTGCAATGAAATATACTTGTATTTTGTATTGTTTGTTAATTGGCGTTATGGTTTTAGCATTTTTGATTGTTTGATTAGTATTAACGATGTTTTTTTTAATAAAGTATATTCGCTTTTAATTGACGTTATGATTGTAACATTTTTGATTAGTATTAATGATGTTTTTGTAATAAAGTTTATTGTATTGTTTGTTATCTGGCGTTATGATTTTAATAGGTATAAATATACATGTATGAAGGGCCCCGGGGAAGAATGATCTAAGTCATTTTTCAGTGGCGCCATCTGGTAGCAAATTGTATAAGCTTTCTGTGGAACAATCAATTTCAGGTAAAAACGATCAGAGTCACATCGAACCAAGGCCCTTCTGAAATGGCCTCCCGGACAAATAGGTCCATCATACCCTTCATTTGACCTTAATTTGGCTGAAAAGTGGAAGTCAGTTGTTGAACTGGTAACTATGATTCGTATTAAATATCATTCTGAAGTTGTAATTAAACCCACACAGGGGGAAAAAAGTGTATCGGGGCTTTTAAAGGACGTGGGTCGTTTGGTAGCGGTATAGGAATTCATTTGTGCATGGGGAATGTTATATTAATGAAATTGATTAATGAATTTGTTATTTATTGAATTTGTTATATTAATGATTATTTATTGAATTTGTTAAATTTGTTTATGAATATGTTATTTACTGAATAAAATGATTTACTTTGTTGTTTATTTGCCGGGAGAAAGGGTGACCACGCAGAAAAATTATACTTATTAAAAATACATTATGTGTCCCGAAAGTAAACTAAGTCGTGTGGACGACTCCACCAACGTATTACTATATCCAGAAATTATGCTAAGTCGTGTGGACGACTCCACCAACGTATTACTATATCCAGAAATTATAGTTTTGTCGGGAGAAAGGGTGACCACGCAGAAAAACTATACTAATTAAAAATACATTATGTGTCCCGAAAGTCGTGTGGACGACTCCACCAACGTATTACTATATCCAGAAATTATACAAAGTCGTGTGGACGACTCCACCAACGGGTGTGGACGACTTTGCTTGTGAACGACTTGACTGGCATTCGTTCGTAATCTAAGAAATCCGTTTGAAATTTATAATGTATAATTAGCGTGTGCCAACCGAAAAAGGGACGTAACTCTTTTTTCTTAATTGGCTGTCACAAATATGGCACTATTTTTTCGCGAAAAGCTAGCCTTGCATTACGGCCTCGTGTTGGTTACCTGCAATCGATACCGGTTCCATTCAACCGAAAACAGTTAGTTAAGAGGTCAAGGTTGCTCCGCATGCAAAATTTATCACTCGTAGCAAGGTAAGAATATTTTTTTTCTCCGATTGAAAAGTTTGAAATTTTGTAAATTTTTTCGTGGAAGATGCGGAGCGAAAAAAAACCTGCTCAAATATGGATTAAATATCCCTTTATAAGATCCATCTTCATTTATTTCCATAAGTGGACGTGAACATTGGTAAAATTCAATTTTTCTCCATGTGACCGAAATTCTGTCGGCCATATTGTAATGGCGGGGGCGTGTCAAATGTACCGTTAGACACCCGTTAGTTACACACGTGCTAATAATGAGTGATCATAGGAAGAATTTTAACTTTCTAAGACTGTGCAGTTGATTTTTTTACGAAAACAAACATAGCTCAGAATTGTATGGTATAATAAAGCCCAATAAAAAAAAGAAATAAGGAGTACTTTTCTATATTTTTATTTTTAGGTTTTTTTTTTTAATTATTGAGAAATGGATAGGTCTACTAGTAGTTCTGAAGAGACATTACCCCCAAGTTACATTTTTCATTGTTTTTAACTTATTATGTATTGTTTCAATGTTATTTTCTTACCTTTTTTTCCATAACTTTTAACTAATATTATTGACTTATTTATGTAAAGTTACTTTTTCCATTATTACTTTATACTAATATTATTAATATAGCTAACATATATTTATTACTGTCAACTTATTTATAACTGTTTTTCACCTGTTTCTGTTCTGAAGTTTTTACAGTGTTACTGTTAACTTGACTTTATGATTGACAACTTAAATACCTGTAGTTAACTTCTTTATACCTTGTTTTTCATCTTGTTTGTCTCAATATTTTTATTATTTAACATACAGTATATTAGATTATTAATATTAACTCATGTATTATTAACTCATGTATCATGTATTCCAGCCTGTTTTCCTTCATTTTATCAGTATTGTTTAATCATATTTACAAAACTTTTTCAGTATATGCAGAATATTTTGTAGATATTTAGCTGAATTGTTGTGTTTTTTTTATATTTTTATACTGAAAACTTCAATTCTGGAGTTTTGTTAGTTATGATTCAGTGCATTTATTTTGATAATTTTATTTTTTGATATTTCATACTCATAGCTGTCCACGAGAACATGGATATTTCATAGCTGTCCACGAGAACATGGATATTTCATAGCTGTCCATGAGAACATGTTTCCAGTTTCCATTTAATCATCAAAAAACAATTTCCACTATTTTTAATGATTTTTTTTTATAGTTATTATTTTTATGTTTTTTCGGAACAAAATATGTCCGATTTGCTTTAAATTTTGTCAAAATAAAAGGTAAAAACAATATTTTTGTGGTTGATTTTAGTAAATGTGTGTCTCTAGAACATCTGTGTACAATTTGAGTCTGTTCCAAAGTCATTCAGTTAGTCAAAATATTATTTTTTCAATTTTGCCTGTTTTTGTTGACGGATTTGGGGAAAACGCTGCTTACGTATGGGTATATAAAATTAGCTACAAAAAACAAAGTTATGAACCGATTGTCATAATTGAAAAAGATTAATGATTCTCAGGTGTTTTTCTAACTGTGTGCAAAATTTCAGGTCTGTAGCTCAAAAATTGAATTTTGGTTGGCACATGCTAGTATAATGATAATGATTTACTCTAACTCAGTATTCCTTTTGTACAAATTTTATAAAACGACAATAAATAAACAATAATCTTACCATGATTGTACATGTACATTTATGTATATTTCAGCTTGGGGAAGAATATTTTGGGGATATGTTGTGTTGCCGTTTTATCGACTATAAATATATAGTGACTCACTTGAATTCTTTTGTCATTTCCGGTATTAGGTTGTATAATAAATTTGGACGAAGATCGACCCAACCCGATCAAGCCATCATAATTGACTAGCACACGTTTGACACGTTCCATCTTTTCAACCATCTTCTAGATTATTTAGGTGGCAGATGCATTTCAGATTCATTTTTCTACATGCCCCATCAGCTTTAATCAAAAGTTTTGTGTTATTTTCGTGGAAACAACGTACCAGTAGCTTCCAATTGTGACATCAGATTCTAGAGAAGTACTGTGATCAGTTTGCTAGACAGAACATTACTTTTATCAGCTTCGTGCTATAGTTGAAAATGTAGCCATGGGCGCACAAAGGGGGGGGGGGGGGGGTCCAGATTTTTCCGAGAGGGACTTTTTTCTTCAGGAAAATGGGTCTGTTTGCCGGAGTCTCTTACACATTCAATCAAACCAAAATGAGACCTACAAATCAATATACTTACTAACTACTTTTCGACCTAACTGAGGTAATAATTGATTTTTTAATGCTCAGTGGGCCGATTAACTACTTTTCAAGCTAACTGGGATAATAATTGATTTTTTAATGTTTAGTGGGCCGATTATCTAACTACTTTTCGACCTAACTGGGGTAATAATTGATTTTTTAATGCTCAGTGGGCCGATTAACTACTTTTCAAGCTAACTGGGGTAATAATTTATTTTTTAATGTTGAGTGGGCCGATTACCTAATTGCATACCAGAAATATTCAAAGGGGGCCACTTTGAATATTTATGGACTAGCCTCCTTAGAGGCTGAGTTAGCAAATCACCCAAAACTGTGTAAACCAGTTCATATTTCACCAAACAGAGATGATAGAATTATGATTTTTCCAAGACATATTATAGGGTTTTCGATCCAATGGAGGGTTGAAGGGGAATAAACATAAATGTTGTACATTTAAGTTGATTTAATAAAAAGTTATTTACATAAAAGAGTTAAAAGTATAACCACAGGCCCTAAGACAATGGCCTACGACACGGAATTGGCAAAAGGTATTTGGAAAACTGAGGTGCCTATTTATAGTATCAGCAGGCTACTGGTTGCTCAAGCCAAATACTACCAAATACCTATAAATTCTAACCCAATACAGTCACATACTAACTTAACATTACAGTATCCAAAACTGGCTAAATTATTCAATAACTTTACTTCTTCAATGGAACGGTGAAAAATTGAATAAACAATTTATTTTCCACAAACAAACGTATTGTTATTCAATAACAATTGTACTTTCATCGCATATTGGTCCAGAAATAGATTGATTTTTGGATGTATAATTCAATAATTTGTCATTAATTATTGGTGATTAAGGGGGAATAAATGAAATGGCTTATTTGAACATGCTCTCTGCTGTATTGTTTTTGGTAGTAGGGGGATAATAATTTGTTAGTATTGGGTGATCAAGGGAAATAACTGGAATGGCTATCTTGATTGATCTAAGTGCATGTCCACTGCAGGGCCCTCACAAGCCTACATGTATGTGGCATCCCAGGGCAGAAGTTTCAGTGACTTCTTCTCCTTGAGGCAAGGCTTCACAAAAAGCCTGAGGACTTGTCAATTCTGTTACGATTAACATGAACTTTATTTTCTGAGGGAACATATTTAGTACATGAGTTCTACTTTTCATCATGTCTCTCCTTCATTATAAAACAAAGGGTAGTATACATAACTACCCAGAAACAGTATTTAGGCCTACACATATTTACAAAGTGCATACATATCATATATAAGCTTATCAAGGGAAAAATAAAACAAACACCAGAGAGGAGAGAGAGAAAGTGAGAGAGGGTTTAACTCCACTGGACACAAACCAGGTCATTTCGGGACTAACATATATGGTTTAATTTTATTTCAATAATTCGCTTCTGTGTGGGGGTCTTTAACAGTGGGAGGAAACTAGAGGCAAACAAGAAAGAAAAAATGGCAAATGTAAATGTATTCAGAGGACAACAGTAGTGAACAAGGGTTAAAAGAATTGACATTGCTGCTATAACAGCATATGTTTGGCCCATAGTTTAGTATGCTCATACTTGTCCTTTATAGATTGCTAAGTCTTAACTTTTATATTTGATTTAATACTCCATTGTGAAAATATTGGATGCTCATATCATTTATTTAAGACACTTGACTGAACATTTCAAAATCACTACACGAACATGACTTGTGTATTCTATGAATATAATGGTTTCGAGCACCATTTGTATTGACAAGATAGGTTGTCAGACAACAAAATGGTGGCCCATGTTGTTGCATATTTATTCATTTGTAGGTTATACAGATGGAGGGAAATGCAATATACAACCACATTTCCATATGGGCTTATAAAAAGGAAAACATATCCAAGGGCACAATGAGGAAGTAATTAAAAATAGCTAATTTACAAATGACAAAATAATGATAAAAAATTACTGAGCAGAATTGATTAAACAGGTGTAACGCAAACAACTGTTCTTCTCTTATTTCACCTCACATAATTGATTAGAAATTACAATAACAATTTTTTAAAAATAGGGTGTAAATCACTTTATATACACTAATGTTACATTAATATTTGCTTTTAGACCAATTTTCATCTACTATAATTATTCATGGCATTGAACAATGTCTAGTTGTTCAGGTGGGACGAACAACCTAGGTCATACGTGTATGTATGACAGTTAAACCCCATTTCATTTTATTGAATATAGGCCATGTATAATTGTATTAAACATTTGAGAGTGTATTTTTATTTGTATGGAACATTTGCTTGTGTATCTTTATTTAAAGATTGTTTAGCCTTATATTTATGAACTGAGATATGATTTAATAAATCACTCTTCCACTCAAAACCTTCTTCACATAAATCGCATTTAAACGCATTTTCTCTGCTGTGAATTTTCCTGTGTTCCCGTAAATCACTATCTTTAAAATATTTACCACAAACATCACATTTATGACTGGTGATGAGGTGTTTCTGATAAAGACTATGTACGATATAGATTTTATAACAGAAACTACACTGATATCGACTGGCAACTTTATCTTTACAGTCTAGATCTTGGTGTTTCTTCAGCTGATGTTTGTATGTAAATGATTTACCACAAACATCACACGTAAAGGGTTTTTCTCCAGTGTGAAGACGGATGTGTATAATCAGATTACGGTGCTTAGAGAAAATTTTGTTACAAACATGACATTCATAGACTCTCTGTACAATATGAGTTTTCTTGTGCGATTTCAGAGTTTTTTTGGTGTTAAATAGACTCTCACAAACATCACATTTAAAATTCATTCCTCCAGCATGTTTCTTGCTCAAATGTTGTGTCAGATTACCAAGGCTTGTGAATGATTTATCACAAGCATCACATTTAAAAGGTTTCATTCCGGTATGAGTTCTCATGTGAGTCTGTAAGTGACCAATGTGCTTAAATGATTTTCCACAAATATCACATTTGTATGGTTTAATCCCTGTATGGGTTCTAATGTGTCTCTCACGATCAACGACCTGGCGGAATGATTTACGACAAACTTCACAATTATAGGGTTTCACTCCTGTGTGAATTTTCTTGTGTTTCCATAAATTACTGGCATCCGTAAAGACTTGGCCACAAACATCACATTTACAGATTTTTTCTACTGAATGAATTCTTTTGTGTCTCTGAAGTCCTAAGAATTGATTAAATGATTTACTACAAACATCACATTCATAAGGTTTTCCTCCAGCATGAATGGTTTTGTGTTTATATAAATAGCTTTGATCGGTAAATGATTTACCACAAATATCACATTTATAAGATTTTGTTCCAATATGAGCTCTTATGTGCCTCTGAAGACCAACATTTTGCTTAAAATATTTACCACAAACCTGACATCTATAAGGCTTTTCACCTGTATGCGTTCTAATGTGTCTATCAAGATGGCTTCTAGTATGAAATGGTTTGCAGCACAGATCACATGTAAATGGTTTTACACCAGTATGAATTCTCATATGTTTTTTAAGATCTGAATTGGAATTAGATGATTTACTACAAACATTGCATTTATAAGGACTATCTCCTGTGTGAGCCCTAATGTGTTTCTGTAGATTATTATTTCTAGAGAATGATTTGCTACAAACATCACACTTATAAGGTTTTTCGGGTGTCTTCAAATCTATTTGGCTCTGAAAAATTGTTTCATTATTTCGAGAAACATTTTGTGAATCATACTCTTCTTGAACATGTATTTCACAGTGTTCCTCTAAATCAGTTTCTAATTTAAATTTCTCATCACATAAATTGCATCCATAATTTGCAGTTCTTGGTTCAAAATGTACATGGCAATTGTCATAGAGATCTAGGTCTTCAGCTTTGTCATCTTTAACACGACAATGTTCTTCATCTTTAACACGACAATGTTCTTCTACGTCATCAGCTTTCTCATCTTTAACACGACAATGTTCATTTACATCATCAGCTTTCTCATCTTTAACATGTACTTTATTGTGTTTTTCTAAATCATCATATTGTTGAAAAATCTTATCGCATACACCACACTGGTGGAAATTTTCTTTAGATTTAACATCATCAGTCTTCTCTACTTTAACATGTATTTTGTTGTGAATTTCTAAATCTCCATAGTCCTGGAAAATCTCATCACATACAACACACTGATGGAAAATTTTAACATCATTAGTTTCCTGAAATATACAAAATTTATAATATCATTAATGCAAAAGGGGTTTTACTTTTTTCTTGATAAATGATTTCACCATATAGTTGGCTGCAATAAACTTGACAATTACACTTGTAACATGGACAGAAAATCTTGCTTTGTTCTTTTTTGTTGAATAAACAGATTGTTTTCCCTCTAGTAGATTGGGTGGAGTTTAACTGTGCAATAACTAGACATGTTCAATGTTATTGCACACTTTTGCTGGTTTACACTAGTTTTAGTAGAAATCACCTTTATGTCAATACTTTAATAGGAATTGATTTATTATATGTTAAGCTAGGTGCTGTACTGTTTTGGGTCAGTTTATGTCTGTGTAAATTAAGGGTGCTATAGGCCAGTCACCTTTTTGTAGTGATTTCACTAAAAAACTTGCGCAAAGGAACTCTGTAGGACGAGTCACTACTGTGGATGGAGTAAGGCGGAAGACATCAGTAGTGGAACCATTTCTACAATCCATGTATTAATCTTACCATGGTTATATATGCCGGCTTTGTTTTTGTGTCTAGTGTTGATCCGTCACATGTGTCTACTTATACAGATTGATATGTACTCTCCAGTTTCATTTTAAAACGATAGAAAATGAAGACTCGTGGATCACATTATCCACTCTAAAAAAATTCTTTGAATATTCTATCGCCATTTCCGGTATCGCGTCATAGAAGGTTGTATCATAAATTGAGAAGTAGATCTACTCAACCCGAATATGTCATAATTGAAGTGTGTGACGCGCTTGATTTTTTCAAACATCTGTCAGTTTGACTATATATATGTCGCCCCGTGTCGCGGATTCATTTTAATTTTATATTTCATTTTACACATAAACAATTATGCATTCTTGTAAGTCACCGATTTGGTGTTATTGTGGTAGATGTTATAATTATGATGACTTTAAAGACAGTGGTAGCACAATTTACCCAAACCTCAATTATTGCAACTCAGTCATATCACAATCATTTATTTTTGATAATATACTTTTCTTTGTGCCAAATTATCATTATTAAATCAGAATCATAGCGTTCTTGTATCCAAATGGTTACGCCTTCCAAGCTTGCTTGAAAATCTCATTTTGAGGGGCATTTTAACACAAACGTGCTTCAATTTTAAATTACAAATGACAATTTGGGATAAAGAACTCATATTTTTCATAATATTCGAAATCAAAAGACACAAATTAGAATTTAAAAGAAAAATAATTATTAAAACCTGATTACGACTTCCAAACTTGTTTAGAAATCGCATTTGGAGAGGCATATTGACACAAAAACTTTAAGCCATTGTGAAAGGAGTTGAAATAATGATGGATTTTGGGTAAAACGCGCTAGGAGTTGTGTATATTAATATTACTGGGGTCCATACAGAAGAATGAAGAGATGGGTATTTATTAATACATGTATTACTGGGCTCCAAACAGTAGAATGAAGAGATAGTTAATTACAATCTACAAGGTTGGCAATGATGTAACGTCACAGGAATGTATATAAAATAGCAACTGTTTTGATATTGTATGTAAAATATTTTAATGTTTTACCTTAAATCTATGTAAAATCCAAAATCCATTATAAAAATATATTTAAAATCATCCATTTTATTATGCCTTTTTATAAAAATAATTCATACACTGATATTGACTATGCTATATATATATAACATGTATTATGTGAATAAATATATTTACTAAAGAAAATAGAAAAAAACCCCCAAAAGACCCAAATTCAATTTGGTCAAAATGGGCGCTAGCCTGTATTAATGTGTTACGGACCAGAATCCGAATATAACGTCATCACCACCCCCTTGAAATTGTCATTTTTTTTTTATTGTTGTATCAGAAGTTGAATGAATAATTGCCCAATAAACAAGCAAGCCACATTTCATATCGACCTTGATTGTTGAATTGAGAGAGTTTTATTTAAAGATGAACAACAAGATGAGTAGCGCTTGAATTCGGTTCCTTGTCCAAAAAGCTAGTGTATGAAAATGAAATGAAATGGGGTTTAAAGTTGAAAGTCCTACAGTTATGTTCTGACTGGGCTAATAAAGACGAGCACAAGCAATGCATTGTGCTATATGAGGAAAATTTTGCCCAGACAGCAGCGCTACAGCCTACTCGTCTATCTAGTTCCAACTGCAAAGGGATCTTTTACGTGTACGTCAATATGTACACAGGACCTTGGTTATTCATCCCACCAGAACACCTATATAATGTACATTGTCCTTTATATTAAAATGGTTATACTTCTGTCCATATGGTATGATTTATTGTTTCACATTGTAAATTAATTCATTTGTAAATAAAATATCTGTTATATCACATGTTAATTTATTTAAATTCTTCAACGGAGAATAAAGTTTATTGGCAATGAAGCATTACAACAAAACATGGTGGTACATCTTTTATCCAGACAAGGCCCAAGAATTGGGGCGGGATGCCGCCGGTACATCGCTCCAGGGCAATATAGCCCCAGTCTGGCCACAAACATCAATTTGATTTTCTTACCTCGACTTAATCGGCATTCGTGCCGATGACCCCCCGATCCGATGTCCTACTCTTTTTTACCTTCTGATGTAAAAGTCAAAGGTGAAAAAATCTAATGTTCTCAATCAGTACCGGATTTAAAAGAAGAGATGATTTTTTTCACCTCCTAGACTTTAATATCAAACATATTAGACAGCAAAAGGATGAATTGATAGATTTCACACCAACCTGTTTAGAAGGTTTGATATAAACCAGACTCATCAGGTTGTTTAGACGGTTCCAGAGAGATCAGACTAATCAGGCTGTGTAGATAGTTCGATAGAGACCACTCACTAGGGTGTTTAGAAGGTTCATGACAGATTAGGCTCACCCATAACAACCTGTTTAGAAGGTTTGAGAGAGATTCCCTGACAGCTTTACACTTACATTGTACATAACCAGCTGGTATGTTGATGGGGCAATAAACAGTCCAAAAGTAAATCAGTTGCTCTCAAGTATCCTTTTAAGTATCCTACAAGTATCGTTATGCATATTCTAGTAATTATCAATTTTCCTAATCTATGATTTCACCAACCAATTTTCATCCATATCAAATTCAACACTTCATTAATATTATAAATTAATGAACATTTTAAAATCAGTCCACAGTACTCCACAGGCCATAAACTTGATGGTTTCGGGTGCCATTTGTAATAAACAAACAAAATCCTCCTACAAGACATTGCAGGAATAATTAGTAAAGGCTGTGTAATTCACAAACGACAAAGTAGTAATAAAAACTGGACTAAGTCATTGTAAAAGACTGCCGTCCAATTTAAACTGTTCATGTATTTCACTGAACATAATTGATTATAAATTACAATAAAAATTGAATATAGATCTCTTCCTTTTCATTCATATGAACGTTTAGACTCATTTTTGTCTTTTTGATGATCCAAAGAATAGAGCTATATGCCATTTAAACGTGGTAACATTTCTCATTTGATTCAAAACATGAGGGATGTTGAGATAATTTAATGATGTCTGGTGCATTCACTGCAAAAGATCCACCTTGGGCAACACAACTGTTTGAACAGAGATTATGGGAGCCACGTTGGCTAAGTAAGACGCTGAGATCGCGAGTTCGATCCCGGTGTTGGCTGAGAAAGTTCATCAGGATTTTTTGGCATGGTTTTCCCTTGTGAGTGGTGCAGGCCGGAGGGGCTTACGAGGATGGCTGTCTAGTCATTCGGATGGGACGTGGGAGCATAAAATTATCCAAAATTGCAAACCAACTCAAATTATATCCACCACTCGAGATTTGTTTTGCGAGTAGAATAAGCAAAGGTTAATAAAATGAAATAAAATCAAAACAAACTATTTTATTTTAAAGAATCAATGCATGAACAGATTACAAGACAGGTTGTATTTTGAGTTATATTATAGTAAATATACAAATGGGGCTGTACGATATTGCAAAAAGGGACGATATCGATATTGGCATTTTTTTCAACGATATAGTTAAATATCGCGATATTTAATAATAATGTCACTTTGCTATTAAATAAATTAAATATAAATGCATTAAAGCTGAATACAGTGTGAGTAAGAATTGTGGGTAAGAATTCCTTTATTCATACACTTTAAACTTTGTTTTTTTATACAATATAGATTTATTAAAATGAACAAAACAACATCCTTTTTGGATAAAAACGTTTCAATGCTTTTGTACTAGCTAAGTTTTCCATAATTAAATTAAATATAACCGCTGATGTTTAAAAAGCGTCTGCTTGTGACCTTGTGAAAGAAAATTCTCAAAAATATCACGTGCAGCGGAAGTAAGAAGATGCCGTCTTCAAGTCTTGTATTGTAAGTTCAAACAGTTTAATAGTAAGTGCAGGGGGACGGCACTATATATACACACGTAAAACAAAAATCTACAAGATAAACCTGCACCGGACAAGACAGAAAATAGACATTGCACCAAATAAACCAATATCAAATCAAGTGAATGGATCCGAGGGCCAGTCGTAAGTGTCCACTGCGCAATACAGTCCCGGGCCTGTAGTGACACAGATTTCACTCAAGTTTGAAAACAATCAGGAATACATGTACAAAAAGGACGTAACAGAAATAATGTGATACTAAATGATACAGACTATCTTCCATTCAAGCATTCGATTGGCTGCAGTATTCCTGGCCTAACAGTGACAAATCTATTTATAGATCGTTTTATTCTTGCTTTCAGAAATTAAGTTTCGTAGAGTTTTCTAAATACATTTGTTTTTTAAAAATATGACAACCTATTTATAGCCTGGTAATTAGCCGCGGTAGTGGGAAATTTCTGGCGTTTAGTAGGCCTAAGCTTTACATGTAGTAACAACTGACAATTTATTGTCGACTAAAAACAAAGTAAAAGTAACGCATACACGATGTAGTGAAAACCGGCTGCGGACACTGCGCAAGTGTTTTCAACATTTAACGATTCTCAAAACATTAGTTTTATTATAGTTTATTGCCGTCGGCTAATTTCCACTGCTGTATAGTGTATTTATTATCTATTTTTATGATAATTTTTTTTTGATATTTGAATTTTTTGGCGATATTCGATAAACCACTATATCAACGATTTTTGGCCACATGATATCGTAGTTGGGTCTGAAAATACCATATCGCGATAAATGACTATATCGAGCTTGATAATGATAAGAGGATACTTGTCGAAACGTCGTGCTATTAGAATAAAACCAGTGATTGTTTCCCATAAAAATTGTGTTCTGTTATCATACTAAAATACACTGATAATTGTAATAAGACTAAATCTATACTAATATTTGTGACTGTCGTCTGTCTGTTCAGGGTTGGTGGCTACACTAGGGCTGTCCCGAGGTTGCAATTTAGTGTGTAGGGGAAGCTCAGACCATGGAGTATCATGGGCCAGGTGGCGTTGGACTACTGCTTCCGGCTATACTACTTTCAGCCCACAGGGGGTAGGGGGTTGCATGCACTTTAGATCATAAGATCTGTCATTAAGTCAAGAGGTGTGGCTTTGTATGTGACAACCTTGTGGGGTTTCTCCAGTCCTTAAAATTTCTCCCACTGGTGAGGACCTCTAGGTAGAACGAAATAAGAGGGAAGAGAGAGAGAAATGGGGTTTAACGTCCACTCGACACAAACTAGGTCATTTCGGATCTAACACATGGTTCAATTTTATTTCAATAATTCGCTTTCGCATAGGGGTCTTTATCAGTGGGAAGAAACTGGAGGACCCGGAGAAAACCCTCGTGGTTGGACAGGCGACCCTACACCTTGTCACCTACAACGGGGGAATCAAAACCCCACCAGTTGACTCAATGACAGACCTTATGATACAGCGTGCACGTGCTAACCATTCGGCAATCCACACACCCCACAACGAAAAAACTAAATAAAAGTGTACCATATGTTTGTTTTAAGTTTCTCTCTCTTTAACAATAAGTTTTATCATGTTGCTGTAAATGGTGACTCTCAGAAACATCACATTTGTCTTTTTAACAATGAGTTCCAACATGTTGCTGTAAATGTTGACTCTTGGAAAACGATCTACCACAAGCATCACATGTTGCTGTAAATGGAGACTCTGAAAATGAACCACTACAAACATAACATTTGTCTCTTTAACAATTATTTCTAACATGTTGCTGTAAATGTTGACTCTGGGAAAACATTACAATTACCATTGGCATGAATTTGAGAGAGAGAGAGAAATGAGGTTTAATGTCCACTCGACACAAACTAGGTCATTTCAGGACTAACATATGGTTTAATTTTATTTCAATAATTCGCTAGCATAGGGGTCTTTAGCAGTGGGAGGAAACCGGAAGACCTGGAGAAAACCCACGAGGTTGGACAGGCGACCCTACTCCTTGCCACGTACAACCGAGGAATCGAAACCCCGCCAGTTGACTCAATGACAGACCGTATGATACAACGCGCTCGTGCTAACCTTTCGGCCATCCAACCCCCCGCATGAATTTGAACCTCATATTTTAGTGTGAAGTTTCATGTGTCTCTGTTGATTAGATTTAAGGGTAAATGATATATCACAAACATCACATTTAAAATCCTTTAATGGTCCTCCACTATGAAAGTTCCTGTGGGCAATAAAGCAGGTTTTCCGAATAAACGATTTATCACAAACATCACATTTAGAAGGTTTTCCTCCTGTTCGAATTCTCAAGTGTTGCTGTAACGTTCCAATTCGGCGAAACGATTGGCCACAAAAATCACATTTAAAAGGCTTCTCTCCCGTGTGGGTTTTTAAATGTTGATTTAAATTAATCTTGTGGCTAAATGATCTACCACAAACATCACATTTATAGGGTTTTTCACCGGTGTGAATTCTCATGTGTCTCTTCAGACCAACAGTCTGAGTAAATGATTTACCACAAACATCACATTTTAAAGTTCTTTTAAAACACATCTTGCTTTGAATCTTATAAGCATCTATAAATTGTGAACTATTTTCCTCCATGCTTTCTTCGTGTATTTTACAGTGTTTCGCTAAATCAGTCTCCGATTCAAATTTCTCATCACATAAATTACACTGATGAAATGTTATAACATAATTAGTTTCCATGGCTTCCTTGACTTCAACATGAATTTTACTGTGTTTTTCTAAATCAGTCTCAGATTCAAATCTTTCATCACATAAATTACACTGATGAACTGGTTCTATATCTTTGGTTTTCACTTCCTTAACATGATAATATTGATCTACATCATCAGTTTTCTCTTCTTTAATATGCATTTTATTGTGTGTTTCTAAATCGTAATATTGTTGAAAAATCTCATCACATACAACACATTGATGAAAGGTTTTAACATCATTAGTTTCCTGTAATATATAAAAATTACATCAGTTTTTCACAATAATTGTTTTAATGATATATGGCCGCTCTCATTTATGAAATTTTTATACGTCCATGTGGACGTATATTGCTTTCACCATAGTTCGTCCGGTGTCAGTCTCACAATTTGCTTGTCGACATTCTAGATGTCACAATATTTATTCGATTTTAATGAAACTTAAAATATATGTTTCATATGTTTTTCTCCCACAGCTAAAGACCCTTACACAGAAGCAAATATGTTTATATCCCAAAGATCTAGGTTCCTTCCAATATTCGCACGTCCCAGACCATAACTTCCTGGTTTATGGACCCCGATTGTATGAAAAATCACTTTTTAATTTGTTCTCTGTCCATCTCTTGGAAAATTTGGGTGTATCTTGAGAGTCAACAAGCTAAAAACATGATTTTACGTATAACCAGGGCCCATAATCCATGATGTCACAGTCTGATACATGCCAATATTGAATGGAACTGATTTGGAGATAAATCTATATTTCAATTTTTTCAAAAATGGATAAAAATTGTGACCCATACGAACTAGGACATGGGCGATGATAATATATGTCCACTTGAAAAGTTGGTGTACAAAAACTAATACTGAAAACAAGAAAGCAATAAAAAAAAGGTGCTGTTGGTCCAGGCAGTGGTTGTCTGTTGATGTGCTAATGTCAATAACGCTAACAATAATAACGGTCCAGATAACACTAAAAAGGTTTAAATTAACAAGTATTATTCAACTATGGAAGTTTTGAAATTTCTTTTAAAAAAAGTATTTGTGATCCACCCTTAGCAGTGCATTTAAAATAAAGAGATCTTATACTAGAAAAAACCCAGTTCTTTATTGTTACATATTGTTAAAAATCAGATTGTACTCCACTAACCACTGGGTCCATTCATAGGGAATTCACAAGTTCAAATTATCTGCCATTGATGATTTCATTGGCCTTGTAGGTTAATTCTATGAACCAATCAATAAACAATTTACATATCAGTCTTTAGTAGGAGTCATTGTTTACATTCACCACAATACAGCAGATTTTAAGCTCGATTGTGAGAAAGTTTGCAAGAAATTTAATATGTAAGAAATGACATCCACACAAAAACATATCCTAAAATATTTTGACAAAGTTTACAACATCTATTTGGTGGTCTTAATCACAACAAAATGCGAGTTACTATCTACTTATAAAATTTTTTGATTGATCTATAAACATAGCACAATTATCAAGTGAAGATAAATTGACCGTGTCTCCCACTGAGGATACTGGGGAGAGAGAGAGAAATGGGGTTTAACGTCCACTCGACACAAACTAGGTCATTTTGGGACTAACATACGGTTTATTTTTTTTATTTCAATCAAGGGGTCTTTAGCAGTGGGAGGAAACAGGAGGACCCGGAGAAAACCCACGAGGTTAGACAGGCGACCCTACTCCTTGTCACGTACAACCAGGGATTCGAAACCACGCCAGTTGACTCAATGACAGGTTTTATGATACAGCACGCACATGCTAACCATTCGGCCATCCAACCCCCCGGATACTGGGGATGATTGAAAACTTGAATGTTATATTATACCTACCTTGCTTTCTTTCAATAAAGACACAGTAACTTTTGTCGTTTTAACTATTTTTGGAGTAAGTAATGAGTCTACAAACCCACCTGTGCTCTGGTATGTTGGACTCTTGACTGAAATTTGAACAGATAAATGTGCACTGTAAGTAGGTGAATAACAAATATGGTCAATCAATAAACTGATGAAAAGATGGGATATTATTGCTAAAAATAAATACCATATTTTTCAGGGTGTAACAGGGAACAAAATAACTCTTGACAATTGGTTAGCAGTGTGAAACAGTTTTAATAACATTTTGCTAATCAAATCAAATTTTGGAACACAATAACTGTCATTCTAATTGAGTTAGAATGTTCACACTTGGTATAGGTGTCTATTAGGTGAATGCCCTGATGGAGTTCGAAGATGAGAATTTTCTGCTTAGGGTAAGCAGAGATAAGCAATTTGATTAGCTGATGCTCTGGGACACGATAACTTTAGTTCTAATTAAGTGGGAGTGAGGACACTTGGTGTATAGCTTTAGATAATGAACATTTTCTGCTGAAGGTAAATAGAGCGATAGGCAATTTGATTGGTCAAAACTTTGGAACACAATAACTCTCCTTCTAATTGAGGTAGAATGTTCAAACTTCGTATAGACATCCATTAGGTGAATGCATTGGAGTTCGATGATGAACATTGCCTGCTTACAGTAAGCAGAGATAAGCAATCTGATTGGTTGATGCTTTGGGGCATGATAACTTTGGTTATAATGAAGTGAAAGCGATGAAACTCCGGATATAGATTCATTATATCATTACCTCGACTAAGTTCGATGGTGAGAATTTTTTGCTTAGGCTAAGGAGCGATAAGCAATTTGATTGGTCAAGACTTTAGAACAAAACAACTCTGCTTTTAATTGAGGTAGAATGTTTAAACTTGATATAGATGTTCATTAGGTGAATGTCTTGACTGATTAACTTTTCGAGCTGAAGCTAAGCAGAGCTAATCAATTTCATTTGTCAATGCTTTGGGACAAGATAATCTTGATTCTATCTGATAGAGAGTGATGAAACTTAGTGTATAGTTTGATTGCTCGATACTTTTGAAAAAAATAAATGTGTGAATGAAACATTATTTGATTGAATGAACTAAAAATACCATCAAACAAAGCCGAGTTATGTCACAATCATCTAGTATCTATTTTTCATTGCCGCTTTGTTGCTAAACAGAAGTTTTAGTGCCGCCTATATTACATACAGAGTTACACCCCCTGAAAATCTGTGACAAATTTGGCGATGTTTTTTGGACATGTGCTTTTTTCGATAAAATAAATTTAATCCATGGATTTTTCTTCAAACAAATGGATAAAATAATCGAATACATCACAATGGTAGACATTACAATGTTGGTTAAAAATAACACGTTCACAGAAGATATATCAGAGATTTGTTCAGTCAAAGAATTTTCGTTCCAAGCAAGTTCAGCGACGGCCAAATTTACTGATGCAAGTATTGATGTATGTTTGCTCCCAATGCATCCATGTGTAAAATTTACTTGATGTCAGCACTAACAAACACTGAGATTGTATTAAGAGCTCACTCCCACTAAGCGGTCAGTCATGAAAATTCCATAGAGTGACTGCTTAATACAGATTCTAATAGGAATGCAAGAATAATAATTAATTTGGTGTATAGGGGTAGCTCGAACCGTGGAGTAACACAAGCGAGGTGGTGTTGGCCTACTGCTTCCGGATTTCAGAGTTACAGGCACAACCAGCAACAATCCATTTCAGTTTATTGAATAAAATATTGTTTAAAAAAACCAAAAAAAAACCTGTGCAGCGCAGGGTCATCCGCTAGTCAAGTAGTAAAATATATTAATACATCTATTGCTTACTTAATAAAGGGCGCTCTGAGCCTGCCTTTGGCGTTAAGGTTGATTTGGTTGGCTGGATTTCCTGTTGTATCGCAATTGGTACTACTGCCTTTGTTGTTATAGCTAATTGGGTTGGCCGGATTTCCTGCCGTATTGCAATCGGTACTACTGCCTTTGTTGTTACAGCTGTTTGGGTTGGTTGGATTTCCTGCTGTATCGCGATCGGTACTACTGCCTTTTTTGTTACAGCTAATTGGGTTGGCTGGATCTCCTGCTGTACTGGAAGTACTACTGCCCCTGATGATTGTTTATTTTGAGAAATTTTTGACTTAAGTTCAGAAATTAAATTTCTTCTCTCCTGAAAAAGATGAAAACAAAATAGAAAAGTAAAATCAGACACCAGATCTTACAATAAATAAATGAATGGAAATATAAAATTAAAAAAAATTAACGGCAAACAATTATACGCTCAAAACGAAATGGGCCAGAGTATCACTCATTAAATTGATGACTGATCATAGAATTATTAGGCTTGAGTAACAATAGGAGCTTTTATGGGTTTCCCATTTCATGTCATTTTCGGTCATATGCAGTGCCTGGACTTAACCGTTAACCGGTCATTGTCGACTATAATCACCACAACGTTATACAGCTATGTGGTCACGGTCGAATACAGTCGACCACAGCAAGAACCTTTTTTATATGCTGCATTTGAGTATTTAGTTTTGCATTTAATTGATATGGCCATGCATGCGTGTCAGACAGGAACTTGTTTTGTCAGGGGCATTTAGAAAAACAGGTCTTTGTTCAACATTTTTTGACAAAAAAATTAATTTCACGATGTCAGGAAGTTTAAAGACACTCAAAGTGGTTGAAATGCTTATGAATGATCCGGACTCAAATTATATTGATGACACCGGTTCTGAAGACGATATTTCTGATGAAAATGATTTAGAATGATTTTCAAATTATAGATCAACTTATCCCCTTTTTTATTGGTGTCAAGAGTCTATCACTTATAATTATCCGGCAGTAGTCGATTGAAATAGGCATACAAAATATTTCACTTTAGCCTGACCACTTGACATCATGACGTTAAAATGACGTCGACTGATTAAGGGTTAATTACTTACAGAAACGTATAGGCTGTTATGTGATTTTTAGTGAAAATACCCTCGTACCAATAGCATGTATTGCTAAAAATGAAACTGCCAACTATTTCCATATTAGTAAAAGGTTTACCGACCAGTACCAGAAGTTAATATCTATAAGAATATTTTTTTCTTTATTTAAGAAGGGTTAATCTGTGGTGATAATTCTCCGATACATATCGTCTTCTTGAATTCTTTCACAGATCACCTCTCTATCATTATTATTTACTCTGTTGCTCCATGCATTTTACATCCAAACAGATGTTATCTATTAATTGCAGAACAATTAAAACAAAAGATATAAATAGTATATCCTATTTACATTCAACGGCCAACTGCAGAGTAGAGAGAAAGAGAAATGGGGTTTAACGTCCACTCAACACAAACTAGGTCCTTTCGGGACTAACATATGGTTCAATTTTATTTCAATAATTCGAATGCACTTACGTTTTTTTTTTATCGGTGGGAGGAAACCAGAGAACCCGGAGAAAATCCATGAGGTTGGACGGGCGACCCTACTCCTTGTCATGTACAGCCGGGGAATCAAAACCACGCAAGTTGACTCAATGATAGACCTTATGTTACAGCGTGCACATGCTGGCCATTCAACCTCACTAACTGCAGAGGACGTGCAAGGTTGATATATTGTCTGCTATTATAGCACTGCATGTTACCCTACTGTACTACATGTTGGTCGTTGAGGTTATATCGATCTACAATTTGTATTAATAATAATAGCCAATAATACTATAAAGTATGCAATATGCAAATAAATTGTTAGTCTTCGTGCATGAATGCTGTTAGCCAATAGCTATTGTAAATTTTCCCTAGTTTTGACAGCTCTAACCAAAGATAAAATAGTTCTTTGACGCACAGAGCGAAAATTCAGCCATTTTTATCAAATTTCCTCTTGATGGAATACAAATACCTGATAACAGAAACAATAAAATGATGATTATGTTGAATCAATGAATAATTTTTTTAACCCTTTTTGATTTTCATCTGTTAATTGTTTCTAACATCATACATGTAGATCGCCTTGGCCCCATTGTCACAAACAAGAACGACACATTTGTGCTCCATTTTATCAAAATTTCAAATTCATTATGTGATTCAGAGAAGAACTGTTGAATGAAATTATATAACTGGACTCGGTGCAGTCTATACAGAAATATTTCTAATTTGATATGTTGATATCATCTTGAATTCTTTCGTGGAACGGCAGGTTAACTCTCTAATCCACTCTGTTATTTACTCTAATGCTTTATTTCCTGGCATTTTACAACCGAACAGAATGATAATTGTTAGCATGCAGTAAAATTAACTCAAAACATATAAATCAGCTTCATACAGTTCCCGTGATAGTAGAGACTTGAAATGTACAGGGATGTTCAGGGAGGCTATCCATGGCCCCCATACGAAATTTCAGCCGAATCGGTCAATAACTTTTTATTTTACCGTAGTTTAGCTTCTAACGAGATAAAGTTTATCCGATTTTGATGCCATTTTGTTTGTTGACTATTTAGACTCAAATAACAAGATACTAAGACCGGTCCAACACACTGGCTTCTTGCCTAATGCTGCAGTTCATTATAATAACAATAATTTTCGTATATTTTAATTTTTGTGCTAAGCCATCAATTTCTCTAAACGACTATTTAGCGGTGACCAGTTGGATTGGCTTTTACGTGTGAATATTATCGTGACCTTGCTTTTGACCCCGACTTTAAATTTCCTATCGAGCTCAGGGCCTTTGCGTTTATGGATCCCATGGGCAGGGCAATATTCATTGCTGTATTATCGGATAAACTTTTCCCTGGTTAAAAACTAAATTACGGTAAAATATAAAGTTATTGACAGATTTGTGTGAAATTTGGTGCAAGGTCATGGCTAGCACGCCATGAACACCCCCTGTAAATTTCAAGTCTCTACGATCTCGGGAACTGGTAAGGGTACATCATACCTCCTTCAGAGAATCTAATTTCGTAGCAATTAATTTTGTCACGGTTTGGATTTTTGTCAGTCTTGCAAAGCAAATCCTGCAAATGTAAGATGATAATCCGTCACCGACGACAGGATGGTAGCCAAGAACTTCCTGTAATTCACTGACTACTAAAAAAGCCGGTGAAAATATCAAGCGTCGCCTTTGTACATCGATAATTCTACTACATATTCTGCAAAAGGAAACACTTTGGTCGTCCATGATTTCTAGCAACCTTGACATTGAATTGAACCTTGAACTTTGCAACTCGATTATCACAGGTAGACATTTCTGTTGGTAAGCAAGAGACTTGATATTCCCGATGATATTTCCTACGGAGGCAGACGCGAGGTCGAGAGCTGGGTCCGAGACCATTCGAAATTAGTGGCGAAATAGAGTATTACGTGAAGGCCTCGATAAGATTACAGAGTTAAAGCGAGATCAAGCGTTCTATTGAAGCTGATTCAGTGTTTCTCAGTTTGGGAATATGGCAGACATTTGCTGTCTAATTATGACTTATTCGGGTTGTGATGTTCCTCGTCTATATTTATTGTCCAACCTAATATTTTGTTAAACCGGAAATTGACAGAGTTTGTGTTGGAAATTTGAAACAAAGCTCGGATAAATACAGTCATGGTACGATTATTTTTATTATCATTTTTTAAAATTAAAAGTCTGATTTTTTTGTAAGGGAATTAGAGATGATACTCAAAAATCGACAGGACGATTTACCAAGCACCGGGACTTATATAAGAAACCGCATCTCTCGATATTTCTGTGCCCAGCCGCGAAATATTTTAAAATATGAAAAGCCTGAATGGGTTGTAAATAGCTCATTTTTACATCTTTTTTCACCTTTAAATCGAAATGGTGCAAATACAAAACCAAAATTAAAAAAAGCGAGTCCGAGATTTTTTGCGCCTTTTGTAGGGGCATTTATCTTGATCTATCCGGTTTGCAAAAATTAACATTTGGTAGTGAAAAGACGTTCCGACTCGACAAAATTGGAGTTTTTAGCAAAATTGCGTCACATCCGGTGCCGATAGAAAACTTTACCGGTAATAAAAAAATTGAGAATTTGCACTATGGAGCATATGAAGTTTGTTTTATAAAAATCGGACAATAAATAATTAACCTAGAACCGATAAACTGAATTAGCCAATAACGGCCAAGAAAAATTATTGAGACAAAAAATGTTCACATTTTTGCTCAAATCAGACGACACCTTAACCCTGGGTAAAATGCCATAAAAAATCATTCATTAAAAAAAAAAGTTTTTTGTCAAAATTTGGCGCCTAATATCTCCGAAGATTCGTCGAAAATCAAAAATCTAAACTACCGTAGCTATGTGCCCTGTCTCAGGCTATGTCAAAATGTATCCAATGTTAAAATCCAACGATTATTGTTAATATTACGGCAATATTTAAAAAAACGACAACTTCGGCAACTAAGTCACACCCACTTTCCTAGGAAAACCGAAGACATCGAATCGATCCGACAAGTAGTTTCTGAGATATGCTCAAGTGGAAAAAAAAAAAATAATAATAAGAAGAATAATCCGAACAAAAACAATAGTGTTTCACACAAGCTACGCAGTGTGAAACCCTAATAACAATGTACCTTTCGGAATAAAAGAAATATGACCTCTATGTTTCGGACTCGGGTATAAGTTGAAAGGAAAGGTTGAACACAAACGTCAAATAAGTTTATGATAACTCACTTTTATTTGATAACATAGAATTTAAAACAAAAATAACCCAGTATAACATAACAGTAGAAGATTACATGTCATTTCGGTCTCACGTCATTTCAGACTCCAAAAAATATGTCCTCGACATTTCGGACTCGGGTAGGTGACGTTTCTGACTTTGGTAGATGACGTTTCGGACTAGGGTAGGTGACGTTTCGGACTCGGGTATATAAAACATACATTTAAATTCATACATTAACATAGCATACAGCGATTTATAACAACGGGCATATTTATTTGATGAAATAATAGCTTCAGTCGGGTATTCATTTATTTTATAAAACAAACATTTATTTTATTTTATTTTATTTAATATTTTGAATGGTCTGTCTTCTGCCTCACCTAAAACGAAACAAATAAAAGTTCAAGTGCGTAAGGTCTGTATGGGATAAATAAAACACAACTAACAATGTTTAATTTCTTTATTGTTGTGAATGGTCTGTCTCATTGAGTCCGAAGCATCGCCATACCAAGTCCGAAAAGTCGCCATACCGAGTCCGAAAAGTCGCCAAGTAAGTCAGAAAGGTCGTCAAACTGAGTCCGAAACGACGTTTGTGTTGAGTCCGAAACGACGTTTGTGTTGAGTCCGAACTGACGCAGGACCGAAATGACGTGCTACCAAATAGAATAGGGGTTTCAGGTCGCGTGTCTTAAGCCTGAAATTTACCTAAAACACCCTGTATTTTGAATAAGCAACACGTTTTTCAAGTTTACAAACATGGTGAACAGATTATAATGTTGAATGTGCCTTAGCTACAAGAACATAGCTAAAAACATTGAGATATACTGATGTGCTTGTTTTTAGATACAATTGGGTGCCTTTAGTTCCAAGTGGCAAACTCAATTTCTTTATCAATTAATATTCGTGTTTAAATTAATGAAGAGTTGTTTTTATCTGACATACACCGTCATACATCTCCCGTTTAAAAATGGCATTCCTAGTAGGATTATATGCTTAATTGGAGTTGGATGTGGCAGAAATATTATAAATAACCATAATCAATCGTTGTTTTGATGAAAAATATTGTCAATTTTGCTTACCGAGGCCCAATGTGATTTGCGTTGGGATTTGTTACGTGGAACTATATAGCACCATCTCTTATCTCGAAACACAGGAGGGTTTGTTATCTAAATGTGCCTGTAATAGCTTTCTTTTATGTACTTGTATGTCAATGATAAAAAAAAAAAAAGACAAAAAAAACTTTGTCTTTAAAATTAATAACAAAGGATGGTTATGCATATAGTTATTATTCTGTCATAAAAATTAATAATTATATAATATGCAATTGCAAATGGTTATCAATAATGAAAATAAAAATACTAAATATGTAAATAATGTTGAAATGTATTTATAAATGTGGCTTGAAAAATATTAAATTTGAAAATAATTGTGAAATATGAAAATATTAAATGTGTAAATAATTGTTCAATATTAAATATGCAAATAATTAAAGGCTCGATACCACTCTTGTTGTAACTGAATAATATATCCAAATCTTTATTCTGATCCACAAATTGTACTATTTTACAATATTCCAATTAATTGGTGAAATAAATTTCATCTTAACACACCTATTTTTAAAAATTGTAAAAATTCAACTAAATGATTTGAAAAGCCTAACGTAAACCTTTTCAAAATGTGACTTGGATTTTAAAATATTTTCGAACCCTCTGGACAAGTAAAATAGGATGTAATGGATAATTTACACAACAGGTAGGACACTTAAACATCTAGTACTTAGAATAAAGCTATTATTTATTTTCTGGAGCTGTCAAGCCAGCAAGAGTGTTATTGTCCCTTTAAGTAAAGGTAATATTTCCCCTGCATTGTTCATTGCTTGGGGAATATTACCTTTAGTTTATTATTTTACTTTCGGTCCCCAACCATATCACTGAGATCTGATCTTGCCTGCACTGTACAGGGATTCTTCCCCCATTTACAGTACTTTCAGTATGGAGTTAATTCGTCACAGTCTTGGATTTTATGCAATTAATTGTGAAATATAAAAATATTACATATTAAGTATACAAGTTATAATACATGTAGCTATGTAATTGTGTAATAATGAAACTACACAATAAATGAAAATATGACTATCAATATATATATTGAACGTGTTATCTTATTATACAGTTTACTGACAAGGGAACACAACTATGTCTCGCATTACTGACCAGGGGACACAACTCTGTCTCGCATTACTGACCAGGGGACACATGCACCACTAATAATGGGAAACAACACCAGGATCTAACTCTGGACCTGCAGATTAGCAAGCCATCAACTGTCTAACGTGACTCTTCAGATACGTGGACTGGATACAACGTTTGTGGTGATATTTGACTGATGAAGTTGTGACTGATGTTAAATCTTTTATATATATTACAGGATCTAATGATACATGAATTATATCTTTTATATATTACAGGAAACTAATGATGTTATATATTTTATATATTACAGGATACTAATGATGTTATATCTTTTATATATTACAGGATACTAATGATGTTATAACTTTTATATATTACAGGAAACTAATGATGTTAAAATTTTCCATCAGTGTGACATGTGTGATGAGATTTTCCAACAATATGCTGACTTAGAAATTCACAATAAAATACACATTAAAGAAGAGAAAACTGACGATGTAGATGAATATTGTCATGTTAAAGAGGAGAAAACTGAAGATGGTGAAACATTTTATCAATGTAATTTATGTGATCAGAAATTTAAATGTTACACAGATTTAGAAAAACACTGTGAAATACACGTTAAAGAAGAGGAACCTGATTTACAACAATTCAGTGATTGTGATGACAAATTGAAATCAGACTATGATTTGGAGAAATGCAGCAAAATTCATGTTGAAGTCGAGGATACAACAAGACCGGTTTCACCAAATAATCAGACTAAAAAGACAACCAAAAGACCTTTTAAATGTGATGTTTGTGGTAAATCATTCTCTGAGAGTATTTATCTACAAAATCACATGAAAACTCATGAGTGTGATGTTTGTGGTAAATCATTCACTGAGAGTATTTATCTACAAAATCACATGAAAACTCATGAGTGTGATGTTTGTAGTAAATCATTCACTACTGATAGTCAACTACATCAACATATGAGAATTCATATTGGAGGAAAACCTTTTAAGTGTGATGGTTGTGGTAAATCATTTACACAAAGGGGTCATCTAAGGGAACACATGAAAATTCATACCAAAGAAAAGCCTTATAAATGTGATGTTTGTAGTAAATCATTCACTCAAAAACGCCAGTTTCAATCACATATAACAAGTCATACTGGTGTAAAGCCTTATAAATGTGATGTTTGTAGTAAATCATATAATAGGAACTTTGATCTTGTTCATCACACAAGAATTCATACCGGTGAAAGGCCTTATAAATGTGATGTTTGTAGTAAATCATTTACTCAAAAACGCCACCTTCAATCACATATAAGAAGTCATATTGTAGTAAAACCTTATAAATGTGATATTTGCTGTAAAACATTTAAAAGGAACATGGATCTTGTCCAACACACAAGAATTCATAACGGAGAAAACCCTTATAAATGTGATATTTGCTGTAAAACATTTAAAAGGAACATGGATCTTGTTCAACACACAAGAATTCATAACGAAGTAAAACCTTATAAATGTGATGTTTGTAGTAAATCATTCGCTATAAAAGGACAGCTTCAATCACACACTAGAACTCACACTGGCGAAAAACGTTTTAAATGCGGCTATTGTTACAAATCATTCAGTCAGAATTTTAGTCTACAGAACCATATGAGAATTTGCGATACATATTTTGTCCATTGCTAATCTAAAATTAAAATCTAACGTTTTTGATTCGCAGTAACTGCGAGTCATTAGTATGCCTGTCATTTTGGATATTGACACAAAGATTTATCCACATTTTGAAGACTAGAAGGCTTTCTCAATACTTTCAACATGTATAAAATGTCAAATAAAATTTTATAAAACTGAATTCTCTGTGTGACATTTTCTTCTCGAACCACCCAGACACAATTCATTATACAACATGTGTATATAATACAGGGACATACATGTACCTGTATGAATATGGACTATTAAACCGGAAATAGGTTTTGAGTGGAAGAGTGATTTATTAAATCATATCTCAGTTCATAAATATAAGGCTAAACAATCTTTAAATAAAGATACACAAACAAATGTTCCATACAATTATATATGTATTGAATAGAAGAAATGAATTTTGAATTTTCCAATTTCAATGAATGTACAATGAAATAAAAATGTGGGTTAATATCCTACATGTATATTATGCAGTGTGCTGTTAAGAAAACTTTATTCAGAAAGCAACTGAATATTCAGAAAGCAACTGAATTCCTACTTTCAAGGGTTTTTGTATGTGCATACCAAGGGACCTCACTTCATTACATGTGATCGTGTATTGTATATTACATATAATCCTGTACAGTATATTACATGTGACTCTATATTGTATATTACATGTGATCCTGTATGGTATGTTACATATGATCCTGTATTGTATATTACATGTGATACAGTATGACATGTGATCTTGTATATTACATGTGATCCTGTAAACAATCGGGTTAATACTTGTTTGTAAACTGTTTCTTGATTGGATCGTAGAATCACACTATGATCAAGGGCAGACAATTTGAATACATGAATACCTCATGGATGAACTCAGGGGTTAGTGGAGTCGAACGAAATGAGACCACTGGCTCTGGGGACTTTAACCAATACAAACTGATCAGCAGTATATATTCACCTGGCTGCTACTGAAAGGGGTGACATTAGGGTTGCCATACGTCCCGGTTTTTGGGGTCCTTTTTGTCGCCCCATCCTGATGCCTCTCACATGCCTAAATGTCCCGTTTTTGTAAATCAGGTTTTTCTCAACTGAAAATAATAACAAAAAACACATAAACTAGTGATTAATATTAATGTATAAAACAGTGTTTGCTACAAAAACTCTTACTTCAGCACATCACTTCTGTTAGGGTGACCCACCATAAATAAATATCTCCAAATATCTCGACAATTACGCCACAATATTTATATATATGCCAAGCCTCAAATCAGTTTCACACAATTATAGTCAATAAATAAACGAACATGTTGTACTTAATAAGCTATGACCATTAATCATCTATAAATAATAGACCGAAAACTGGTTCCAAGTGTCGTCCATAACATCCAGACACTTTTGAGTAAAAGATAGGTTACATGCCCTTGTTTTGAAATTAGTCTCGCTTAACCAGTCTATCGACCATTCTACGTCTGATTGACAGGTCGGGATAATCAAGACTACTTTTTTTACAAAACATAACAGAAAGCTAGAACAAGAAATTAAATTTAGAAATAAGCACGTTAGCTAGCTCAACAATTATTTTAAGAAGCTTGTAAAAGTAAAATGAAACTACTGCTAGTATCATGTTCCTGTCTAACCCGAGTGTTTCAGAGATATTATTTGTACTAAACCAAAAGATGCCGCTCTTAACGGTACAGTTAATGATAAAGCGATTTAAAAAATGAAACGAATGTAATTTCTGAATCTGCTGTAATAACCAAGAAGCTTAATTTTACTGCTATTCAAAATCGTCAACAATAATTTTTTTACGGCTGTAATAGTTGATAGATTTGTAGAGAATTGCACGTGCCATGGCTATTTATAGTATCATACTGTCAGAAAGTTGGTCTCGACACGGCGAATGTGTACGCTTCAGTGGTAGTCTAAAACTATCAGCAGTGGACTGTATTTCTGTAGAGTGCATGGGTCACCCTACATAGTTCAGTGCACAATACATTCGGCAAACCTCGGCAGGCTCTGGTACCGTACATCTAGATTCGTTCGTATCATTTACCGAGGTGTGTCGAATGTGCATAATACAGGCCTAAAACTGGACAGGCTCCTACAAATATTACTAACATGTGACAACCAAAATAATGCCTGTCAATGACCCAATCAACAACTCATATTTTTAGAATAACTACCGTCACAAAATATCTGAAAACGCATCTCCCGGCTTCTAGAAATGAAAAAAATTGCGGGGGGGGGGGGGGGGGGGGCCAAACCCCCCTAGTAAGTTTACGCCCCGTGGGTGCTCAGTGGTAAATTTAGCTTTAGTCTGCTCAGAATAATAAATGTCCCGGTTTCTTAAATGATTAATCTGGTAATCCTAGGTAACAACAAATTAAATATTGGCTTGGCTGCTACTATCACTGAGAGGAAAATGAAATTAAATGTGGTTTAACGCCCTACTGTTCTGCTCCTACTGGGCTAATGAAGATAGGTATACACCATACAGTGTGCTACAGTCTACTCTTATATCGAATTCCAACTGCCAATGTGTACTAGGGACCTTGTTTTTTGATCCCATCCAACAACTAGAACTTCACTGAGAGGGATGACATTGGGCCTAGTAAATAAGCTCTCAATAGTAACTTCTTTTCTACTAAAAATTTAATTCTAAAACAATTTTTTTATATTATTAAGGGGGAAAAAAAGGATATCTGGATACAATCACATTTGCTATTTAGTGTAAGATAGGTACATAAAACATGACACGACAGGCATGGTATGAGTGAAAAGCACCAATTTTACCCGAATTAGTTTGTATTACAACGGAAGAGAAAGTTCCTTCATATTTTCCAATTGGGTCGGTGTTGCAGGATTCTTATGCAACGTGTACACATGATCTTGTGTTTTTGTCCCATCCAAACAACTAGGCACTGCATCGTGGGTCATTTGGACCAGGTTGGGTGGTGGCCGAATGGTTTAAATGTAGTAGAGTAATTTTATTTATTGTATGGACATTTTAATATGGTCACAATTCTAATTTACTCTTAGATAATATGTTACACATCACTGCATCTTTAAACTGTTCTGTTCTATACACTCTTCTTAAAGGTATACAGTGAGTTAGAGTTCACTCAACCTGCTCACTGGTGTTTCATTTTCACCTTTGACCCGAAGGTTTCTTGGAGTTGTTTGTAAAATCACCTTGGTCACTATTAGATAGAATTTGGTAGAGTAAGGTTGTAAGTTTCATCCAACCTTGGTATCATTTTTATATTTAGAGTTTCTTGTCGATTCGATTGTTATTTTCATCAATCGTGTGTAATAGTATTTATTAGTAGCATTATTATCTACAGATTTGTTGTTTACAGTTGAAGAGAGCGTATAAGGTACTTCACCTCATTCCAGTCTCTGGCTACTTCCATTTAAAAACCCCTTCTTGGGTTTTTTTTTACTGAATATTAAATAAACTGTTGTGAAACTGAACCCTTGTGTGGTCGTTTTATAGATAATTTGACCCCCTACAACATAATGCTAGATCATAAGGTCTGTCATTGAGCCAAGTCAAGTGGTGTTGTTTCAATTCCCCGGAGTTGGGTCGCCTGTAATATATAACAATGTGCGATCACAATGTCGGATATATTGAAATAAAAAACAGGTTCAAATGAACTAAAAAAAAATTGGAATATTAGTCAAGTTAGTCCTACATTTATAAACTGATTATTTTGCATTAATATTATTATTGGGCAAATTCTTTTAGAAAACAACTTAAAACACATTTAGGCTTTTAACTGACTCTGTATACAATCGTTAACATGTCCATAATCTTGTTTACTTATAATTACATTGTCACTTTGTAAAGTGCCCCTGAACATGTTATATGAAAGGGCGCACTATAAATATGCTGTAGTAATAATAATAATAATAATAATAATATTAGACTAGAATAAAACTGTATCTCAATAAAAGATTGCTACGGTAGAGTTGAAAAACATTCATCTTGGATACATTTGTACCGCCTCGACTTATATACAGATGGGGGTCGGAAAAAACAGTAAAATATGACCATTCGATTTATACTCCACATCGACTTCCATTTAGGTAAAAGGTTTACCGACCAGTACCAGAAGTTAATATTTATGAGGGTTAATCTGTCGTTATAATTCTCGGATACATATCGTCTTCTTGAATTCTTTCACAAAACCACAGATCACCTCTCTAAACCACTATTATTAGTACCCGGTATGTGCAAGGTTGATATATCATCTGCTACAGCGCTGCGTGTTGGTCGTTGGGGTTATATTGATCTAAAAATAATTCTAGCCAATAATACTATAAAGTATGCAGTATGCAAATAAATTATTTGTCTTCGTGCATGCATGCTGTTAGGCAATAGCTACTGCAAATTTTCCCATGTTTAGACAACTCTAACCAAGGATAAAATTATTTGACACTTAGCGAAAATTCTGATATTCTTTATAAAATTACCTCTTGATGGAATATGAATAACAGAAAGAATAAAACAATGCTTATGTCAACCCAGTGAATGATTTTTTTACAAAAATATTTTATTGGTTTTTATCTGATAATTGTTTGTAATCACAAGCGATTTATTGAAATAAAACCGAACCATATGTTAGTCCCGAAATGACTTAGTTTAAGTCGAGTGGACGTTAAACTCCATTTCTCTCTCTCCCTACTGTTCTGCTCCAAACTGGGCTAATGAAGACGGGCATACGCCATACAGTGTGCTATGAGGGAACTTTTGCCCAACCTTGACCCTAACCCTGGTTCTAGCCCTAATGCTTACCCTAATCCTAACCTACAATCTCGTCAACAATCATGTGTCCTAAACTTATTTACATCTCGGCGACCTTTACAAAAATTGAGCTGGCCTTAACAAATAGATTCTATGGAGGCAGCCGAGTTTTAGACCACTCAAAATTAGTGACGAAATAGAGTATTACGTAAAGGCCTAGATAAAATTATAGAGTTAAAGCGAAATCAAGCGCTCTATTGAAGATGATTCAGAGCTCAGTTTGGGAATATGGCACACATTTGCTGTATAATTATGGCTTATTCGTGTTGTGTTGTTCCACGTCTATATTTTATGCCCAACCTAATATTTTGTAAAACCGGAAATTAATAGAGTTTGCGTTGAACATATAATTCTTGAGACAAAGCTCGGATAAATACAATCATGGTACGATTATTTTTATTATCATGTTATCAAATTAAAAGTCTTATTTGTTTGTAAGGGGAATTAGATATGATACTCAAGAATCGACAGGACGATTTACCAAACACCGGGACATATATATAAGAAACCGCAACTCTCGATATTTCAGAGCTGGTGCTCTCCTTCGTTACTGACGGATCCAATACGCAAGTTCAAGTAATATGAAAATATAAGGCTTTTCCCCCATCTCGGTTCTAAGGCTATTTTGGAATCCTTACCGTCTATTTGTCATCGTGATTCTTCTTTGTTCGCCAAAATTTATAATAATCCAACACTATTTTCATGTAGAATTTAGCGATTCAAAACCACAATCAAATTTCATTTGAAATGATCAGCCATTGTGAAAGTCATGTCTGCGCGCAGCCAATATTCCAAATTCAGCAATGGAATATTACCGTGAACGAAAATTCTTGCTGTACTTCAATTACGTATTAATCGATTTTATGTAATGATTATTTATGTATGTTGAATACATAAACTTTAGTGGTATCAACATTGACAGTTTTGTCTGTTACTTGAAGAACAGCAAATAAATAATTTTTGAATATTAAATGTGTAAATAATTAATTATAAGTAAAGGTAATATTTCCCCTGCATTGTTCGATGCTTGTGGGGAATATTACCTTTACTTTATTATCTTTTTTTCGGTCCCCAACTGTACATGTATCACTGAGATCTGATCTTGCCTGCACTGTACAGGGATTCTTCCCCCATTTACAGTACTTTCAGTATGGAGTTAATTCGTCACAGTCTTGGATTTTATGTAAATAATTGTGAAATATAAAAATATTACATATTAAGTATGTACATGTTATAATACATGTAGCTATGTAATTGTGTAATAATGAAACTACACAATAAATGTAGATATGACTATCAATATATATTGAAAGTGTTCTTTTATTATACAGTTTAAAGAACACCCCCCACCCCCCACCAAACCCCCCCCCCCGTTCTTGCATCACTGACAAGGGAACACAACTCTGTCTCGCATTACTGACCAGGGGACACATGCACCACTAATAATGGGAAACAACACCAGGATCTAACTCTGGACCTGCAGATTAGCAAGCCATCAACTGTCTAACGTGACTCTTCAGATACATTTACTGGATACAACGTTTGTGGTGATATTTGACTGATGAAGTTGTGATGTTTATATACTACAGGATACTAATGATATTAAAACCTTTATATACATGTATTACAGGATACTAATGATACATGAATTATAACTTTTTTATATTACAGAAAACTAATGAAACTATATATATATCTTTTATATATTACAGGATACTTATGATGTTGTAAATTTTATATATTACAGGAAATTAATGATGTTAAAATTTTCCATCAGTGTGATGAGATTTTCCAACAATATAACAATGGTGTTATATCTTTTACATGTATATATTACAGGAAACTAATGATGTTATAACTGTTATATATTTACAGAATACTAATGATGTTATAGGACTTAACTATTTTATATTACAGGAAGCTAATGATGTTATAAATTTTATATATTACAGGAAACTAATGATGTTAAAATTTTCCATCAATGTGACATGTGTGATGAGATTTTTCAACAATATGCTGACTTAGAAATCCACAATAAACTACATATCAAAGAAGAGAAAACTGATGATGTAGATGAATGTTGTAATGTTAAAGAAGAGAAAACTCCTGATGCAGATGAATATTGTCATGTTAAAGAAGATAAAACTGAAGATAATGAAACATTTTATCAATGTAATTTATGTGATCAGAAATTTAAATATTACACAGATTTAGAAAAACACTGTGAAATACACGTTAAAGAAGAGGAGCCTGATTTACAACATTTCAGGGATTGTGATGATAAATGTAAATCAAGAACTCGTGAGTGTGATGTTTGTAATAAATCATTCACTACTAATAGTCATCTACAACAACATATGAGAATTCATACTGGCGAAAAACCTTTTAAGTGCGATGTTTGTGGTAAATCGTTTACACAAAGTGGTCATCTAAGGGAACACATGAAAACTCATACCAAACAGAAGCCACATAAATGTGATGTTTGTAGTAAATCATTTACTCAGAAAGGCCAACTTCAATCGCACATGAGAAGTCATAACGGAGAAAAACGTCATGAATGTGATGTTTGTAGTAAATCATTTAATAGTAACATCGATCGTGATCGACATATGAGAATTCATACCGGGGAAAAACCTTATAGATGTGATGTCTGTAGTAAATCATTCGCTGTGAAATGCCAGCTTCAATCACACACAAGAACCCATACTGGCGAAAAGCCATTTAAATGCAGCTTTTGTTACAAATCATTCAGTCAGAATTTTAGTCTACGAAAACATATGAGAATTCATACAGGCGACAAACCTTATAAATGTGATGTTTGTGGTAAATCATTTACTCATAAACATCAGTTTACAAAACACCAAGATCTAGACTGTAAAGATGAAGTTGCCAGTCGATATCAGTGTAGTTTCTGTGATAAAATCTATGGATCTCATATTCGGTATCAGAAGCACCTCATCACCAATCATAAATGTGATGGTTGTGGTAAATATTTTAAAGATGGAGATTTACAGGAACACAGGAAAATTCACAGGACAGAAAATGCGTTTAAATGCGATTTATGTGAGGAAGGTTTTGAGTGGAAGAGTGATTTATTAAATCATATTTCAGTTCATAAATATAAGGCTAAACAATCTTTAAATAAAGATTTACACGCAAATGTTCCATACAAATATATATGTATTGAACAGAAGAAATGAATTTTGAATTTTCCAATTTCAACAATGTACAATGAAATAAAAATGTGGTTTAACACCCTACACCATGCAGTGTGCTGTTAGGAAAATTTTATCCAGAAGGCAACTGAATTCCTACTTTCAAGGGTTTTTGTACCTGCATACTAAGGGACCTCACTTCATTACATGTGATAACACACTGTATGGCATATGCCCGTCTTCATTAGCCCAGTCGGAGCAGAACAGTAGGACGTTAAACGACATTCATTTCCTACTTTTCTGCTCCTACTGGGCTAATGAAGACAGGTATACACCTTACAGTGTGCTACGGCCTACTCTTACATCAAATACTAACTGCCAATGGATCTTTTACGTGCATACCAATGTGTCTGAATGTGTACACAGGACTTTTCTTTTTCATCCATCTGAACAACTAGAACTTCACTGAGAGGGAAGACATTGGGCCTGGTAAATTAGATCTCAATATTAAATATACATTATGCAAGAGCTAATTGTATCTATTGCAGGTCTTTCTTTAGGCCTGAAATGTTATCTAAATTATTAATTAGACATTAATTAACTCATCCAGACCATAATCAACTCTCGATGTCATCACTAGCCTGCGATATTTATTGGATTATGATCCAATTTGCTACTCAACTTTCATTCATGTTTTAATCATGAAATGGATAATCGAGACTATGTTCTTTATCATGCCGACTTTAGTAATGATGATTGTGGCTAGGCCGAAAAATGAATCGCTAAATTCTTGGTTCAGAGTGGATCAATTTGACTGAAATTTAACTAGTTTTGAACTATTATAGTGAGAACTACCAGCTCTTTTTTTCTAATCTCCCATAATGTATCTTTAATTTTATTCTATTTATAAATTAAATTCTAAAACAATTTTTTAAATTATTAAGGGGAAAAAAGGATATCTGAATAAAATCACATTTGCTATTTATTGTAAAATGGGTACCGTACGTAAAAGATGACGCGACAGACGTGGTATGAGTAAAAGGCACCAATTCTACCCGAATTAGAGAAAGTTCCTTCGTATTTTCCAATGGGGTCTGTGTTGCAGGATGGGAGGGGCCGAATGGTTTAATGCGTGCGCGTTAGATCATAAGGTCTGTCATTGAGTCAAATGGCATTGTTTTGATTCCCCACTTGTACGTGACAATGAGTTGGGTCGCCTGTCCAGCCTCGTAGGTTTTCTCTGATTCCTCCGCTTTCTTCAAACTGTTAATTACTGGAGTAGTAGTAATATTCCAATATCACCAGCTTATGAAGTGTATGTGCCTCAGCTAGTTCGATACGCGAGAGCTTGTTCCTTTTATTCTGATTTTTTACTCTTCCGGACACCTTTTACCACTGTTTGTCATGTATTTTGTACACGGTGAACAGTCCATTTGCTGATTGCACAATTTGGCCTATACTGTTTTTTAGGACTTTGAATTTTCTCTAATGGTTTCGATTGTTTGTACTAGGTTTTATTTTATTTGATCCTTCTCTTACAATGGAAACTCAGGTTGATATGGTATGCCGTACATGCTACTATCATCTACGCTGTATATGCAACATCAGAGACAATCTCATTGCTGATGCTTGTAAACTACTTTTGAGATCATTGGTTTTGTCCAGGATTGATTATTGTAAATGTTTACTCTCTGGAATCCCACAAGCACTTCTAGCAAGATCCAAAAAGTTCTTAATACTACAGCCCGAATAGTGACAAGGAGACATAAGTTTGATCACATCCATAATGTGGTAGCTTCGGTACACTGGTTACCTGCTGAGGCGCGAGTCAGATACAAAATACTAATGCAGCTCCTCAATACTTATCTGAACACTTATACATGTATGACTACACCCCTATTACATGTAGATCACTTCGCTCTAAACATAAACAGTCACTAGATGTTCCAAGATATAACTTAAAGTTCTAGACTATGGAATGAACTTCCACAGCAGATCAAGAATCAATCGACTTTTAATTAATTTCAATCTGCACTATAGACTTTCCTGTTTGGACATTTTTGCCAGTAGAGCCATTACCAAACATTTTGAGCATGTGTGAACATGGAGAAGACACTATATAAAACCTCATTAAATCTGAACCATATGTTAGTACTGAAATGGCCTAGTTTGTGATGATGGTAGTTAAACTCTCTCTCTCTCTCTCTCTCTCTCTCTTCATCCTGCATCACTGACAAGGGAAAGCACGCTGAAAAATCTCAGGGCCAACACTGGCTATGAGAAACAAAACAGAACTCATGATAAATAAACGATGATCGTGAAATTAAGCGTGAAAATGAGAATTAAATTGAAGAATTATATCAATGATTTCCAACTTGCAACTCTGAATGAAAAGATTCAGGCAACCAAAAGAGTAATCTCAATGATATATCTACATGTACATGTAATAGCTGTGATTTTAAAGTATATATGAAATGAAATGGGGTTTAACGTCCTACTGTTTTGCTCCGTACTGGGCTAATGAAGACCGAAAAAAGTATATATGACATATTTAGTTAAAAGAATGGTATCATGGTGATAAATTTTTAAAAAAAACAATACAAATGATCGTGATATAGGTTGAAATAATTATAGAATTATGTTCCTTGGCTACAACTTCAAACTCATTTGGTGGGATATTTTGACAGAAAAACGCTAAGATTTTAAATTAAAAATAAGTTTGGCATAAAGAATGGTATCTTATCAAATGTCGATGTAAATTGCTGTAATATGAGTTTAAATAATGGTGACAAAATGCTGTGATATGACTTTAAATAATGGATGATTTGGGTAAATCATGTTACCTTGGATTGTGGTATGATTGTAGCAGAGATATGTGTGGTTGGTTAGTTGGTTGTATATCTGTAGCAGAGATATGTGCTGTGCCATGAGACAGGTTGTTTTTCTTGTGATGCTCTGCCCTGTCTCTAGTTTAAACACACTTCCTACTGATTTGTTTAAACAATATTTTATTTTGAGTTTGACATGAGTATATAGTGATAGAATGGATTTGCAAACAAACCAAAGATTATTAAATTAATCTCTATGGAATTTATACATTTTAATATAATTACTAATACAAATCTCAAAAGTATACCTTAAATAAATAAATGAATAAATAAATAAATCATTATCGTTATCATCATCATCAGCGACCTCATTTATCAAACTAATAAATGGTGCAAAAACTCGAATCAGTCACACATTTGGTATTCAATTATGACTTATTCGGGTTGAGTTGATCCTCGTCTAAATTTATTATCCAACATAATATACGGCGCAACCGGAAATGACCAAAGGATTCGATTCTTTCCAAAACTGGGACACACAATGGTAAGTTTATCAAATTACAGGTCTTATTTGTTTGTTAATCAGGTTTCATAAGTGAGGGAATCGGATACGATACTATAGGATGCGCTCCTTCAGTACTCAGTCAGCTTTGAATTGGCGGGACTTGACATTTTCAGGGAACGTTAAAGTAGCTAAGTCTCTAACTCAATATCATTCAAAATCTTCAACATTGAAAACACGATTTATTTGTCAAATTAAATCAACGTTCATTTTGTGATCTTACCGGAAAAAGATGGGCTTTTGATATCCAATATTTAAGACAAAATAAACATTTTACCATTGGTACACGAATCGTGTACCATAATGCGCTTCAGCCCCAGTTGTATCAAGAGACTCGAGAAACGAGGCTAGACACATTGCACCAAATCAAACGGCATAATATGTAGACTGAAATAACCAGACGCTAGAAATTTGCACTCGCTTGAGACTGTTGGCTTATTTCGCCGAACATAACTGATTTGAAATTGGAGTGAAAATGGAAACCATTAAATGTAAATCAGTTTATATACATTCATATTACAGTATTATATGCGTTTCGACCCACATTTGTCAATTTCTAGGCCCCTTTAATTAAAGGGCGCATGGTTCTATTCTTTGGTAGGGTGACCCGTGCACTCTACAGAAAGTTGGTCTCGACACGGCTAATGTGCACGCTTCAGTGGTCGTCTCGAACTATCAGCGGTGGAGTGTATGATACTATAAATAGCCATGGCACGTGCAATTCTCTACAAATCTATCAACTATTACAGCCGTAAAAAATCTATTGTTGACGAATTTGAATAGCAGTAAAATTTAGCTTCTTGGTTATTACAGCAGTTTAAGAAATTACGTTCGTTTTATTTTTTAAATTGCTTTATCATTAACTGTACCGTTAAGAGCGGCATCTTTTGGTTTAGTACAAATAATATCTCTGAATCACTTTCGTTAGCAGGAACATGATACTAGCAGTAGTTTCATTTTACTTTTACAAGTTTCTTAAAACAATTGTTAAGCTGCTTAACGTGCGTGTTTCTAAATTCAATTTCTTGTTCCAGCTTATCCCGACCTGTCAATCAGACGTAGAATGGTCGGTACATTGCTTAAGCGAGACTAATTTCAAAACAAGGGCACGTACCCTATCTTTTACTCAAAAGTGTCTGGATGTTATGGACGACACTTGGAACCAGTTTCAGTCTATTATTTATAGATGGTTAAATGGTCATGGCTTATTAAGTACAACATGATCATTTATTTAGTGACTATAATTGTGTGAAACTGATTTAAGGCTTGGTATATATATAAATATTGTGGCGTAATTGTCGAGATATTTGGAGATATTTATTTATGGTGCGTCACCCTATCTTTGGAACATTATATTAATAAAATAGACGGAAATGCGACTAAAAGCACTGTGTTTGGCTCTTCTACGACAATTTTGTATATCAAGAAACTATTCCACTCAGATCTGGGTTTTTTTTATTTCCGTCTTAAAATGTCACCGGAAAAGCTTCATGCATTTTTTAAATAATGCAAGTAATAATATGTCAGTACAATATTCTCGATATAGTCATTTATCGCGATATGGTATTTTCAGACCCAACTACGATATCATGTGGCCAAAAATCGTCGATATAGTGGTTTATCGAATATCGCCAAAATCTTCAAATATCGAAAAAAATTATCATAAAAATAGGTAATAAATACACTATACAGCAGTGGAAATTAGCTGGCGGCAATAAACTATAATAAAGCTAATGTTTTGAGAATCGTTAAATGTTGAAAACACTTGGGTGCAGGCTGCTTCGTAACCTGGCTGTTTCGTACTTAGTTCATTCGTACCTTACTTCGTACCTCAAATTGATTCGTACCTATGTTGTTGAAATCAGTTGAAAGAAATTGAATATGCCGAACCAGAATTAGAATATGCAAGAGATTTGTACCTCAAATTGATTAGTTCCTTCTCCTAAATCCAAAGGCTGCGCTAAATTTATAAAAATGGCTGCCGAACGAGAATTAGAATACACACGTGATTTGTACCTCAAATTGATTCGTACCTTTTCCTATATGTTGTTGAAATGAATTGAAAGAAATTAAAATAAATCTATATGTTGTTGAAATTGAAATAATAAACGATTACCTGCCTTTCTTTAAATCTGATGTTGATTATCGAACCCATTCTGCTCAGTGAGTTGTGATTATTGACGACAGTTGATTGGTGATTGTTAAAGCAGTTTAAAAAACGGATGAAAAAGTATTTAATCCGGGGTTGATTATTAAACCCATTCTGTTATATCATGGACCGTATATACGGTCATATCACGGGGTAATTCTCTTATTGAAACCCAACTGCATGAAAATGGCTTTTGATCGTAACCGATGTAAATTTAGTGAAATGCTGAAGCAATTTTAGTATAAATGTATCCTTTAATTGTGTGTGAATTACTACTATTGGGCAGGCTGTGTAATATAAATTTAGCGTAGCCGTTGGATTTGATCAAATCGTTTCACCTTTATTTCAATTTCTGTTAACTGATTTCAACAACATGGGAAAAGGTATGAATCAATTTGAGGTACGAAGTGAAGTACGGAACGGCTCATGGGAGGTACGAATGAACTAAGTACGAAACAGCCAGGTTACGAAACAGCTGACATCCAAACACTTGCGCAGTGTCTGCAGCCGTTTTTCACTGTATCGTGTATGCGTTACTTTTACTTTGTTTTTAGTCGACAATAAATTGCCAGTTGTTGCTACATGTAAAGCTTAGGCCTACTAAACGCCTGAAATTTCCCACCACCGCGGCTAATTACCAGGCTATAAATAGGTTGTCATATTTTTAAAAAACAAATATTTTTAGAAAACTCTACGAAACCTAATTTCTGAAAGCAAGAATAAAAAGATCTATAAATAGATTACTGTCACTGTTAGGCCAGGAATACCGCAGCCAATCGAATGCTTGAATGGAAGATAGTCCGGATCATTTAGTATTTGTTAAACTGTTTGAACTTATAATACAAGACTTGAAGACCGCATCTACTTAATTCCGCTGCAAGTGGTATTTGAGAATTTTCTTACACAAGGTCACAAGCAGACGCTTTTTAAACATCAGCATAGCAAAGTGACATTATTATTAAATATCGCGATATTTAACTATATCGTTGAAAAAAATGCCAATGATATCGATATCGTCCCTTTTTGCAATATCGTACAGCCCAATCTGATTAAAACACAGATCCAATTCCGTTTCGGTTTTTATACTTCAAAATTTCGTTTTTACTTGTCTTTACTACATTTGGATCTGGAAGACTTGTTATTTAACTTGTGTTCTGCTTGAAATGAGGGATCAGCCAATCAAATGGTCTGTCGAATCGAGCCTTTGGCCTTTTTTGCGCGGAACTGTGGGTAGACATTACCAGCGATAGAAATCAAAACAAAGCAAAAATAGATTTAAAAAAGTATGGCGGTCTCTAATTGGTTAATCAAATGACTGACGTTATCGGGTCAAATGTCACTTGCTTGGTACCTGACATCATAGAATGTAAACTCCCACTATAACTTGTTAGATCTACATGTAGTGTAGGCCATCGAAAGTATAAAAAAAAAGAAACGAAATATAGATCTATATTTTAATTAGATTGTGTACAGCCCTAGTACAAGTTACGACTACCCACAGAGAATGGCGGAAATTACTAACGTTAGTCGTAACTTTCCATCAATAAGCAGTCTGTGACATCATTTTAGTCCTGCTCATAGAAATATAGACTAGAATACAATGTTTGAGCAGTTTCATTTCTTCGTAGCAAGAGCTGTTTAAGAGTGTTATAATCGTGCGTTTACTATGTAACACAATTGGAATTATTGAAATGAAATTGAAGCATGTGTTAGTCCAGAAACTTGATTTTATCTATTTCTTATAACTTTATATATTACAGGAAACTAATGATGTTATATTACAGGAAACTATTGATAATTGATGTTAAAACTTTTAAATATTACAGGCAACTAATGATGTTATAACTTTTATATACATGTATTACAGGAAACTAATGATATTATAACTTCTATTATATACATGTATTACAGGGCACTAATGATGTTGTAACTTCTATTATATATTACAGGACACTAATAATGTTTGCCATCAGTGTGTTGTATGCAATGAAATTTTTCAACAATATGACGATTTTGAAAAACACTATAAAATACATATCATTATCAAAGATGAGGAAACTGAAGATGTTGAAACATTGCATCAGTGTAATTTATGTGATGAAGAATTTAAATTAGAAACTGATTTAGAGAAACACTGTGAAGTTGATCATACAGAAGTACTTGTTGATGTTAAAGTTGAGCAGACCAATAATGTTGAAGATGAGGAGTCTGAAGAAGGAGGTAAAATTGAAATGGGGTTAACATTCTGCTTTTCTGCACAGACTTCACTAATGAAGACAGACATATGCCATGCAGTGTGCGCTATAGGGAAAATTTTGCCTAGATAGCGGTGCTATGGCCTGCTCATATATCAAATTCCTACTGTCAAGGGTTCTTTTATGTGCATGACAATGTGTACAGTGGACCTCCGTTTTTCATCTCACCCAAATAACTATACTATGTCACTGAACCTCGTCGAAAATCCTGTCTTGATGTCCGATTGGGCATATTCCTTGTCGGACAATTTAAGACGTTTGGAAATTAGCGTCGGACATGTCCGAAAGATGAGGGTGAAATCCCATCACTGTTTCTTGGTCAATACTGGGTCAAACCAGCTCCCACATAATAACAAAAGTTGAGGGGTTTCTGTTTATTGGTTATCATTTTGTATAGTATTTAATATTCTTATATCCATTTTTCTAATAATTTGTTCATTTTCAGACTTTGAATGGCTTTTGTTTGATCTGTACTAAATTTACATGCATTATTTAAATTAGTAAAACGAAGAAGCCTATGGAATTTCAATAACTCCCATTAATAACTTCTAGAGTTATGGCCCTTGTTTCACTTTGTTGAACCTAGTGAACACTCTTAACAACAAAATGTCTCATAATTTCTGTTAATAACTGCTAGTGTTATTTGGTGAACTGTGTGAGCACTCATATGTTATCCAATCTGTATGAAATGGTAAATGCTGAGGGTGTATGTGTCTTGCCTGACGCCCTATTTTTTAATTAATTTGTTTATTTCCAGATCTGGAAGAACATATTCTAGATGTTGATAATATCAGTCTTGGTAGTAACTTTTCTGATGTTTCTAGTGGAGAAGAAGAGGAGGAGGACCCTGATGGAACAATAGTCGAGAATGATCAACATGGCCTTCCATCTTCATCCAACTTTATTTGGAAAACAACTCTAAATTCAGTGATGTCTCCATCGTTTCTAGGACCACTGCCTGGGCCAACAGGAGTTTTGGAAGAGAAGAAGAATGAGTTTGATTATTTTAGTTTGTTTTTTGGATCAAATCTTTACACGATCATTGCTGATGAAACAAATCGTTGCCACGCTGTCAAACATCCAAATGGGGAGAAAAAATGGCGAAACGTGACAGCTGAAGAAGTAAAAGCATTTTTGGGCCTTCGTGTTTTTATGAGTGTCTCAACACTGCCCAGAACAGGCATGTACTGGTCCCGGGAATACTATTTTGGTAATTACAAAATAGCCGATATAATGACCCGGGACCGCTATAATAAGATATCTGAACATTTGCATATAAATGACAAATCGACAAACCCAGCCAGAGGTGAAATAAACCATGATAAACTCCATCAAGTTAGACCCGTTTTAGATCATGTTTTGGACAATTGTTCAAAACGCTATAACCCACATCAAAACACATCTATTGCTGAAGCTATGGTGGCATTCCGTGGAAGGATCGGCTTCAAACAATTTACGCCTTCGAAACTCGTCAAACATGGAATAAAAGTGTGGATGCGGGCAGATCCAACCAATGGCTACGTCAACGAGTTCCAAGTGTACACCGGTAGAGAAAAACAGACTTCAGAAATTGGTCTTTCGTCTCGTGTGGTTTTAGATTTGACCAGAAAAGTTCAGTTTCAAAACATGATTGTAAATGTTGACGATCATTTTACCTGTGCTGAATTATTTAGTGAACTAGAAAAAGTGGGTATATTCGCCCGTGGAATGTGCAAGAATACCAGAAAGAATTGGCCTAAAGGTCTGAAACAGAACCACAAAGACGTAAAAAACTGGGCAAGTGGCGAATATAAAATTGTGCAATCCACAAATCTCACGGCCGGCATGTGGAAAGACAGGAAGATAATCAACTTTATGTCAACTGCTGATTCTCCATTAGAGACAGTGGACGTGTTGCGAAAACAGAAAGACAGTACACCTTCAGATGGCGTGGACGTGTCACAAAAACAAAAAAATGGTACAGCTTCAGAAAATGTGGACTTGTTGCGAAAAGAAAAAGGTAGTGCACTTTCAGAGAGTGTGGACGTGTCACGAAAACCAAAAAATGGTACAGCTTCAGAGACTGTGGACTTGTTGCAAAAGCAAAACGGCAGTATACCTTTAGAGACCATGGTTGTGTCACGAAAGCAAAAAGACATTGCAGTAAAAGGTATGAAGTGTCCTGTCGCGATCAGCAAGTATTTTTCTAACATGTCAGGAGTAGATCGATCAGACCAGCTACGGATGGAATACCCGACCTACAGGATGTCCAAAAAATGGTGGCTATATCTGTTTTATTTTTTGTTTGATCTTTGTATAGCCAATGCTTTTATTTTATTCAAAGAATCGAAAAACCAATCGAAAAAATCGAAAAACAGTCCACCGATATTACTAGAATTTAAAATGAACTTATTCAAAAAAATGATAGGAAACGAGAGAAATGGACGAAAACGAAAACGTTGTGATTTTGGTTCCGATCTACCCACAACAACTGGTAGACATTTTCCAATGAAAGCGACCAAAAAAGCTAGATGCAGACAGTGTATGAAATCAAAAAAACGTGCCGAATCATTGTATCAGTGTGATAATTGTTTCGTACATCTGTGCGTTTTGTGTTTTAGAGCATACCATGAATCAGAATAACTTTAGTACAGATCGAATATCGTGTAGGTTTGATGAAACCCTGATTTAACATTAGTACATGTATTTTGCATGTATAGGAATAAGGGGTCTTTAGCAGAGTCAGTGATGTCAATCAAAAAAAAAAATCTGTCGAATCATTGTGATAATTGTTTGGTGCATCTGTGCGTTACATGTCTAGGAGCGTACAGAAAGAACATCGCATAGGTTTAATGAAACATGTTTTAACGTGTAGCTTGCACGTTTAGGGGTCTCGGACACTTAACAGTTTCAAGTTCAAGTGGAGAATCAAAATCACATCACTTGATTCGATGACAGACCTAAAAATCGAACACATACACTGATAAAAAGCCTATTGAATTTCAACATTTTCTGTCATGGCCTTTGTTTTACTTTGTAGTACCTTGTTAACGCTTGAAAGACAAAAGTTATCGTTAGATCTGCATTAAATTTATGGAGTCTCAACAATTTCTGTTAATTACATTTACTTATGGAGTTGTGGCCCTTGATTCACTTTGTAGAACCTTGTGAATGGTCTAACAACAATTTTCATCTGATATGTATGCAATTTATATGCAGTATGCAATTTAAAAAAACAAAGATGAGATTTGAATTCCAGCAATTTCAGTTAATGACATCTGGAGTTGTGGCCCTTGATTCACTATGTTGAAGTTATCATCCCATTTGAATTATATGAATTAGTAAAACGAGAGAGAAAGAGAGTGAGACTCCATGAGGTTGGACAGGCGACCCTACTCCTTGTCACGTACAACCGGGGAATCAAAACCACGCCAGTTGACTTAGTGACAAACCTTATGATACAGCGTGCACGTGCTAACCATTCAGCCATCCAACCCCAATAGTAAAACGAAGAATCCTATCAAATTTCAACAATTTTCGTTAATTGCTTCTAGATTTATAGCCTTTGTTCATTTTGTAGTGGCGGGGTTGGATGGCCGAATGGTTAGCACGCTCCCACTGTATCATACGGTCTGTCATTGAGTCAACTGGCGGGGTTTCGATTCCCCAGTTGTATGTGACAAGGAGTAGAGTCGCCTGTCCAACCTTGTGGGTTTTCTCCGGGTCCTCTGGTTTCCTCCCACTGCTAAAGACCCCTACGCACAAGCGAATGATTGAAATAAAATTGAACCATATGTTGGTCTCGAAATGACCTAGTTTGTGTTGAGTGGACTTTAAACCCCATTTCTCTCTCTCTCTCATTTTGTAGTATATTATTTGAAATTGGAATCAGTTTCTTGTAAATGCTCCCATTATCCACAAGAGAAAAAATAGTGGACATATGTTTCGGTTCCTGGCAACCCATCTTTAAATTAATTTAATCAGATTAGCAATGGATGTAATAAGCTACAATTACCTTTTTCTTTATGACTACAATATATATAGTATACATGTATATATAAACAGGAGCTGCCATGCAATAAACGCTCACATTTTACATGAGATGAACATACACAATGTAGAACCACCTGTTTTGTGTACTACATGTATAACATAAAATTATGAGATACTTGAAGGTCATTAGAATTGACTATTTGGTTTGATGATTCCCTGCTTGTACGTGGCAAGAAGTAGGGTAACCTGTCCAAATTTACTTCCTTGAAACTAAACTTGGAGGGTTGTGATAGTTGGAAATATTGATATTTGCAATAAAATGTAATTGACAAGTTTTTGGACTGTAATTGAAGATACATTATGGGAGATTAGATAAAGAGCTTGCAGTTCTCACTATAATAGTTAAAAACTAGATAATGTAAAGGGAATTTGCTGAAAATTTCAGTCAAATCGATCCACCCCGAACCAAGAATTTAGCGATTGAATTATAGACGTAGCCTCGATCATCATTACTAAAGTCGGTAGGATAAAAAACATAGTCTCGATTATCCACTTTTTGATTTATTCAGCAACAGCAGACCGGGTTCTAATCCAGTAAATATCGTAGACTAGCAATGCCATCGAGAGTTGATTATGGTCTGGATAGTTAATAATTTAGATAACATTTTAGGCCTAAAGAAAGACCTGCAATTGGCAGATTTAGCTCTTGCATAAAGTATGTTTAATTACATTTCCATTACTCATTACTTTTTAAATCTTCCATCACACGGACCCTTAATTCAAAAAATCTAATGATTACATTCTATTACACATTACCCAAGCCCTGTAATCCTCATTATTATTATAATATTGTGGATATTATCAGTGTTGGATTTAGGACAAATAAGGCCCTGTGCTAGTTCAGTTATGAGGCCCCTTACTTGGACCCTGAAGGAGGTACATGTAGGCTTGGCATGTCTACACAGGCAATCTGGCATAGGCCTACTTACTCAGACAATTTAGGAGTAGTTAAAATATTACCTGTTACCTGATCAATCATTATTTTCAACATGTTTTAGGAAAATTTTTGAATTAATTGGAAGAAAGATGCCCCACACCCCTCCCCCAACCCCACTAATTAATTATTTTTGTAAACAAAACACAACATTGATAAACTTGTAATATGGCTGTTGTTTGGGTTTTTTTTGTACATAGTTGTTATTTTTTAAAATAAAGAACAACATTGTTTTTATTTTGTATTATTGCTTAGATTTTAGGCCTAATATTATCTCTGTATTGGAATAGGTGTATATGGGCAACAGTTTTTGTGTTATCTGCAGAATCGCATCATGACATCTCGTGCTGGAGAAAATCCTTAAGAATTTTTGTTTGTAACAAATTTTTTTCTAGAAATGATAATCTACAGAGACACATAAGAACTTATACTGAAGTCTTCCGTCTGAAAAGGGGGGTTGGATGGCTGAATGGTTAGCGTGCGCGCGCTGTATCATAAAGTCTGTCATTGAGTCGACTGGTGTGGTTTCAAATCCCCGATCGTACGTGACAAGGAGTAGGGTCGCCTGTCCAACCTCATGGGTTTTCTCCGGGTCCTCCGGTTTCCTCCCATTGTTAAAGACCCCTATGCGCAAGCGAATTATTGAAATAATATAATAATATTAAACCATATGTTAGTCCCGAAATGACCTAGTTTGTGTCGAGTGGACAACGTTAAACCCCATCTCTCTCTCTCTCTCTCTCTCTCTCTCTCCCGTCTGAAAAGAAATCATATAAATGTGAAATCTCGTAGTGGAGAAAATCCTTATGATTTCTTGTTTGTAACAAATCTTTTTCTAGAAATGATAATCTACAGAGACACATAAATGAAATGAAATGAAATGAGGTTTAACGTCCTACTGTTCTGATCCTATACTGGGCTAATGAAGACGGGCATACGCCATACAGTGGGCTATGAGGGAAGTTGTGCCCGGGCAGCGGCACTATCGCCTACTTTTATATCGAATTCCAACTGCCAGGGGATCTTTTACGTGCATTCAAATATATACACGGGACCTCGGTTTTTTGTATCATCTGCAGGACTAGACAGCTGTCCTTGTCAGGCCCTCCGTTCTGACAGAGACACATAAGAACTCCTACTAAAGTCTTAGCCTGAAGAACAGTCATATACATGTGAAGTATGTAGTAAATCATTCACTGATACACACTTTGGAAAACATGCATGGGACAGGGGCCTGTTTTACGAAATTTTAACTAAGATAAAATCCAAATTTTAATAATTTGATTGGATAATATTAGATTGATTTTAGTGCTTAACCAATCAAAATTGAAATATCTACTAAAATTTGGATTTTATCTTTAGTTAAGATTTCGAGAAACAGGGCCCAGAACTTGAAGCCAAACAATGAGTTGTTACTAGTATCAGTTTTTAGTGCCTTGTAAATGCTTTCAGTTGTCGTATAAAGAAATAATATGCGACACAAATGACTCACCTGCTGTGGGTTTATGTTTCGTTGCCTAACAGCCTATCTTTCTCGGTATACGATAAAACCGGGTGATATGTTTGAGTACGCGAATCATAGTAACCACCATTATTCTGCGTTTCTAGAAAACTCTTAAGACAGTTTATAAAACAATGGCCCAGTGAGTAAGACATTGCCTCGCTAACCTGGAGGTCCGTGTTCCATCCCGGTATTGTCCGAGAAAGTTCATTGGGATTTTCCGGGATGGTTCCCCCTTGTCAGTGGTTTAGGACGGAGGGCCGACATTCGACAGCATAACAGTTGTTTAGATGAAATGAAAAACCAAGTATGCCGTTTTGAGACTAATATGGTTCAATTTTATTTCAATAATTCACTTTCACATTGGGGTCTTTAGCAGTCACATACAAGCGCATGAATTGAAACTACATAACTTGACAGAATGACAAACGTTATAGAATTATAGACTTTTATTGCATCAAAATCTAAAGCGGCGTTTTCTTCGGTGAAAGCAGCTGAAAAAAATAATTATCCCTTACAGAACAAGGGTCTCCAGCCACAGGGGACCTGCAGGGGCGGATTGGGGCCGCGAACCGGCCCGGGCTCCCGTGTCGGAGCGGTCCCTTTTACTGACCGAGGGTCCGGGGGCTCTCCCCCCTGGAAAATTTTGAAAAATGAACCCCAAATATGTGATTTGGTGGCATATCTGATTATAATCTCTGTCAAATAATATATCTCATAAATCGAGAAATTTAGGCCAAAACCCCAACCTGCAAGGATAGTGTCACACATGATCATCATCGCTCCATGGTCGGTCCAATACCCCCCACCCCTCATATAATGTTTAGCAGAAAAAAGGTTTTTTAGACGAATTAGACAAAATTATTTTTTTTCCGACCAGCCCTTCGGTCTATCGCCCGATGGCCCAATCCGCCCCTGTGGACCTGCCCCAACTATTTGGAAAATGATAATATAATAATATGTCAAAATGGATCGTTGTGCGTGAAATTGGTTTGTTGAAATATTTACAATATAACAGATGTAACAATATTATAGTTCTTTCTCTGGTTCTGTGTTCGGTACGGGTGTTGGCCAAGAAAGTTCATCAGGATTTTCCCACGTGGCTCACCCTTGTCAGTGTTGCAGGACAGAGGCCCTTACAAGGGATAACGTATAGTCGTTCGCCGTTCGGATTAGACGATACACCGATGTGCCGGGTACATACTGGCTTGTACGTGAATTCGATATAAGAGACCAAATCGCATATACCCCTCTTTATTAGCCCAGTCGGAGCAGAAGAGTAGGACGTTAAACCCATTTGGTTTCTACCAGACCAAGCTATTTATGACCCGTAACTAAGGTGGGCGCAGGGGGGGGGGGGATACAAAGCCCCCCCCCCCCCCCGTGAAAAAATTTTTGACCATAAAAAAATTGATATACATTGTCCATTTTGACAGCACCCCTGAGAACACTTCACGCCCCCGTGGTTGCTCTGAGCTACATACGGCCCTATTTATAACAAAATGCGTTGATCTGTACCGGATTATAATATGTAGATCATGTTGTAACAGCTGCTGGCCATGACATCTGATAATGATCTGATAAAAACATGTATATTTATATAAACAAGGGATAGTATTTCATCTAAGACATATGAACTAGTCTTATAATATACATAGGATATTCACAAAACTACAGGTATGGAATATTGTTTTAATATATTAACAGTATGTGTAGTTTAATGGCCGAGTACGAGACATTTAGTAATATATTAATATTGCACGAGTGCTATATCTATAACTCAATGTCTTGCACGAGACCATTAAACAACTTAAAATACAGACACTACCAGCATGTACATTTCAATGAAATACGTATTGTTTAATGGTCGAGAGCGAGACATTAAGTAATATATTACGCAACGTTTTAAGCTCGAGACCATTAAACGACTTAAAATACAGGCACTCCGCACGAGCTTTTAAAGTGAAATATGTCACGCGAGTCCAATATTTCACTAGTATAAATAATGTACGATTCGGAAGTTGCACGTACCATTGTCTGAAATAATCGTACGCCAACATCAAAGGGTGACGTCACATCTGTATTTTAAGTATAAATAATGTACGCTTGACACATTGCCCATGCCATTATTTGAAATAATAATTTCAAAGGATGACGTCACATTTGTATAGCATTTAAAAATGCATATACTGGCACGGATAGTTAAGTATTTCATGAAAATTACCCGTCATCATTAGCGCAGTCGGTATGACGGTTGAAAATAGTTTGAATTTTGTTTATTTTGAAAATATTCTCTAGTACTCCGTTCGTCTTCATTAAGAAAAGGAAAAGACTTAACATTACGAGTTCTTGGCTTTAAATGAATAATAAAACGGGGAAAACATTTTTTTAAATCTTTGGTTTTGAAAATTGTTAATAAAACAGATTTGTCGAAGGCAATTCTGTTCGAAGTGTTTCAAGATTAAAGTCAGTCTTAATTATATTACGGAGACTCCACATTTGCACACCATTTGATCTTTTAATTCTTAATTTGTTAAATACTATGATGTGTCTACGTTTCAAATGTTCAAATACCAGGCCCGTTGTTATATCAGACTGTGGGAGGATATCTTACAATTCAAAAAAAATAATTGACTCTCACTAGATAAGAGAAAACGAGAAAAATAGAAAAAGTCCGTGCATTAACATGTTTTTATGAAGTATAGAATGAATAAAAAAACAAGGGAATGTGCGGGCTATTTCTATTTTTCTCGTTTTCTCTTATCTATAGTGGCATTCAATTACTTTTTTGAATTATCAGATATCCTCTCACAGCCTCACATAACAATTTTTGGTCTTCGAAGGAATTATTAGTGAGCAGAAATTCGCCCGTGTATCGGTTATCACTCGTCACTAAAGTCAGTTATATAGAAGGACAACTCGTGTTTTCCTTTTGCGTTCGTCACTTCCCTTTCTTGAAAGCTTCACAGCGCATCTATGGTAGCAATGATCTCTGTATTTAGATTATATTTGGAACGTATTTAACCAGTTCTATCACACATGTGATAATGACTGACACCAACTTTGTCCTTTAATGGAAAAGCACCTATTTATCTAAGTAGCCTGCTAACAAACTACAAACCACAAAGAACTCGCACATGGCAGAATGGATATCTTTTAACTGTACATACTTATAAACTTAAACCAATTGGACAAAAAACTTCCTCGTACATAGCACCAACCCTATGGAACTCTCTTCCTTTAGGAATTAAGAATTTCAAGAGTTTGGGCAGTCACAATTAAAGACAAATCTATTTACTTTATCATATTAACTTCTTCCAATACATGTATATGCGAAGAGTTGACAATTGCACCACGAGCAAACACGAATGGAATGTGCGCATTATAAATACACACTATTATTATTGTTATTATTAAAACCATTGGATGGTTGATACAAAGAAAAACTGACCAACATGATCACTACCATGTTCTTAATACACTGGCTCCTACATAATACATCTCTCTCTCTCTCTCTCTCTCTCTCTCTCTCTCTCTCTCGGATTGTTATTAAACGTATTATTTCAGGTTATAACAGAAGATGTTGGTTCTACACGTGGCGGCTGTCGTGTTGATAAATATCTCGTTGATTGCAGCAAAAAGACCACATATATTATTCATAGTGGCTGATGATTTGGGTTAGTTTTAGTTTTAATATTTCCACTGGAGAAAATAAAAAGTCGAGCAACTCGGCATATTTTATCAGCACATAGAGTCGACACTGTCAAGGATAAGGTCACGGAAATCAGGGACGAAATACGACTTCGCTATCGAGACGAAACCATCTGACCCTTTCACACCTTCTTCATGTGGCACTACGGTTGCACTAGTAGAGTTCATGTAAACCAGTCGGTGCAAAAAAAGTAGGACATTAAAGTAGCCAAGTTTCTGACTCAATATCATCCAAAGTCTTCAACAGAGAAAAGATGGTCTTCTGATATCCAAAATTTAAGACAAAAAACAACAACATTTTACCATTGGTACATGAATCGTGCACCGTAATGCGTTTCAATCCCATTTGTAACAAGAGACTTGAAGAACGGGGCTAGACATATTCCACAAGTCATGTCAAACGGTGAGCATGCGCAATAAATACTATCGGTGTAGACTGGAATAACCAGACGCTAGAGTTTGCCATACAATTGAGACTTCTGGAGTATTTCGCCGAACATAACTGATCAGAAATTACAGTAAAGACAGAAACGATTGAATTTAAATCGGTTTATTTACATTCATATTACACTATTATATGCGTTGCGACACATTTGTGTCAATTTCTAGGTCCCAAATATTAGCGATTTAGCTCCTTTAAACCTCATTTTAATTTCCAGCATGTCGGTAATAATGATGACTTATATCTGGGTTACTTTTTGTTTCAGGATGGAATGACGTAGGTTATCAGAATCCTGACGTCATTACCCCTACTATAGATAAACTGGCTAAACAGGGTGTCATATTTCAATCATCCTATGTTTTACCCATTTGTAGCCCGTAAGTAATATATAAATTAATATATGATAACTTAGAACATTAGAACATTTTAAAACTCTAGAGGTGAGATATTATAATCATGTATCTTTTTCAAGCGTGTTGCACCCCGCCAAGAGCACAATGGCGGGTTATCAGAATCTTTAACATGAAGTGGTCGTATTCCTAGATACCAAGGAATACAGTAACCCTACTTCTCCACAGACGTCTATAAAATTAACAAATGAGATTTATTTTAATATACCCTCTAGGGTCTGTAGTATATTCACTTTAATATACCCTCTAGGGTCTGTAGTAAATATACTTTAATATCCCACCGCACCTCACCATTCCTCCCTCAACCCTTTAATATCCATGTAATGTAATTCTTAATAGATTTTACAACCCCTTTCGAAAATTCTTCACGGGGCGAAGCTGTAGGTCTACTAACTGACATGATCAATCAACATAATTCTGCACAAGTCACTCATTTTGTATTTTATTTTATTTCAGTTCTCGGTCGACGTATATGTCTGGCATGTATCCGTATAAGACGGGTATGCAGGTAAGGTTACAGAGTTATTGCCTTTGTTGGTATGCACGTGTATCTTACATAGTGATTTCCCTTGTTCGTATGCATTTACGATAAACGATCCTACGCTATGCTAAACTGTTTCACAGACGTATTACGAAAGCCTTCTAAAAACTCTGTATAAGATGACTGACCTTTATAAGTTCAACATGTGACGTTAGACCACGAGGCGTCAATCATTGGCTCCATGGCGCGTGGATTGATTGCATGAGATGTTGTAGCGTAAAGTGGTCAGGGCAGAGTGGTGTCTTTTACTCATTTTATATACCAAGTTACACTCAATAGGAAATATTTTTTTTTATTTAGATATACTTCAAGCACCTTTGTTTATTTTTTAATATTTCAAAAAGATATTCTTGAAGGAAAAAAGTTAATAAGCCATACCGATGTCTTAGCGAATAATCATAAACCGAACGACTAGACGCTGTTCCTTGCTAGGTTCTCCGTCCTGTGCCACTGACAAGCGGGTCTCTAACAGAGGGAGGAAATCGGGGAGACTCAAAGAAAACCCACGATAAACCTCACGAGTTCACGCGCACACACCCACATACGTGGAATGGCATAGACTCTCTCTCCATCTTAATCTGGAGGTCACGGTGGCTAAGTGGGTAAGACGCTGGCTCGCTAGCCTGCATTGGCCGATAAAGTTCATCCAGATTTTCCGGCGTGGTTCCCCCTTGTCAGTGGTGCATGACGGGGGGCCTGACAAGGACAGCTGTCTAGTCGTTTGGATGGGACGAAAAACCGAAGTCCAGTAACACATTGGCATGCACGTAAAAGATCCCTTGACAGTTAGAATTCGATATAAGAGTAGGCCGTAGTGTCGCTGTCCGGGCAAAATTTCCCCCATAGCACACGGTGTGGCGTATGCCCGTATTCATTAGCCCAATCGGAGCAGAACAGTAGGACGTTAAACCCCATTTCATTTCCTTTATTTTCATCTTAATCTGATCCCGCATATCCTGATATTTTCTGATGAAATTTATTTCAGCATATTGTTCTAGGAGGTCGACAGAGCTTTTGTCTACCACTAGAACTACGAACGCTACCCCAACAGTTGAAAGAAGTAGGGTATGCAACCCATGCAGTTGGAAAGTAAGTAAGCTAAATCGATTTTTGTTTTGAGTTAAGCTACAAAACTACAACAATTTACTACCTGTAAATCTTTCAAATAAAAAATGATATCAGGTGTTCTAGAAATAATAAGCATACCCTATCTTGTGTATGATACCTGTCACTACTATTATCTGATTACAGCTATGTGAACTCTTTAAAGGAGAAATGGTATCAGGTGTTGTAGAAAGAGTAGACAGCCATACAATCGATTCTAGTCCAACTAGCCAACCATACAATCGGTTCTAGTCCAATTGGATAGCCATAGAATCGGTTCTAGTCCACTTGCACAGCCATACCATCCGTTCCAGTCCAACTTGGACAGCCATACAATCAGTTCCAGTCCAGTTGGACAGCCATACAATCGGTTCTAGTCCAATTGGACAGTCCGACAGACATGCAACCAGTTCTAGTCCAGCCCGACAGACATACAACCAAATAGCATTCAATTACGTCTACATCAGCACGCCTACCAACTTGAATATGAGGCGGAACACCTTGAAGCCTGGCTAACCTCGTGGGTTTTCTCCGGGTCCTCCGGTTTCCTCCCACTGCTAAAGACTCCTACGCGCAAGCGAATTATTGAAATAAAATTGAACCGTAGGTTAGTCCCGAAATGACCTAGTTTGTGTCGAGTGGACGTTAAACCCCATCTCTCTCTCTCTCTCTCTCTCTCTCTCTCTCTCTCTCTCTCTCTCTCTTGAAGCTAAGTATCAGACTTAAGTGTCTTATAAATGTTTTCATTACCGACAAAAGAAATATGCGAAAACCTTTGTTGACTGCCAGGGGACTAATCTGTAATAGGCGTATATTGTCTGACAACCTATCTCTGATAATTATTGTTATATTCATCTTAAACGTTGTATGATTTCAGGTGGAATTTAGGATTTTGTAACTTGAAGTGTATTCCGACTTATCGAGGCTTTGATTCATTCTTAGGATATTACAACACCCAAGAAGATTATTACAATCACACGTTTGGTAATTTGATATAAAATACATTTGGTAATGGACAAAATCATACATTTAGTAATGGACAATATCATACATTTAATAATGGACAATATCATACATTGAGTAACGAACAATATCACGTATTTAATAATGGACAATATAACACATTTAGTAATGGACAATATCATACATTTAGTAATGGACAATATCATACACTTGGTAACGGACAATATCGTACATTTGGTAATGGACACTATCATATATATCATACATTTGGTTATGAATAAAATCATACATCGGGTAATGGACAAATGATGATAATACATTCGTAATGAACAATATCATATATTCGGTAATGGACAATATCATATCATAGACAATATCATATACTTGATAATGCGCGATAAAATAAATTTATAATAGACAACAACAAAATACAATTATAATGAAAAATATCATGCATTTGATAATGGACAATGTCATGTATTGATAATGGACAACATCATACACTTGATAATGGATATTATATATTTCTACGTGGTTATTATACTATATATTGTATATTTCTAGGTGGTTATTATACTATATATTGTATATTTCTAGCTAGTTATTTTACTATATATTGTATATTTCTAGCTAGTTATTTTACTATATATTGTATATTTCTAGGTGGTTATTATGGTATATAGTGTATATTTCTAGGTAGTTATTTTACTATATATTGTATATTTCCCGGTGGTTATTATACTATATATTATTTATTTCTAGGTAGTTATTTTACTATATATTGTATATTTCTAGGTGGTTATTATGGTATATAGTGTATATTTCTAGGTAGTTATTTTTACTATATCTTGCATATTTCTAGGTGGTTATTATGCTATATAGTGTATATTTCTAGGTGGTTATTATACTATACATGTATATTGTATATTTCTAGGTGGTTATTTGGATTTACACGATGGAGAGCGAGTTGCTAGAGAATATGATGGACAATACTCCACAGTAAGAAAACATGACGCTGGCTTATATTTTATTTCTGTTATTAAAATGTATGTTATTGAAAGAGAACTCTCGTGGCAACTTACAAACGAATTCGCTGAAATGAAAACGCAAATTCATTACAAATGTTAGTTAGACGTTCCAACTTTATTTATACCAGAAACAGAAACAAGAGTATAAACATAAATGCTAGACTAACCATTGGCCCACCACTTAAAAGCACCCCCCCCCCCCAACACACGTTTGCGTCAACGTATAGTCGAGATGCCGCGACAAATGGTCCTAATCTCGCTCCTCCTTGCCATCCCTGCGTTACGAGTAACATCGCAACGGGAAGATGGGAAATAATCTGTGCGAAGTCACTTCTAAGCTTCGCCTTGTTCATTTCTTGCCTTCTTGGCTTCCGCTATTATGTTAAGTCATAGCTAAGTAAAGCCCCAACGGAGCGAGATTGTTTGCCTTCGCTTCGCTATTAGCCTATAACCTGAAGGAGAACTCTCGGTTTATATCTACCACGCAATGTCACGGCTTCGCTTCGCTATAAGTTAACAGGATGTTTACACCAATAGAACAAACAGTATACTATGTTTATATTTTAGCATGTTTACACCAATAGAGCAACCTGTACCATGTGTCTATATTTTAGCATGTTTACCTGTTTAATAGGCCTATATTTTAGCATGTTCACACCAATATAGCAACCTGTTTAATATGTCTATATTTTAGCATGTTTACACCAATATAGCAAACTGTTTAATATGTCTATATTTTAGCATGTTTACACCAATAGAACAACCAGTATAATCGGAGCTCACGATCCAGATAAACCATTGTTTATATATTTACCATATCAATCTGTTCATTATCCTATTCAGGTAAATATCTATACACTTAAATACAGGTGAATACAGGTAATATCATCTACAGGTGATATCTATACAGTGAAACATCTATACAGGTAATATCTATAATATCAATACAGTTAAACATCTATACAGATAATATCTATAATATCTATACAGGTAAATATTTATACAGGTAAATATCTATACAGGTAAATATCCATACAGTTAATATATATTTTAGTATAAATCCCAAAGTTCCCTGATTCTGGTTAGTCGAATGAGAATTTGTTCGGCCTGAGAATAAATATAGAGACCAACATACAGACAATATATTTCTACAGTCACACGTGAAACAGGAGGGTTGGGGTGGGGGCATTCACGTCTAGTTGTGTAACATCTTATATTCACTACCGGGATAATGTCATACCTTTTATCGAATCCCTACCATCATGAATCTTTTACGTTCACGCCAACGTATACACGAGAATTTGCTTTTTGTCCCATCCGAACGACTAAATCTTGTTCCTTACCAGGCATTATGACTACTGTCTATTGTATATTTAAGGTACCGGACAAGTATGCCAATATGTATCCACATATTGGTAATGAAGGCCGCAAGAAATTCTCAGGTAACTCTTTGAAACGGGGATGTTTATATCCTTTATAATGCACGGTCAACTAATATTGTATACCCAGAGTTTATATACCAGCTTGTATTTAGACGGTGGCTGGGTGGTACTGGGTAAACAGGGTGGGTGGAGTGCTACTTGGTAAACATGGTAGGTGGGGTTTTACTGGGTGAAATAATTCTGTGATTTGGTATGACTATTTCAGGATGTGATTAGGGAGTGGATAAGGGGGGGGGGGTACTTTGATCAAACAATATGGACCAAAATCAACAAACCGAAATGAAATAGGGTCTGTATTTGAACAGAGTAAGAATATATTAAGGTTTAAATTGATTATTTTCTTGTTGTTCTATTTGGTAGGCATGGTAACAGCTATGGATGAAGGTATTGGTAATATTACAAGAGCTCTACAAGCTAAAGGAATGCTGGATGATACAATTATTCTATTTACCACAGATGTACGCCCCTTTATTATTTTATTTACTTATTCCACGCCCTCGTTGTCTGATGTCACGTGTCTAGATTACGTCAGTCCTTTGTCATGTGACGTGTGTCTAATGTCACGTGACGTGTGTCTAATGTCACGTGTTTAGAGTACACCACTCCAAGCAGCAGCAGCAGAGAGAGGGGGGGGGGTATTATTATATGTTACGTATTATTATGTGTATACTGGCCCCTTCAGATTCAAGATAACGCGATTTAACTGTATATATAGACTTTACATGTATATGTTACGTAATATTGGATTGTAGAACGGTGCAGATTTGTTCATACTGGTTCCTTTGGGTTCGAGAAAACGGGATTCAACTGAATACAATTATGTGTTACGTATTATTATGTTACAGCGCGATTTATATTGATTCCTTCACATTCGAGATAACGCGATATATGGTTTATGCTGTAGATCGGGTTCGAGATAACGCGCTTTATATATTAATAATAATAATATACATTTATGATTATGGTTGTTTGGATTTGAACAGGGCCATAACTATCTCAAAACAACGAGGGGACAGGAAGTGTTCTCAGGGGTGCTGTAAAATTGACGGACAATGTATATCTATTTTATTTTATGGTCGACAATTTTTTTACAGGGGGGGGGGGGGATTTTTTCAGGGGTACACCCCCCCCCCCGAGTTACGGGCCTGGATTTGAACATAGCTATTGTTTGAGAACTCTGTATCTACAATGGTAAGTTATTCCACAGACGCGGTCCGCGGAAACTGGAGGCTTTATTCCCATAGGATTTCAGTTTAGCTTGTATTAAATTGTAGAACGGTGCGGAATTATTTAAATATGGTAACAACTATCCTTTACGAGGTGGTAAACATACTTTATGGGAAGGTGGCACTCGGGGCGTTGCCTTTATGGCAGGAGCTGGCCTACAGCACACAGGTATCAAATATAATGGGTGAGTTAAAATATTATATGGCAAGAAATATAATTATAGTGAGAGAGAACTGGTGTTTAAGGTCCAATCAACACTAACTCATTTCAGGACTAATTGTAGAGCAAGCAAGAAATATAGCTATAGTGAGAGAGAACTGGAGTTTAAAGTCCATGCACCACTGGCAAAAGGAAACCACGCCGGGAGCAAACCGGTTGCTAAGTGATAAAGACGCTGGCTCGCTAGTCTGGAGGTCGCAAGTTTGCTCCTGGTGTTCATTAGCCCAGTCGGAGCAGAACATTAGGACGTTAAAGCCCATTTTATTTGCAACACTTGCTCATTTCAGGACTAGCATATGCTACTATTCCAAAGTAAGAAATGAAATGAAATGAAATGGAGTTTAACGTCCTACTGTTCTGCTCCTAACCTGGGCTAATGAAGACGGAAGACGGGCATACGCCATACAGTGTGCTATGAGGGAAATTTTGCCCGGACAGCGGCACTACGGCCTACTCTTATATCGAATTCCAACTGCCAAGGGATCTTTTACGTGCACGCCAATGTGTACACGGGACCTCGGTTTTTCGTCCCATCCGAACGACTAGACAGCTTTCCTTGTCAGCCCCTCCGTCCTGCATCACTGACAAGGGAGAACCACGCCGGAAAATCTGAATGAACTTTCTCGGCTAATGCAGGGATCGAACACCCGACCTCCAGGCTAGCGAGCTAGCGTCTTACCCACTTAGCCACGTGATCCCCCCCAAAGTAAGAAAGTTTTGCGATTGGCCTTATAACATTAAAAATATAAGACTTAAAGGGGCATTCGGTACGATTAGATAAAAAGCTGTCGATACATGATTTTTAAAAAAATAGATAAGAAAAACGAAATATGCTGAAAATGTCAGTCGGAACGGAGATATTAGCGATTAAATTTTAGGCCATGTTCTCGGTAGTCATTACTAAAGTTGGTATGATAATAAACAAATTCTTGATTATACCTTTTTACGTTAAATTATCCATCACAAAATGTAGTCATATCCAAAAAATATCGCAGGCTAACGATGGCATCGAGAATTGATTATGGTCTTGTCATGTTAATAAACGTCTAATTAAAGATACATTATGGGAGATTAGATAACGAGTTGGCAGTTCTCACTATAATAGTTAAAAACTAGATAATGTAAAGGCAATTTGCTGAAAATATTCTAATTGATCCACTATGAACCGAGAACTAAGCGTTTAAAATTTCCGCCTAGCCTCAATCATCATTACTAAAGTCAGTACGATAAACAGCATAGTCCCGATTATCCAGTTAATCGTTAAATCGCGAAGGAAAGTTATGAAGTAAATCGGCTCATAATCCACTTAAGATCGCAGGCTAGCGATGCCATCTAGAGTTGATTATGGTCTGGATCGGTTAATTAATGTCTAATTAATAATTTAGATAACATTTCAGGCCTAAAGAAAGACTTGCAATGTAAATCAGTTTATATACAATCCGCTTACATTATTATATGCGTTGCGACCCATTTGGGTCAATTTCTAGGTCTCAAATATTAGCGATTTAGCTCCTTTAAATATTATAAAACAAAAAAATATTTGCGGCACCAGACTATTGAGATACCGCTTATGACATCATAAATGTATCCTACTTAATTTATCGGGACGTAAAGGCGTCAGATACAATGTACTAATATCGACAGTTAGTTTATTTAATGAAACAGGGGTTGGTGGCTAACACAAGGGTACGAGGTCTGGCTGTTGGTTTATTTAATGAAACATGGGTTGGTGGCTAACACAAGGGTACGAGGTCTGGCTGTTGGTTTATTAAATGAAACATGGGTTGGTCGCCAACACAACGGTACACGGTCTTGCCATTGATATATTTAATGAAACGGGAGTTGGTCGACAACTGAATGGGTACTAGGTCTAACAGTTGATTTATGTAATCGATATGTTTATTACAGTTTAATCCATTCGATTGATTGGATGCCGACATTGATTGGTGCTGCTGGGGCCCCACAAGGTAAACAAATACACGGCATCAATTGGCCAGTCCACTATTCACTATTCGTAAGGTAGAAAAATTGGATTGGGACAACGAAGACGAACAAATTCAAGCGATAAAATAAAACCAAGTACGAACAATCCAAACCATAAGACAGAATTCGAAGTCATAAAACACGTTATAGGCAAAATAGTGTATTCAAGCAAAATAGTGTAATCAGCAAATGGACTGTTCCTCGTGTACAAATTACACGACAAACAGTGGTAACAGGTGTCCGGAAGAGTAAGCTTACCCTGCCTGGCGCCACACCCGCACTGACTGTCACCTGTTGATTTGGAATAATCTTGGTTGCTTGAATCGGGCTGCTTCAGTTGGGCGGCTTGGATGTGTCTGGAGAGTTCGCCTAGGCAGGGTCCTTCACGTCACGCCAGCCACCAATGACAAGGGAAGTTCGGGTTTGACAAATCCACGCTGAGATTCGAACCTGCGATATTTACGGCCCTGTAAAAAAATATTTTCAATCTTACAATAATAGAGCAAAATAACATAATTGTTTTTCCTCAACAGTTACTTATAATATCAATGGTTACCACATGTATAAACAATCAATAAATACACCATGGTTACCACTTGTATAAACAATTAATGATACAGCTTGTATAAACAATCAATGATAATATCCATGTTTACCACTTGTATAAACAATCAATGATAATATCCATGGTTACCACTTGTATAAACAATTATTGTTTGTATTCATCGTTACCAATTATAATATTTGTTTTAAAGCTGAAGTTGATGGCGTCAATCAGTGGGATTCTATCAGATTAAATCAACCATCCAAGAGATCAGAATTTATTTATAATCTGGACGATTTCCGTATACCTACACAAGGTCATGCCGCAATAAGGTTACTATAAATCTATGTTACGCGTGTCATAGAACTATTTTACCCATGTCATAAAACTATATTACCCGTGTCATAGAACTATTTTACCCATGTCATAAATCTGTATTACCCGTATCATAAAACTATATACCCGTATCATAGAACTATTTTACCCATGTCATAAAACTATATTACCCGTGTCATATAACTATTTTACCCATGTCATAAAACTATATTACCTGTGTCATATAACTATTTTACCCGTGTCATATAACTATTTTACCCATGTCATAAAACTATTATACCCATGCCATAAAACTATATTACCCGTATCATAGAGCTATTTTACCCAAGGCTTAAAACTATATTACCCGTGTCATAGAACTAATTTACTCATGTCATAAAACTAGTTTACCCATGCCATAAAACTATATTACCCGTATCATAGAACTATTTTACCCATGGCATAAAACTATATTACCCGTGTCATAGAACTAATTTACTCATGTCATAAAACTATGTCATAAAAACAGCTATACATTCTTTCCAATCTGATTAAAACACAAATCATATTTCGTTTCGTTTTTTTATAGTTCAAAATCTCGTTTTATTTATCTTTACTACAGTAGGATCCGGAAAAGGTGTTATATAACATGCGTTCTGGATGATGTGGGGGGTTAGCTAATGAAACGGTTTGTTACGGTCGAGTTTTTTCGTGCAGTGCACGTAACTGTGGGTAACCCACTAGAAACATCAACGCTGATTGGTTAATCGAATTCCGACGTCATAGGGTCAAAAGCTGATCGTGTGACCTCTGACGCGACCTTCCACTACAACCGGTCAGATCTACATGTAGTAAAGGCCATCAAGTGTATAATAAAACGAAACGAAATATATAGATCTGTATTTTAATCAGATTGCATTCTGTCTGTTTGTTTTCTTGTGTTTCTCTTTATTTGGTTTGAGTCATTCTTTGTGTCTATGTCTTGTCTCTGCCTACAGTTGTATGCCGTCTATGACTTAACATGTTTTTATTTTGCAAAATTCATATATTTTTTCTACATATTTAGCCAGGTGTGCCATTATTTTTTCATGTGTCCCAAGATGTGCCGTTGGAAAAAACGTTGAGAACCACTCTTGCTGGCTTGACAGCTCCAGAAAATAAATAATAGCCTTATTCTAAGTACTAGATGTGTTAGTGTCTTGCCTGATGTGTAAATTATCCATTAAATCCTATTTTACTTGTCCAGAGGGTTCAAAAATATTTTTAAATCCAAGTCACATTAGAAAAGCTTTACGTCAGGCTTTTCAAATCATTTAGTTGAATTTTTCCAATTTTTTATATTAGGTGTGTTTAGATGAAATTTGTATCATCAATTAATTGGAATATTGTAAAATAGTACAATTTGTTGACCGGAATAAAGATTGGGACATATTATTCAGTTACAACAAGAGTGGTATTGAGCCTTTAATCAATCCTCCATTCAATCAATTCTGCCAATTCACCCATCCCTCTATGCGTTGATTTATAAATTAATTCACTCATTTACCTATGCGTTGTTTTATAAATTAATTCCCCCATCATTCATTCAACTATTAAGTCATCCGTCAATCCACACATCCATCTTTTTTAAAGTTAATTCGTTTATGATTGTTGACAATACAGGGTTGGTGATTGGAAACTGATATTAGGTTATCCTGGAGAAAGTGATGGCTGGACCAAACCAATGAACGATACTAAAGATACCGTTTTGTTGTACAATATTTATTCACCTGGTGATACTCCTAGTTACTTGTTTAATATTACAGGTAAATACAGTCTATAATATACTGATGACACCCCCGGGTATCTGTAATATACCCCTAATATTTGTAATATATCCCCAGTTACCTGTAATATATATACTCCTAGTCACCTGTTCTATATTACAGGTAAATCTAGTCTATAATATTCTGGTGATACCCCTAGTTACCTGTAATTTACACCTAGTTACCTGTTATATACACATAACTACCTGTAATTTACACCTAGTTACCTGTAATACACTTATAACTACCTGTAATATAAACCTAGTTACCTGTAATATACACATAACTACCTGTGATATACACATAGTTACCTGTAATAAACACATAGTCGCTCAGTGAGTTAGACGTAAGAAATGGGGTTTAATGTCCATCCGACGCAAACTAGGTCTATTCGGAACCAACATATGGTTCAATTTTGTTTCAATAAATTGCTTGTACCTTTAGTAGTGAGAGGAAAACAAAGGACATAGAGAAACGCCACGAGATCAAACGGCACCCGATCCTCAGCAGTGTATTAGAAGACACTTAATAATAATAAGGGAATTCATGTAAAAGTAAAAAACCTGTTTGTTATGTTCCCTTATGGTCTCCCATATTGTAAGCTTGTTGTAAGCTCATTTTGAGTGGATGGTCTCCCTTGCCGTTCACATTTTGAGTGACGGTCTTTTATTATTACAACGTCTAAACAGCACAGAGAACTGTCCCACCCTACACTGGCCCATTCACGGGATTTGAGATATTGCTTTCAATGTCTGTGTATATTGTGTGTGTGTTGTCGACGGGATCGTCTAATGGGCTTTCTTTACGTGTTGCGGGCTTCCTGCACTTACTATTACAGATGTAAAACTATTTCAGATGATCCGAGAGAATTTTACAATGTGGCCGATCAGCACCCAGATATAGTACAGAAGTTAACCAAACGAATTCAGGAATATCGGTTATTGATGGTACCAGCCAAATACCCGGCTAATGATCCGGCTGCTGACGTAGCGGCTAAAAATAACGGTAATGCCTGGGCATCCGGGTGGTGTTAGTAGTGTGCTTGATCGTCAAAAATAACCATGAATATGGAAATAAAAAGAATTTTAATAATTTTAGATTGTTCCAGGACATCCACGGTGCTGTTAGTATTGTGTTGAATAGTAAATAGTTAAAAATATAAAGCCTGTACTTTAGTCTTAACAGTAGTTAATACGGTATCCGGAACTGAAGAGTTCCTTGATGCATTGTGGGTAGTTTACCTATAGCCTTGATATTGAATTTCAGAGAAAGTTCTAGCCCAACTATACCTTGTTCTGAAATACTTTACATCCGGTGATGCTAGTCGTGTTACTAGTCTTGACATGTTTAAATTAACATATAAATAAATAAATAAATAAAAAGCCTTAAATGTTGAAGATTAAAGCTCATTGGGTGTAGCTCTTTAGCCGCCATACTTACTTATTACCTCTATCCATTTGTCATTGGTGGAACCAGAACTTAAAGCCTAATTGGTGAATGGAACTGAATCGATGTGTGGGGGGGATAGGGGGTGGGGGATGGGTGTTTACGTCTTATCAACACAATACCGAACGACTGGACACGCAGTTCTCGTCAGTACAATACTTGGGTCTCCACCCGATCAACTGAAACATCTATTTTCAAAATCCCGGAATTCATCTTTCTAGACCATACCAGGTTTCAAACACGGGGCAAATGGAAAGGGGAAAAGACAGTTGACAGATACAAACTAATTTGACCGATAGACCCATGTACAACAAAATACTAATTAATGTTAAAATTACTATTCATCATTGTTTATATAACTCAGATATAACCATATATAACACCAGGACATAATATACATGTATGGATATAAGATGGGTTGACCACATATAACACCAGCATATAATATACATGCCTGGATATGGGATGGGCTTACCACATATAACACCAGGACATAATGTATATACAAGATGGGCTTACCACATATAACACCAGGACATAATGTATATACAAGATGGGTTGACCACATATACCACCAGGACATAATGTATATACAAGATGGGCTGACCACATATAACACTAGGACATCATGTATATACAAGCCAGGATATAAGCCACCTGTCACTGCCCTCAGTATCCCCAGTGGTCTCATTCCGCTCTACTCCACTGTACCCTGGGTTAATCCATAGGGTTTCCCAATTTCAAATTATCTGCCCTGACCTTGATTGTAGCTAAAGTCTACGAACCAATCAAAAAACAGTTCACAAACCAGTCTTACTAATTAAACGGCCTTCATTTCGCGTTCGTTTTTATAAAGGTAGATAACCATATTCATGTCTATTTACTGAATGATTTCTGTAAAATAATACCTATATATTTCTAATTCATTTATGATTAATTGTATTATCAAAATCTGTAGTATGTTTCACTAATTTCAAATATGTATAACATCTATATGTTTGACTTTTGTTATTATTATTACTATTCATTCTTTGTCTGAAATGTTTCATTTTGTTATGTTTATTATTATTGAACTTATACTTGGACGTCTCCCATTTAGACTACTTTCTGGCTAATTCATAATCTTGTGTCTTGAAGGGAAGACTTTGCGATTTGCTTACTTTTACCCGATGAGAGAGTTACTTTCCTTTGTCAACCTCCTTTGCAATTGACGATTTATGGTATTGGTTGATAAAAATAGCACAATCATCAAGGCCAGATAATTTGAAATCGTGCCCCCCCCCCTCCCCTCCCCCTAGATTAACCCAGGGGTTAGTTCAGTAGAACAGAATGAGATCACTGGGGATACTGTGTTGCTTAAGATTAATGAGCATGAAACATGTTAATGAGCATGAAACATGTTAATGAGCATGAAATATGTAAATGACCAAGGAACATGTTAATGAGCATGAAACAAGTAAATGACCATTAACCATGTAAATGAGCATGAAACATGCTAATGAGCATGAAACATGTTAATGAGCATGAAACATGTAAATGACCAAGGAACATGTTAATGAGCATGAAACAAGTAAATGACCATTAACCATGTAAATGACCATGAAACATGTTAATGACCATGAAACATGTTATTGACAACTGCATTACTTGCTATATTTTTTTATTATGAATTTAGAATCATAAATTAGTAATGGTCACCATATTGTTACAGCCACAATATTGCTACAAGAATGCAAGAAAAATAAAAAAAGTCTATGTATAATTTGTTTTTATTAATTCTCTACTCGCACAATTTAAGTGATAATTATAATTTATTCTGGTAATCCCTTTAAATGTTCTGCTGCAGGAAAATAAGTATTTGTATTAGAGCCCTGTGTTTTTTCCTCTAGGATGTGTTCTCATGTGTCTCTGTAGACTACTATTTTGAGTGAATGATTTACTACAAATATCACACTTATACGGCTTTTCACCGGTATGAATTCTCATGTGTGTTTGCAACGTATAAGATTCGGAGAATGCTTTACTACAAAAATCACATTTGAACAGTTTCACTCCTGAATGAATCCTCATGTGCTTGCTTAGATGTTCATTTTGAGTGAATGATTTACTACAAACATCACAATTAAAAGGCTTTTCACCAGTATGAATTCTCAAATGTTTCTTCAGATGACTACCAACAGTAAATGATTTACTACAAACACCACATTTATAAGGTTTCTCACCGGTATGACTTCTCAGGTGTGTCTGTAGATGACTACAGTCAGTGAATGATTTACTACAAACATCACATCTGTAAGGTCTTTCACCAGTATGAATTCTTGTGTGTCTCTGTAAAGTTCCATATTCAGAGAATGATTTACTACAAAGATCACATTTATAAGGTTTCTCGCCGGTATGGGTTCTCATGTGTGTTTGTAGATGATTAGTGTCAATAAATGATTTACCACAAACACCACAACTGTAAGGTTTTTCACTAGTATGACGTCTCATGTGTCTCTGTAAAGAACGATATTCAGAAAATGATTTACTACAAACATCACATTTAAAATGTTTTTTTTCTATAGAACTAAATCTTGCCTCCCAAAGTTTACCATGTTGTAAAACAGACTCCTCTTCTTTAATGTGTATTTCACAGTGTTTTTCTAAATCAGTTTCTGATCTAAATTCGTTATCACACAAATTACACTGATAAACAGTTTCAATATCTTCAGTTTTCTCTTCTTTAACATGACAATATTTATCTATATCATCAGTTTTCTCTTCTATAATATGACAATTTTTATCTACATCATCAGTTTTCTCTTCTTTAAAATGAACGTGACAATATTTATCTACATCATCAGTTTTCTCATATTTAACATTACAAAATACATCTAAATCACCAGTTTTCTTTGCTTTAATGTGTATTTTATTGTGTCTTTCTAAATCATTATATTGTTGAAAAATCTCATCACATACAACACATTGATGAAGGGTTTTAACATCATTAGTTTCCTGTAATATATATAAAAGTTATAACATTATTAGTTTCCTGTAATATATATAAAATTCACAACATCTTTAGTTTCCTGTAATATATATAAAATTCATAACATCATTAGTTATTGTAATATACATGAATAAAAGTTATGAAACTAAACTCCTGCCAAAACAACACAATTAAATGATACCTGAGTTGTAGTGTAAACCCCGTGGAACAAGTGAATTTTGACCCCGAAACAAAAAAAACATATGCTCCTGCCTTATCTATGCGATGTAAAAAATCTGTAAATAGGTGAACAGCCTTCCCAGATTTCTCTCAGCTACTAGTTTCGTTCTTATTCGAACACTTCAGGCTTAAATGAGGATGTGCGGTGGCCCTCTATATATAGTGTCGGTGGGCACTGGAGCACATGTGATGTCACAGATGGACCAGAGTCGATCTTTGGCACCATGTCGATTATTCCGAAAAGTGTGCAAAGATATTCGGCTAAGAATTTGCCGTCATGATTATGCTAATTTGCATTGACTCAAGGCTCCTAACCCTTTTGATCTCCAAGTTTATAGTTTCCTAAAATATCGAGGGCTATAATTGTTTTAAGTAGAAATATAGTCTACCTATTAACATGCTCCTCCAAAAAACAATACGTATCTAGGTGAAAGCAAACGTGTCTTTTCAAAACGAATAAAGGAACACAATGCAGATATTAGACACAACAGGCCAAAGCCGGCCGCACTGCACTTCAACTTAGATAGACATACGAGTAGAAATGTTATGATTAAAATTATAGAGCTTTTTAAGACTGACCCAGATAACGGCAAAAACGATGCCATAAGGAAAGCCAATGAATTCAAATGGATTCACACTTTAAGAACATTCGCACCGGATGGCATTAACGATAAGATGTAGTCCCGAGGGGTCCCCCACTTTATTGTGAACTCTTATCTAGGCGATGTTAAACCCCCTCTCCCTCTCTCTCTTTTTGTGGGATTCTTCCTACTAATTTGCTCCATTCATTTATGAAAGAAATGGGGTTTAACATCCTACTATTCTGGGTCTACATCATGTCTAAGGATGTTATATTAATTTTCTCAACTTGTTGATGTAAGCCATAACTTAAACTCAAATATTTCTTCTATTGATCATATCAAATAAAATGAAACAGGGTATAATGTTCTAAGGTTCTGATAAAACTGGGAAAATGAAGACGGGCATACACCATGCAGAGTGCCAAAAGCAAAATTATGCCAGGACAGCAATTGAATTCCAAAAGTCAAAGGTTCTTGGAGTTTTTTTTCATCCTATCTGAGTGACTAGATAGTGTCTCTTCCCAGGTCCTTCGTCCTGCAACACTGATGAAAGGGAACCACGTCGCAAAATCTGTATGAACTGTTAGTGAGCCAGCCCTTTACTCACTGAGTCACCACAGCTTCCTAGCCCAAAATTAGATCCTGAACGTGCAGGGCGAGTGTACTGAGAATAAGCTCAGAGCTGAACACGGAATACATGTTGTGGTTATTCATTTATGACTGGTTTGATGCCTGAAATGAGGACATGAATAATCAATTCAGTACAGATTCCTATTCAATTAAAAGAAAAGTAAAATTAGTATTTTATTAGACGTCTGTAACCCGAATTTTTTCGGGCACGTCAGGTTCTGCCCCCCCAACATTCACCGAGTCTGTACGCCTATGACTGTATTAGCAGTATACGGAACTCATAAAAATTGTGCCGAAATATGTTTCCTAATGCCTTAATTTCTTTCCTGGAACTACTACCTAGAGACTCAAAAGATTCCAACCTGTCTGTAAAAGAACTGAACAATAATTTACTGTCAAGATACAAAAACTCGATTTGTTGGATCAGCTGAAAGCTTTATGAACAGACAACTGTTTGGTATCAATTTTCAACATAAAACAGACCTTGTCAGGAGGTGCAAGTCATAATTCGCATGCACGCTATACTCTCGCGCAAAAATTTCGGGAAACTTTTCATAGAATTACCTGGTTAACTTGGTTCATTTGAACAATTTAATAATTCAATATCTACGATAATATACAAGACAATACTCTATTTCCCTTCATACGTGACATATGGCGATGATATTATGATTATACTGCATGCCTAAGTTTAGGATGTATTATGATTACACAATCAATGTAACTAAGAATAGAATAAAGTAAATTGGAAATTGGACAATAAAGAAATAATTTCAAGCTTGCAAGTAGATTGGTTAATTTAACTTAATTTAACTAAAACCCTAAGTAGAATTCTCGTGTGAAATTACGAATCTACTACTATAATGTCATTTTCTAGCCTTTATGATCCGTCACATTTGCAACAACTTATTATAATATACCAGATGAATACCGTAATGAATATAAAACATATTTCTCTAAAAATAAACTCACCATTGTTTTAATAGCAAAGTTTATTAGTTGTTGAAGTGAATAGCAAGGTGTATGTGTAGTTGGTATCACACTGGGTGGATTAGTTGAAGTGAAATTGAACCAAAATAAACCATTCGTGTTATCAGCCTTTCTTGATTCTTATTCTTCTTTGCTATAATGTCTATTTCCGGTAGAACAGAGATTTGGCTGTATATTGATATGAGATGTAGACCCGCCGAACGTGAACCCACCGAATAATTGCTTTAATGAGAGTAATCAACATATGCTGATCTTGTTTCAATCCATTGAAAATCAAAAACATCTGATTAACTAAAGAGTAGATTGCAGGCTTGACATGTGAATGAATGCGATTAATAATTTATATATGTGAGGCCCAATAAATCATACAGGGGTTCGGGCTGCTATAATAAGAAAAATGTGTATATGTGTGTATAATAAAGGGGGAGGCTGGCTGCTATAATAAAATGGAGGTTGCTATTATAGATGGGTGGGCTTGCTATAATAATAGAAATTTGGGGGGGGGGGGGGGATCTGCTATAATAATCAAAATGGGTAGAAGGGCTATACTATAAAGGGTGGAGAGTCGGGGGGGGGGGGGCTTCTATAATAATAATGATAGGCCCACAGCAGCTAAATCGTCCGAGCAGTCGACAAAGGTTGTCGCATATGTATTCTTTTGTAGGTAATTAGGGGAATTTAATAGGCAATTTCATACAGATGACATAATTTTCGTCGTTTGAGGGTTCACAAGGTTCTAAAAACTAAAACACGGGCCATAACTCTGGAAGTAATCTACTGAAATTGTTGAAATTGACCGGCCTTTTTGTTTACTAATTCAAATAATGCATATAAATTTCATACAGATCGGATGATAACTTTTGTCATTCGAACGTTCACAAGGTTCAAATAAGTAAAATAAGGTCCATAACTCTAAAAGTAATTAACGGAAATTGCTGACATTCAATAGACTTCTTCATTTCACTAATTTAAATGATGCATATGAATTTCATACAGATTAGGTGATAACTTTTGTCGTTCAAGCATTCACAAGATTCAACAAAGTTATACAAGGGCCATAACTCTAGATGTAATTAACGGAAATTTGCTGAAACTCAATAGGCTTGTTCGTTTTACTAATCCAAACGATACATATAAATTTCATACAGATCGGATAATAACTTTTGTCGTTAGAGCATTCACAAGGTACAACAAAGTGAAACACGAGCCGTAACTCACTGCGTAATTAAAGGAAATTGCTGAAATTCAATAAGCTTCTTCTTTTCACTAATTTAAATGATGCATATCAATTTCAAACAGATCGGATGGTAACTGTTGTCATAAGAGCGTTCACAAGATTCAACAATGTGAAACAAGGGCCATCACTCTAGATGTAATTAACGGAAATTGCTGAAATTCAATAGGCTTCTTTGTTTTACTAATTCAAATGATGCATATAAATTTCATACAGATCGAATAATAACTTTTGTCGTTAATTAACATTGCTGAAATTCAATAGGCTTCTTTGTTTTACTAATTCAAATGATGCATATAAATTTCATACAGATCGAATAATAACTTTTGTCGTTAGAGCATTCACAAGGTACAACAAAGTGAAACAAGGGCTATTACTCACGGCGTAATTAACGGAAATTGCTGAAATTCAATAGGCTTCTTCGTTTCACTAATTTAAATGATGCAAATCAATTTCAAACAGATTGGATGATAACTGTTGTCATTTGAGCGTTCACAAGATTCAACAATGTGAAACAAGGGCCATCACTCTAGATGTAATTAACGGCAATTGCTGAAATTCAATAGGCGTCTTTGTTTTATTAATTTAAATGATGCATATAAATTTCATACAGATCGGTTGATAACTTTTGTTGTTAGAGCGTTCACAAGGTGCAACAAAGTGAAACAAGGGCCATAACTCAAGAAGAAATTAACGGAAGTTATTGAAATTAAATAGGATTCTTCATCTCAATAATGCAAACAACAATATCAATTTCAAAACAATCAGATGATAAAATAAATGTAGTCTGTAGAGTGTTCACAAAAAATTGTGGACGTCGGAAGGAAGAACCGACTAACGGACGGACTGACGGGGGCGACGGCAATATACGACCACATTTCCATGTGGGCGTATAAAAATGGAGGGTGTCTATAATAAAGTGGCGTGGGGACTACCATAATAGTAGAAATGACGGGTCGTAATAATGAATAATCATATATTTTAAGTTTCATCAAAATCAGATAAAAATTGTGACCTCAATCATCATCATGGAGGTGTAACGGTAATATATCTAAACAAGTTTTAAAATCAGATAAAAATTATGACCACTAGAGGGTCCACAGGCTAAAATCATGATTTTTTATTCAATCAGGGGCCATAATCCAAGCAGTTACGGTCTGATATGCGTAATTATGGCACCGAGATCGTTAGGTTATAAACATGTATTTCAAGTTTCATCAAATCGGATATAAAATGTGATCTCTAGAGTGTCCAAAAGCTAAAAACATGATTCTTTGTACAATCAGGTGCCATAATCCATAAAGTTACGATCTGATACATGCCAATATCGAAACAAACTGACCTTTTACGGGACAGACAGGGGCAACGACAATATATGTCCACATGAAAATGTGGGCGTATAACAGGTGGGAGAGGGGGCAATAATAAGAGAGAGAGACAGAGAGAGAGAGAAATGGGGTTTAAGTCCACTCGACACAAACTAGGTCATTTCGGGACTAACATATGGTTTAATTTTATTTACATAATTCGCTTGCGCTTAGGGGTCTTTAGCAGTGGGAGGAAACCAGAGGACCCGGAGAAAACCCCGGAGGTTGGACAGGCGTCCCTACTCCTTGCCACGTACAACCGGGGATTCGAAACCACGCCAGTCGACTCAATGACAGACTTTATGATACAGTACACGCACGCTAACCATTCAGCCATCCACCCCCCCCACCCCCCCCCGGCAATAATAAAGGAGGTGGGGTTGGGCTGCTATAATAATCTAATAAGGGAGGGTGGAGGGGGGCTATAATAAATGGGAAGGGGAGCTGTTATATTCATCAGCATCAATATTACAAAGTTTGTGTTGCTATATACTAAGACATGCATGAGACTAGAGACTTGCATGATTGAGCGGTCTAAAGGATGCAGTTACACCTTGCTTGTCTTGGTTTAAACAGTATTTATTTCGAGAATATTATACAATATAAAGGCATAAAAAATAGAGTACAAAAGCAAGCCAAGTAGGCTTATATTAATTGGCTTGCTTCTGGGCGTATAATAAATATACAATTTCAATAATATATGATATAGACAAAGACTAATTACAGTATTTTATGTATTTTAAGGAGTAAAACGTTTTGTATATTTAACATATTTGTAAACAGTTGACCACAGGAGATAGTTCGGCATTACCATAGAGTACCGGTAGGCAAGTAATATTCCTAAAATACATCGGTAATAAATGAATGGTATAATTTCGCTGGAGTGTGTAGTTTGGATAGTAGAGTAAAAAGTGTTCAGTGGTTTTAAGATCAAGATCACAGCCAGATTCGGTGTAAAGTGTAGTATGGGAGGTTCCAAGGAGCAGGCCAGTTATCTAGGTGGAGTTGTTTTTTTTTTAAACTTTTGTGAATTTATTTTGGTAGTATCACTATTAATCTTGTGTATTTGGTCCTTATTTCTTTCACATTCATTCAATATCAAATCCTTGTTGGAATATTCGTAAATATATTTAAAATCATCTAATTTGTACTTGTGTCCAGTTTAAAGCTGATTAATTTTGATAATGAGTGTCCAATCTACAAACATTTATTTTCTCGATCACTGTTAAAATATAAACAAAAATTGTCAGGAAATTAAATACTTGTAAATTGAACACTTATTATTAATACTAATCAGTCAGCTTCAAACTGGACACACATACAAATTAGATGATTTTTATGAATTTTTAAACAAAGATTTGATATTAAACGAATGTTAAAGAAATTAGTGCTAAATACACAAGCTTAAATGATATCCAGGTTACAGTGTGTTATTCCAGACTATATCAGCATAATCAAATATGGAAAAAATAAAAGAATTATACAAAATATTTAATGATTTACTTGATAGTCTTATTTTAAACCTCTCAGGCAGTTGACCATGATTGAGGTTTTACTAATTAAAAAATCCATGTGATTGTCCAATTTACAGTGTTTGTTAAAAATAACACCTAAATGTTTATGAGTATTTGCATCATATAATGGGATATCGTCAAAAGAAGCAACAAGCGAAGTTGGGTTGTTTTTTTCTTCTAAATACAAGACTGATAGTTTTGTCTGGGTTGAATTCGACCTTCCACTTTTCTGACCAATCATGAATTTTTTTTTGATCATTATTCAAAGTATTAAGGGTGTCAGGGGGATTATCTATGACCAAATATAACGAGGTATCATCTGCGAATAATCTTAATCGGAAGCTAACTTCAGTTGTAATATCATTAATAAAAAATAGAAAAAGGAGCGGTCCCAGTACGGACCCCTGGGGTATGCCAAAATATATATTTTAAAAGCTGCAGAACCATTATTAATAATAACTGATTGCTTTCTACTGGATAAATAACTTTTGAGGAGATCTAAAACACCATTTCTATTTCCAAGGGAGTTTAGTTTGTGTATCAAGCCATGATGCCATACCCTATCAAATGCCCTTTATATCAAAAAATATAGCTTTTACCTAATGCCCTTTGTCTCAAAAGGAAGAAACATGGTTATACATATCAGTGAGTTGGTAACCAGCACAATCATTTTGTCGAAACCCCGACTGGTGCATATATATATAACGTTATTAGTATGATCTAAAAATTGGTTTGATATGTGCAAATTTCCAACAATCGGGGAAGACTTCGATATTGTAAGGTTACCGACACCCTGTCCGTATCGTCGCTTACTATAAATTAAATGTGGGGATGGGAAGAGAGGATCGCCAAATAGCAGAACTTGTCAGGATCTACAAGCTGGCATGATATATTCTGTTGTTTTCCTCCTTCAATTTCAGATTCCGTTCAAGCGCTCCTATCCCTCTGTGAGTTTTTTTTCTCGAGTATGCCATCTCTGATGTCTCTGTAAAATATATCTACGAGTAAATGATTTACTACAAACATCACATTTAAATGGCCTTTCACCAGTATGCATTGACATGTGTCTCTGTAAACTTAGGCTAAGAGTAAATGATTTACAACAAACATCACAACTGAAGGGTTTTTCGCCACTATGAGTTCTGATATGTCGCTGTAGACTACTGCTATCGGTGAACGATTTACTACAAACATCACATTTATAAGGCTTCTCACCGGTATGAATTCTCATATGTGTCTGTAGATGACTATTGACAGTAAATGATTTACCACAAACATCACAACTGTAAGGTTTTTCGCCAGTATGTATTCTGATATGTCTCTGTAGATTACTATTATTGGTAAATGATTTACTACAAACATTACAACTGTAGGGTTTTTCGCCAGTATGAGATCTGATGTGTCTATGTAGATCGTTATTATTGGTAAATGATATAATACAAACATCGCATTTATAAGGCCTTTCACCAGTATGAATTCTCATATGTCTCTGTTGACTACTAATCTGAGAAAATGATTTCCTGCAAACATCACATCTAAATGGCTTTTCCCCGGTATGCGTTCTAATGTGTATCTGAAGATGACCACTGTCAGAAAATGATTTCCTACAAACATCACAACTGTAAGGTTTTTCGCCCGTATGAGTTCTGATATGTCTCTGTACACTACTGCTGTTAGTAAATGATTTACTACAAACAGCACATTTATAAGGCTTAGCTCCGGTATGAATTCTCATATGTATCTGTAGATGACCACTGACAGTAAATGATTTACCACAAACATCACAACTGTAAGGTTTTTCACCCGTATGAGATCTGATGTGTCTATGTAGATCATTTTTATTGGTAAATGATTTACTACAAACATCACACTTATAAGGTTTTTCACCAGTATGAATTCTCATGTGTGTCTGTAGATGACTATCGACGTTAAATGATTTACTACAAACATCACAACTGTAAGGTTGTTCTCCCGTATGAATTCTCATATGTCTCTGTTGACTACTAAAGTGAGCAAATGATTTACTACAAACATCACATCTAAAAGGTTTTTTTCCTGTACGAGTTCCCATGTGTGTCTGTAGCTGACAATTCTGTGTCTGTGGATGACAATTCTGTGTCTGTGGATGACAACGATTTACTACAAACATCGCATTTATAAGGTTTTTCTCCTTATGAATTTTTATTTTATTTTGTATGATTCTTAAAAAATGTCTTTGGTATCTACATTTATTCTTCTGTGTTGCTTCAGAATATACCTCAAGATTAATTTCTGTAATATATAAAAGTTATAACATCATGACATTAGTTTTCAGCAATATATAAAAGTTATAACATCATTAGTTTCCTGTAATATATAAAATTTATAATATCATTAGTTTCCTGTAATATATAAAATTGCAAAATAAAAGTATAGTAGCCATCTTTTTTTCTTTTTTTTTTAAAATTCCACAATGGCTATTTTTAAAATACTGCAAGTTATCGTTACTGGGTCGTGGGCAGATGTTGTTCTATTGAGTATTCACTATTATTCATAAAATATATATGGTAGGTATGTAAAAACTTGAAAAAAAAATATCCAGTGTAAAATTCGGTGCAGTAGTTACGGCCGTCATAAGTCAACCTAAATCCGCCTAGACTTCTTTAAATAGTACGGATACCAAAATGAAATGAAATGGACTTTAACTTCCTACTGTTCTGCTCCGATCTGGACTAATGAAGACGGGCATATGCCATACAGTGTGCTATGAGGGAAATTTTGCCTGGACAGCGGCACTCCAGCCTACTCTGATATCAAATTCCAACTGTCAAGCGATCTTTTACGTGAACGCCAATGTGTACACAGGACCTTGGTTTTCCGTACCATCCGAATGACTAGACAGCTGTCCTTGTCAGGCCCTCCGCCTTGCATCACTGACAAGTGGGAACCACGACGGAAAATCGGGATCAACTTTCTCGGCCATTACACCCAACCTCCAGGATAGCTAGCCAGCGTCTTATCCGTTCATAGTGTCACCTACATGTATTGTTGCTCTTCAACGATTGGGTTGAAAGTAAAAGTAGGATTGCAAACAGCAATGGCAACATAAACAAGGAACAATATTCTGCACAGTATTCTATGAGGCTATAAATTGCCATCTTTAAAGCAGTAAAAATATCTATTGTTAACGATTCTAAATAACAACAATATTTAGCTTTTTGGCAGTTACAGTCGCTTTAGAAAATTACATTTGTTTTATTTTTTAATTTGCTTTTAATATTAACTATTCCATTATGCATTAGGGGCTACACCTTTTGGTTTAGTAAAATAAATATCTCTGAAGCTCTGTTGCATTGTTTGGCAAGAAAAGCATACAAGCAGCACTTTCCTTTTGTTTTTACAAGGTTCTCAAAACAATTGTTGAGTTGCCTAACTGCCTGTTTCTAAATATGATTTATTGATCTAGCTATCTGTAATGTTTTTTGGAAAATAGTCTTGATTATCTCAACCTTTCAATCAGATGGGAACGGTTGTTAGACTGGTTAAGCCGGTCTAATTTCAAACCAAGGGCATGTAACCTATTTTGCACACAAAAATGCCAGGATGTTATAGGGTCTTACAAACATTTCCAGTCTGTTTTTTATTGATGTTTAAATGGTTATAACTTGTAATATACATCACAAGTGTTTATTTAGTGACTATAGTATAAATGTGAGAAAGTGAAATGAAATGGGGTTCAACGTCCTACTGTTCTGCTCTGAACTGGGCTAATGAAGATGGGCATACGCCATACAGTAGGCTATGAGGGCCTACTCTTATATCGAATTCCAACTGTCAAGGGTTCTTTTACGCGCACGCCAATGTGTAAACGGGACCTTGGTTTCTCGTTCCATCCAAACGACTAGACAGTTGTCCTTGTCAGGCCCTCCGTTCTGCATCACTGACCAGGGGGGGGGGGGGGACCACGCCATTAAATGTGAGATATTTATTTATGGTGGGGCACCCTATAATTATTGTACATTAGTTTTATTAAATATTTTGTTGGTAAAATATTCATGTTTCTAAAAACTGATAAAGGGAAGCCGTCCAAAATGCATCATTGAATAAATACTTTTAGATAGTGTACACAGTCTTGACAGTGTTTTGCTAGAGGATTTTATTTTGGGAATATATTATTCAGTGATAACTGTTATGAACAAGTATCCTCTCAGTGGGGCATCAAATAGTTAATAGGATTGGGGAACAGGCTTAGGCTACCCCCCTTATTGTTATATCTCTTACTCTTGAGCATAACAATGGGTCCATGAAACAGTAATCAAAATATATATTTACTGAGCATATCAATGAGTGAGAGAGAGAGAGAGAGAGAGAGGGGGAGAGGTAACGTCCACTGGACACAAACTAGGTCATTTCGAAACTAACATATGGTTCAATTTTATTTCAATAATTCGCTTGCGAGTAGGGGTCTTTAGCAGTTGGAGAAAACCGGAGGACTCAGAGAAAACACACGAGGTTGGAGAGGCGACCGGTCTACTCTCTCTCTCTTTTATGTCTCGCTCTCGACCATTAAATCACACTAACAATTTCAAGCGCAATAAAACAAAAATAGATACCGCATCCGGGCAATTCAACAAAGGAAGAGTGGCCACAGCATCAAATATTTGTGCTTTATAAACTGACTGACCTGAAAACTTCTTTGGACAACAGTGTCTTGCAGAAACCGGACAAGAAGAAAGAGTTACTTTTTTAAACTATTAGATCATTTCCGGTACGTCACATAGGTATACAGATAACTTAATCTAAAGACAACTCATCCCAATAAAAGACAACTCATCCCAATATAAAAGACAACTCATCCCAATATAAAAGACTACTCATCCCAACTTTAAAACATGGGTAGAGTTATAAGACAAGTTATAAGGGGGTCTTCCCATATCGCCGACTCACCGAGTTTTGGAAAGTCGACCGCGGCACCCTTTGATGGAATTAAAACGGATTAAAAGCGTTAATGAGGCAGGGACCAGTCATTATTAATATAGTTCACTGAAATTGATTTTGATCAGAAGTCGACTCACTCACTAATTAATAAAATGAATATAGTTCACTTAAATTACATGAACTTGAATTTTGTGAATTCAACTCACTCATTAATTAATAAAATAATAGGCAGCAGTTCAACATGAAACTGACAGGTGATCGAAATTCAGTTCATTGTGATTATTTCTCAATAAGTATAAACACGTAAATCATTCCATGACATTTCATATTGATTTCTTTACGATGGCTAATGCACAGTTACAATCTAAGTTTATTCCTACAGCAAAAGGTGGCAGGTACCTTTGTGTTGGTGGTTTTAAGTGTAGAGTGAATAAGAGAAAGAATAACGACTCAGTGATATGGCAGTGCTGGAAAAGCTCATCCTAATATTTTTGAAGTGATGGCATTTTTGCAAGAAGAGCAAAAGACGATTGAAATTCAGTTACTGCAGTATGCAAGTGACCAGCGACAACCACCCAAAAAGAAAAAATACACCGATATCAACAGGAAGATTGAAGATTCCAAGCATAGATATGAACAAGGAAGACTGAATTTATTAGAATTTTTGGACTATGTTGGACACTTGATGCGTGCAAAAATTTAAAATTGTGTCATGTTATGTGTTAAAGATTGTTATAAATTAAAAAAAAAATAAATGCTCCCAAAATTACCTACTTAATGAGGTTTATCCTTCAGCTTGGGTCTATTGTTCTTGGCCGCTCATTCCCATAACGTCGACCAAAATTTTTCCCCTAAAACTCGGTGAGTCGGCGATATGGGAATGAACCGTTATAAGACAATTCATCCCAACAAATTTAAGTGCCTCTTTTAATACAATTGCTTTCTTTGAAGACCACTCAGACCAAAACCAATCTGATTTGTTATCTTAAAGGGACAATAACACTCTTACTGGCTTGACAGCTCCAGAAAATAAATAAGAGCCTTATTCTAAGTACTAGATGTTTAAGTGTCCTACCGGTAGTGTAAATTATCCATTACATCATATTTTACTTGTCCAGAGGGTTTGAAAATATTTTTAAATCCAAGTCACATTTGAAAAGCTTTACGTTAGGCTTTTCAAATCATTTAGTTGAATTTTTCCAATTTTTTAAATTAGGTGTGTTAAGATGAAATTTGTATCACCAATTAATTGGAATATTGTAAAATAGTACAATTTGTTGACCAGAATAAAGATTGGGACATATTATTCAGTTACAACAAGAGTGGTATTGAGCCTTTAATAAAATTGATATTGTTGTTTTAATCAAATTGATATTGTTGTTGTAATAAACTGATGATTACTGTTTGTATTACTGTTTTAGTACTTTGTTGTTTTAACAGATTGGTAGTTGTGTTTTGTTTTATTTTTTCATCATGAAGCACTTCAAAGAAAATTAATTAACAAAACATCGATTAACTAAACTGAGTAGTAGTATTTCAGTATCATTTTTCAAAATGTCTGATAGCTGTATAGTTTGTGAGTCAGTTGTTTGCCCAAGACCGGAGGCTGTTCAGTGCGACGGATGTGAACGATGGCAGCACAGAACTTGTAATACTGGTAAGACTTTAATGTTATTTTTTTAAATTCAACAATATTGTATTAAATTCAACAATATTGTATTAAATTCAACAATATTGTATTAAATTCAACAATATTGGAATACATTTTGGACAACTGGATAATAACCCAAATTAAGATGGTATCAGATGGGAAATTACGAAGGCACCAGCAAAAACAGACAAGAACAACGCAATTCAAATTATTTCAACTGTGGCATTCATACACAGACCAGACTATTAGTACCAACCAGATACTAAAGAGATGTGGGGGAATTTATGGACCTAACTGAAGGACAAACTTACTAAATGGCTAACCTACTGAACGACATACTGACAGAAGAAAAAACATATTTATAAAAATGTATTAGTTGATCATGATATAATAAAATGTATTATTTAATAAATTGTTGATGTAATAAATAATAAAATGTATTATTTAATAAATTGTTGATGTAATAAATAATTTAACATTATTATTTTTATAAATTGTTGATTTAATAAATTCTTATATAAATTGTTGTTATAATAAATTTTTATATTACTGATTAATTTAATAAATAAAAAAAAAAATCAATATTTGTTGCGGTATTTATTTGTAACTTGGAATGATTGGGTTTTTTAAAGTTGGGATGAGTTGTCTTTTGACTTGGGATGAGCTGTCTTCTAACTTGGGATGAGTTGTCTTTTATTGGGATGAGTTGTCTTTTATTGGGATGAGTTGTCTGATCTGGGATGAGTTGTCTTTTATTGGGATGAGTTGTCAGGTATTCGTCACATACCATCTGGACGGTTTACCCATTAGTGCCATTACTACACAATATCACCCAATGCTATGTAAATACTACCAAATACATACTATCTAATGATTGTACAAAAATCATATAGAATACCTCAATAATATATATATATATATATATGTTAAAAAATAAATTATTTCGCGGAATTAGCAAAAATTATACGGTAGGTCTATTTATACTATACTGGTTGTATATTAGTTTGTAAAGTGGATCGATTCAACTCGAATAACTCACAATTAAGATAAATCCATATAAAAGATGTTACATGTCTGATATTCTGAACAGACGGAACTTTTTCGAAAAATCTCCACTTATTAACTGAAAAAGGATCATAACACGAATACAGACCCTGAATAGCATGAATACAGACCATAATCCGGAGGGCCTGGGAAGATTTAACAGCTGTCTAGTTCTGATGGAATGGAAAACCAAGTTCCTATTGACAAATTAAATTTGCGTGCGCGTTAAAAAAAATAATCCAGTGGCAGTAGGAATCAGACAAAAGAGCAAGCCATAGAGCTGCTATGCATACTGCATAGTGTTGCTCGTCTTCATTAGTCCAGTCGGGGCAGAAAAGTAATATGTTAAACCCCAATTCATTTCATTTCATTTCAGACCCTATTTATCAACCGATTTACTGAATTTGATAACAGTATGAATTAGAAAGTACAATGTACTCTTGAGAGAGAGAGTTTAACGTCCACTGGACACAAACTAGGTCATTTCGGGACTAACATATGGTTTAATTTTATTTCAATAATTCGCTGGTGTGAAGGGGTCTTTAGCAGTGGGGGGAAACTGGAGGACCCAGAGAAAACCCACAAGGTTACAATGTACTCTTGAAAGTCACAGGATAAGAAAATGCGTTTAAATATGGCTACCCAAAACAAAGGTGTACCGTCTACATGTACACAAACAAAAATAGCTTTGATATACGTTTTATGTCATAGCAGTCTACGTTCCAATACAAAAAATAACATTTCTTTCTCTCAACTCCACTCGCGGGGAGAGTTAGCTGATGGAAATCAGCGCCTGATTATTCAAGCACTGGATTTGCTCTTTTATAAGTGACAAACAACTTTTTTTTTCTTTTTTTTAAATAGGGGTTTAACGTCCACTCGACACAAACTAGGTCATTTCGGGACTAACACATGGTTCAATTTTATTTTAATAATTCACTTGTGGGTATGGGTCTTTTCATCTAAATCGGGAAGTGCTAGATATGTACATCTAGTTGTTTTAACAATTACAATTCCACATATTTTGTTAAAGATACCTTCCCGCGTACAAACTGAGTGATTTGATGACATATTTAGACCAAAAACACATTCAAACTAATTAATCTATGAAACTCTTGCTTCAAATCCTTTTCAAAACATGGTTTTCACGAGAGAACACCCCTGCTATAAATAGTATAAAAAAATCTATTAAGAGAAGTCATGTTTGTGTCAAGTGACTTGGCTGATGCGCTACCTAGCAACGAGTGCGAAATCGGAGGAGAATTCATTGCATATCCAAGACGATGTTGTCTTTAATTGCTGTCCATTTATTATAAATATAGAAGCCTAATTAAATTCTTGAATTATCCACTGCCCACGTCTTTTTGCGTTGTTTTTATCGCAGAAACTTTTGTACGTATAAACTCTCCATCAAGTTTATCAAAATATACATCAATCGCTCACTAACACTGAGAGACCAGACAATCTTTGCGTGCAACCTTTGATGTCACGCGAGCAGGCATTCCTAATCGTTGGCTGCCGGTAAGGGAAACCCTTACATTTTTGTCCTGTATGTGCTCCATGGGTGATTTTCAAGGAATCCAATATTTGTCTAGTAAGATTGGATGTTTCTACTTTCCAAATATACCAAAATTGCCATACTGTTATTGGAAATAACCCCCTGATAATTACTTTTCTGGGAAAGTATCATTAAGAACCATAGTAATTCCAACCAGCGGCTGCCAGGCAGGATACGCCCTCATTTTCGAGAGATGGATAGAGAACAAGCTAATAAGAAAGTGATTTTTCCTACAATCAAGAGCCATAATTCAGACAATTACAATACGATATGTGCAAATATCAAAAGGAACCGAGATCTTTGGGTTATAAACTTACATTTCAAGTTTCAACAAAATTGGATAAAAATTGTAACCTCTATAGGATCCACAACCTTGATATACCATATTTTTACGCTATTTGAGAACGAAGGGCGGCCATTTTGTCTGTCAGTTTTGGGCCGATTTTCACAAAATTCGAACTTAGCCGTCCTTATGATGTAACGGTGATATAATAATACATTTTTTTAAATCGGATAAAAATTATGACCTCTATAGGGTCCACAAGCTAAAAATGCGATCTTTCGTACAATCAGGGGCCATAATTCCGGAAGTTACGGTCCAATATGCGCGAATATCGAAAGGAACCGAGATCTTTGGGTTATAAACTTACATTTTAAGTTTCAACAAAATTGGATAAAAATTGTGACCTCTATAGGGTCCACAACCTTGATATACTGTATTTTTACGCTATTTGAGAACGAACGGCAGCAATTTTGTCTGTCAGTTTTGGGCCGATTTTCACGAAATTCGAACTCACCTGTCCTTAGGGTGTAACGGTGATATAATAATACGTTTTTTTAAATCGGATAAATATTATGACCTCTATAGGGTCCACAAGCTAAAAACGCGATTTTTCGTACAATCAGGGGCCATAATTGAGGAAGTTACGGTCCGATATGCGCGAGGGTTATAAACTTACATTTCAAGTTTCAACACAATCGGATAAAAATTGTGTCCTGTATAGGGTCCACAAGCTAAAAACGTGATTTTTTGTACAAACAGGGGCCATAATCCATAAAGTGGCGATCTGATACATGCTAATATCAAAAGCAGCCGAGATCTTTTGGAGATAAACCTATATTTCAAGTTTCGTTAAAATCGGATTGTGACCTGTAGAGTGTCCACAAACAATTGTGGACGGACGTCCGGACGGACAGGGGCGACGACAATATACATCCACATGAAAATGTGGGTGTATAAAAATAAGTACACCACCAACAAGATAATTCATATGCTTGAACTCTTAATAGATATTATCTTTGTTAAATTTGGAGGAGAAATATATCAGCAATTGGTAGGTATCCCCATGGGTAACAACTGTGCACCTTTGCTTGCTGATATGTTTCTCTGTTCTTACGAAGCCGATTACATACAGGCACTCATAAAAACAAATAAACGATTAGTCATGGGTTGTGATTTCAATTACATATATATGATTATGTTTTATCACTGAATAATCCTAGATTAAGTGATCATGTAGAATTCATATATCCTGATAAGCTCGAAATTAAAATCACTACTGACAGTGACAATTAAGCTTCCTACTTGGATACTTTCTACTTGTTAACCCAGTATAGTTTGTCATTCAATTCCAAACAGTAATGTAAACCCAGCAACTGTAAATCAATCTGTTGTAAGTATTAATACGCCTTTAGTTAACCATTCTGCATCTAACCCTAATAATGTTCATCCCAAAGTAAACTGTGTTAATGTTAATCCCAATGTATATACATATACATTAAAGATACATTATGGAAGATTAGATAAAGAGCTGGCAGTTCTCGCTATCATAGTTAAAGATAGGTTGCCAGGCAACAAAACATACGCCCACAGCAGCTTAATCGTCCGAGCAGTCAGCAAGAGTTGTTGATTTAGCTGTTCAAGTTATCAAAAATCTCTCCCTCTCTCTCTCTGCCATAAAAAGTTTGACAAATTGACCCCTATATCTAATTACTCCTTTATCTCCCTAGAGAACATCTTATCTCTCTGGACTTGATTAAAGGATTATCCATTAATCCCATCTACACAAAAAACTACACAAGCTATTACTCCAGTCCCTTGATAAAAATCCTCCTAATTATTAGGAATGTGAGCATGGGGATGTTACATTCATCGGAGACGGACCAGCATCTTTGGTATGTGCCATATCACGGTCATCCTCTCCATCTGAAATCTTGGAAATCACTTCCCGGAACATTACTGATATTAATAATCACATCTGAATTGGAATCACCTTCCATGGCGAAGAAATTATTGAAGAACGAGCGTGAGAATATCAATCTGCTTTTATTTATAACTTTATAGATCAATAATACATCAAAGAGGTCAACAACATTATTTAAGACAAACATCACAGTTTAAAGGGTTTTTTCCAGTTTGAATTCCCATGTGATGCTTCAGAGTACCAGCTACTGCAAACAATTTACAACAAACATCACATTTATAACGGGTTTCTCCAGTAGATTCATAGAGAGCTACAACAGAGTACTGCAAACAGAACAGCTAAAATGTTTTTTTCCAATATGAATCCTAGAGTGTTTCAACAGAGTACTGCTGTTAGTGAATAATATACTGAGAACGGAACAGTTAAAAAGTTGTTTGTTCTCCAGTACGACTGCTGGTGTGTTTCTACAGACTACAGCAGTTACATGTAGTAAATGATTTATTACATACATCACATTTAAAAGGTTTTCCGCCAGTATGAGTTCTGTTAGGTAGAAAGGCAACCCCTTTAACCAGAGAAGATAGACGAACTCCTGGTAGATTATAAACTAATTTATTCTAAATGTTTTGGACTAAAGGTGTCCTTCCTCGATTATAAACTAATTTATTCTAAATGTTTCGGACTAAAGGTGTCCTTCCGCTGAGGGACACCTTTAGTTCGAAACGTTTAGAATAAATTAGTTTATAATCTACCAGGAGTTCGTCTATCTTCTCTGGTTAAAGGGGTTGCCTTTCTACCTATTTCATCTTCTTCCTGAACCCCTTATGTATCACTGAGATACCAGTTTAGATGTTCTCCGACTACTAGCCTCCAGCTACTTTAGACCTACTTTACGAAAGTTGTTGTAGTCTTCTACCACTTTTTTATGAGTTCTTTTGTGTATTTTTAAGCTCCATCCTAGTAATAAAACATTTACCAAAAAACATCACATTTGTAAGATTTGTTCTCCAGCTACTTTACGAAAGTTGTTGTAGTCTTCTACCACTTTTTTTATGAGTTCTTTTGTGTATTTTTAAGCTCCATCCTAGTAATAAAACATTTACCAAAAACATCACATTTGTAAGATTTGTTCTTCAGTGTGATTTCTAATGTGGTTCCGTAGATTACTTGTGTCGCTGAAAGATTTACCACAAACATCACATTTGTAAGATTTGTTCTTCAGTATGATTTCTAATGTGGTTCCGTAGATTACTTGTGTCGCTGAAAGATTTACCACAAACATCACATTTGTAAGATTTGTTCTTCAGTATGATTTCTAATGTGGTTCCGTAGATTACTTGTGTCGCTGAAAGATTTACCACAAACATCACACTTATATGGTTTTTCGCCTGTATGCGTTCTAATATGTCTCTGTAGATGACTTTTGTGGCTGCATGATTTACCACAAACATCACATTTATATGGTTTTATTCCGGTATGAGTTATCTGGTGTCCTTTTAGATTGCTAAGATTAATGAAAGATTTACCACAAACATCACACTTATACAATTTTACCCCTGTTGTAGTTTTGATGTGGGCTTGTAGACTACTACTTTGGGCAAATGTTTTGTCACAATGATTACACTTGTAAGGTTTTTCACCAGTATGAATTCTCATATGTGCTTGTAGACTATTACTTCTGGCAAATGTTTTACCACAAGCATTACATTTATAATCTTTTTCACCAGTATGAATTCTGAGGTGGTTTTGTAGAGGACTGTTGGTAGTAAATGATTTGCCACATATACCACACTGATAAGGTTTGTCGCCAGAATGAGTTCTCTTGTGCACCAGTAGATAACTATTCTGAATGAATGATTTACTACAAACATCACATTTATAAGGCCTTTCACCTGTATGAATTCTCATGTGTGTCTGTAGTTGGCTAAGATAACTTAATCTTTTACCACAAACATCACACTCATATATTTTTTTTCCTGTATGAGCTACCATATGTTGCTTCAGGTGGCTGGCATTAATAAAAGATTCACCACACACGCCACACTTATATGGGTTTTTATTGGTGTGCATCCAGATGTGATTTTGTAATTGCTGACTTTCATTAAATGATTTATTACATATATCACATTTAAAAATCTTGTCTTGCTCTGTCTTGCAATCTTTAGATTGTTCTGAAATCTGTTCTGTTAAGTCATTGGTCTCCTCAACTTTAACATGTATTTGACAGTGTTCCTCTAAATCGGCGTCAGATTTAAATTCTTCATCACATAAATTACACTGATAAACAGCTTCAATATCTTCAGTTTTCTCTTCTTTAATATGACAATATCCATCTACATCATCAGTTTTCTTTTCTTTAAGATGACAATATTCATCGACATCAATAATTTTCTCTTCTTTAATGTGTATTTCATTGTGTTTTTCTAAATCATCATATCTTTGAAATATCTCATCACATACTGTACACTGATAAACAGTTTTAACATCATTAGCTTCCTGTAATATATAAAAGTTATAACATCATTAGTTTCCTAAAATATATAAAAGTTATAACATCATTAGTTTCCTAAAATATATAAAAGTTATAACATCATTAGTTTCCTGTAATATATAAAATTTATAACATCATTAGTCTCCTGTAATATATAAAGATAGGTTGCCAGGCAATGAAACGCAGCTAAATTGTCCGAGCGGTCGACAAGAGTTGTCGTACATTTATTTTTTTTGTAGATAATTGGGGCATTTCACACAGATCAGATAATACTTTTCGTCGTTTGAGGGAGAGAGAGAGAGAGAGATGGGGTTTAACCTCCACTCGACAGTGGTTTGAGGTTTCACAAGGCTCTATAGACTGAAACAAGGGCCTTAACTCTTGGAGTAATTTACAGCTATTGTTGAAATTCAACAGCCTTTTTCGTTTTACTAATTAAAATAATGAATATAAATTTCATACAGATCAGATGATGACTTTCATAATTCTAGAGAACACAAGGTCCAACAAAGTGAAACAAGGGCCATAACTCTACAAGTAATTATTCCTACGCCGTCACCCACAAATGAATGGCAAAAGTTATTTATGGTCTTTCTCTCCCTTTCCCCCCTTGTTGGCTAGAGTCGTTTTACCCCCTGTTTTAAGCTGTGTTGAATTGATTCCTTGTTTCTCCTGCCACCACACTGGCTTTTTTGCGTAGTTGTACATCTAACATTTCGTCAATTAAACTGTTAAACACTTACTTATTGTTAAATAAACATCTAATTAAAGATACATTATGGGAGATTAGATAATGAGCTGGCAGTTCTCACTATTATAGTTAAAAACTAGAAAATGTAAAGGGAATTTGTTGAAAATTTCAGTCAAATTGATCCAAACTGAGCCAAGAATTTAGCCATTGAATTTTCGGCCCAGCCTCGATCAGCATTACTAAAATTGGTATGATAAAAAAACAGTCTCGATTATCCATTTCATGATTTAATCATGAATGAAAGTTAAGCAGCAAATCGGATCCTAATCCAGTAAATATCGCAGGCTAGCGATGACATTGAGAGTTGATTATGGTCTGGATAAGTTAATTAATGTCTAATTAATAATTTAGATAACATTTCAGGCCTAAAGAAAGACCTGCAATAGGCAGATTTAGCTCTTGCATAATGCATATTTAATTATTTGTTGTTAAATAAACACATAAACATGTAAATAAATAGGAAGCCTGATAAAGTAACAAATAAATATAATTACTTTGATCTAAAGCGTTATCTAGCTATAAATATGATCCAAGTTGAAAGATTATCTTGATTATCTTATATAGAGAATTGCTCCCACAAAAAAATCTCCCCGTTTTGTTTCAAATGGAAATTTAAACATTCAAAAATTCAGAACAATGTCCAAAAATAAAGTTTATGTATAATTTACCGGACAATTTGATGAAAGAAAACAATTTGGTTGAGACAGTATTTTACAAATATAATTTTTAGCGTAAATAAGTCGAGGTGTGAGAAAGGAATTCCAGGGGGCGTAATCAGTTGTTCTCTCTGCACATGGTTAGTACATGTATATACGTGTATGGTGCAGAATATGTGAACATGCGTGTTCTCACTATACAACGTGACCTAACGCGTCCATATTATTAACGAAAATATTCAATATTCATAACATCGTGGCAGTACATCGTTTTGACAACGACTGTGTATGACAAATAAATACCGTTAATATTGCATGTAAAATTACACTGAGGCCTATGTTGTCAGACGACTATCGTGGCACACGATAGCGACTGCTACACCGAGTTATTTATCGTAGCAATTTTCAACAAAAAACGACACGATAATCATGTTTCATTAGCGACGTTTGTACTATAATAGAATGGTGTTATGTACAGGTGAGTGTTTGATATTCAATTTTATACGGATATACTAGAATCTGAATTCTACACGACAGGGTCATTGGCCTTTATATCAAATTTAAAGCATGATTTTCTTTCTTTTTTGTAAGCTTTTATTTTGAGGTTCAATAATTATTCACTGATTCAACATAATTACATACAGTAGAATCTGTACGAGCAGCCACTCCTATTCAGCGACATCTCCTTGTAAGCGGTCGCGATAAATCCCCCCCACCCCCGGTAGAAATTCTATTGTTTCATCTCTTTAAACAATGGCCACTCCTCTAACGTGGCCAGCGGTCACTATTTTACTAATAAATTCATCAAAATAGCGCTTATTCAACGGCCGTTGTTGAATGATACCATCTTGTCGTACTTCGTAAATTTGTGCGTTTCCGTTTCAATGAAGTCCGCAAAGTCGGTTAGAAGACGAAGACATATTTTTTAACAGCGTGTTGTGTCGCTCATACTGGTTCTAGCGAGGTAAGCAAGGTCTTATTTTCTCACTAAGATGTTCATTTATATTGTTCAGGCGTTCACAGGAACTGACACGCGACCGTTTAGCAGTTAAAAGTTGCCCAGTAAAATTGACTGGGAAGCGATTTCAGTTTCGCTAGGGATTCAATAGGACGGTTCCTGAACGTACAGGCCGAGTGTAATGAGACCTACGTTCAGAGCTGAACTACTTGAGTGGCTGCTTAATACAGACAATGATTCCACAATGACTGTTACTGTTACATATTAATTATTAATATAAATATCTCACCATTAGTTGGCTTTTTTATTCTTATTGCCCGTTTTTCTACACAAAATACGCTGTAATTGCTGATTCAGATAATTTTCAAACAATAATTTCAATAAGTTTGCACTAAAATTCTTCAAAGTCAGAAGAAACCCTGAGCAAACGTCGCGAGTTGCGAGTTGTTGGTTAATACATGTAACTCTCTACGCCTTCAGTGACAAGAACAAAGACCACTTCCGAAGTAGCGTGGTATCCTTGTTTTAGACGAGGATTGAACAACTGTAATACTTCATAAATGAATACAGACAGTATAGCAGAAACAAAATCCACACAATAATACAGGCCGCTTTTCTTTCTTATTCAATTCTACTGCATTTTATCCTTTTTTCCCTTCAAATTCCATTTCGTTTACTTCACGGTCTATTTGTAAATGTTATCAAAATTTGTGAGATACTCGGGTTGGGTGGATTTCTTGATTGTCGTAAACCGGAAAACGTTCCAGTTTTTGGAAAAGAAAGAGGGTGACATTTGATTTAATTTGTAAACCTAACCCGAAACCTAACCCTAGAAATCTAATATTGTGCGTGAATTTGTCATAATTTTGTGAATTTTTATTTGGAAGAAAAGAAACTAGAAAAGCTTGTTTTAATTAAAGAGTGGAATTGTTCATGTTTTGGTGTTTTATTATCAACACAAACAGGCCAGATGACACAAACTGACAAGCAGTGAGTGAGTGACAGGCCAGCAGACACAAACTGACAAGCAGTGACAGTCCAGAAGACTGACAAGCAGTGACAGGCCAGCAGATAGATGGTAGGTTGTTAAATAGTTGCATAAACAGCGAATTTACAAACTCGTGTAATCCAACAAGTTCACTAAAAAATAGTTCAGCTCTGAACCTAGGTCTCGGCTGTATATAATGCGTACGAAAGTGCATTAGCGCAGCAATATTTATGAATGGTGATAATTGTCTTGGTTAGCATTTGCGCGCTGTATCATAAGGTCTGTCATTGAGTCAACTGGCGTGAGTTCGATTCCCCGGTTGTACATGACAAGGAGTAGGATCGTCTGTCCAACCTTGTGGGTTTTCTCCGGGTCCTCCAGTTTTCTCCCACTGCTAAAGACCCCTAAACGCAAGCAAATTATTTAAATAAAATTAAACCATATGTTTGTGCCGAAATGACCTAGTTTGTGTCGAGTGGATGTTAAGCCCTATTTCTCTCTCTCTCTTTTTTTTCACCAACCCCACTCCTGTAAAAGTCTAACCAGTGTGGCTAGACTCAGGAAACCACAACCTGTACATCATATGGTAGTCTAAGGACCCCAGGTGTGTCTGACACTTAAGAATCCACAAGATACCTGATCTTCTAAAGAATCCAATGATGTCTGACTATTCTAGCCCTCACACCCTCTTTTATAGGTACCTACCTCTAATTGATTTATGTCATAGACTGGTAACAGCTAAATTTCAAATATGAAATGACATGCACCATACACCGCGTATCGGCAGGGATATGTTTTACAGGAACTAAAGGTAATATAGCTTTATTTAAAGTGGCTAATGATATTATAATTTTATATATTGCAGGCATCTAATGATGTTAAAACCTTTTATCAATGTGTTGTATGTGATGAGATTTTCCAACAATATGATGATTTAGAAAGACACAATAAAATGCACATTAAAGAAGAGAAAACTGGTGATTTAGATGTATGTTGTAATGTTAAAGATGAGAAAACTGATGATGTAGATGAATATTGTCATGTTAAAGAAGATAAAACTGATGATGTAGATGAATATTGTCATGTTACAGAAAAGAAAACTGATGATGTAGATGAATATTGTCATGTTAAAGAAGAAAAAACTGATGATGTACATGTAGAAGGATATTGTGATGTTAAAGAAGTGAAAACTGATGATGTAGATGAATATTGTCATGTTAAAGAAGATGAATATTATCATGTTAAAGAAGAGAAAACTGATGATGTAGATGGATATTGCCATGTTAAAGAAGACAAAACTGATGATGTAGATGAATATTGTTATGTTGAAGAAGAGAAAACTGATTATGTTGAAGAAGAGAAAACTGATGATATTGAATCATGTTATCAGTGTAAATTGTGTGATAAACGCTTTAAATTAGAAACTGATTTAGTGAAACATTCTGAAATGCATTTAAAAGAAGCAAAATCTGTTTTGCGGCGTTTTAAAAAAAGGAGAAGATTTTTAGGCAGAATACTGGAAGAAAAACATGTAAAATGTGATGTTTGCAACAAGTCATTTACTGAAAGAGATTACCTTAAAGATCACATGAGAATTCATACTGAAGAGAATCATCAGAAAACTGATGATATAGATGAATATTGTCATGTTAAAGAAGAGAAAACTGTATGTATTGAAACATTGCATCCGTGTAATTTGTGTGATGAAGAATTCAGGTCTGATAAAGAATTAGGAAAGCACTTTAAAATACATGCTCAAGAAGATGAGTCTACTTTACAACATGGTAAAAATTGGGACCAAAGTTTTAACCAGTATAATGAAACTGAGATAGACCATGAACCAGACGCTATGAAACGTATCAAATGTGGTAAAAAACGACACATATGCGATGTTTGCAGTAAATCATTTGATAGGAAATCCAGTCTTCAGAGGCATATGAGAATTCATACTGGCGAGAAACCTTGTAAATGTGATGTTTGTGGTAAATCATTTAGAGATACAGGTAATCTAAACTATCACATTAAAAGTCATTCTGGAATTTATAAATGTGACGTTTGTGGTGAATCATTTCGTCAAAGTAATTCTTTACAGAAACATATGACAATACATACAGGGGGAAAACCTTATAAATGTGATGTTTGTGGGATGTCATTCACCTGGAATCATATTCTGAAATTGCACATGAGAATTCACACAGGAGAAACCCCTTTTAAATGTGATGTTTGTGGTAAATCATTCTTCAGTAATAGTAATCTACAGAGACACATTAGAATTCATACAGAAGGAAAGCCATATAAATGTGATGTTTGTAATAAATCATATACTAAGACTATTGGTCTTCAGAGACATATAAGAATTCATACTGGCGAAAAACCCTATAAATGCGATGTTTGTGAGATGTCATTCACCTGGAATCATATTCTAAAATTACACATGAGAATTCATACCGGTGAAAACCCTTATAAATGTGATGTTTGTGGTTCATCATTCAACTGGAATGGTCATCTAAAGAGACACATGAAAATTCATACAAGAGAAAAAAACTTATAAATGTGATGTTTAAAGAAAATCATTTGGCCAAAGACACAATAGAGAGAGAGAGAAATGGGGTTTAACGTCCACTCGACACAAACTAGGTCATTTCGGGACTAACATATGGTTTAATTTTATTTACATAATTCGCTTGCGCGTAGGGGTCTTTAGCAGTGGGAGGAAACCGGAGGACCCGGAGAAAACCCACGAGGTTGGACAGGCGACCCTACTCCTTGCCACGTACAACCGGGGATTCGAAACCACGCCAGTCGACTCAATGACAGACTTTATGATACAGCGCGCGCACGCTAACCATTCAGCCATCCAACCCCCCTGAGACACAATAGATTAGGTCAAGCTGTGTATATTGTCTAGTGTGAGAGACTGGTAGATTGGGTCTAGCTGTGTGTATTCTATTGTGGGAGGCTAGTATATTTGGTCTAGCTGTGTATATTATCTACTGTGAGAGACTGGTAGATTAGGTCTGGTTGTGTATATTATCTATTGTGGGAGGCTAGTATATTTGGTCTAGCTGTGTATATTATCTACTGTGAGAGACTGGTAGATTAGGTCTGGGTGTGTATATTATCTAGCTGTGCGAAACCTATAGATTGCATCAAGCTGTGTATATTCTGTTCCCTGGTATCACTTTCATGTTCTTTTAGGTTCACATTTCAATCAGTGTCCAAATGAAATGTGACTTTACCAGTAGAATCTGTAAGAGCAGCCACTCCTGTAAGCGGTCACATTAAATTCCCCCCCGGCAAAAATTCTATTATTTCATCTCTTTTAGAGCTGCAACGATTCAGTTCGGTGCACCGATAACCAACACTAGCCGCCTCGGTTCGATCCACGATCTACAACGTTCAAATTTCGATTCGGTACAATTGCAAATTAAATTTCAAATAAAAACAACGTACACCTTACCATACGAAAAAAAATGAAAGACCTGTAGCAATTAAGTCCACTTAAAATTTAAAAAAAACTTTGTTTTTACGTAACTTTTAATTTACGTTATTTAACAAAACACGAATGTCACTCGAAAACATAACTAAAACAGAGTGACCTCCCTTTAAAACAATTTTCGTATGCTGACGAAAGTTATTTAAAATTGGTGACGTACCGAATGTTCATTGGATGTTAATTTAGGTCAATAGCTTCGGTAATCGTTATATAAATTCTAAACAATCTCATCAGCTGATAATTCCGGTCATTATTTTCGGATATTTTCGTGTTTAGCGATTATTACCCGTAGTCAAGCAAACACTGGAAGGTAAAATTATGGCAGATGACGTACTTTCTCAACCACCTGGTCATTTGAAATCTAAAGTTTGGAATCATTTTGGTGTAAGAAAAAACTCTAAAGATGTGGCAACTTGTAGAGTATGCTACACTGACATATCCCATAAAATAGGAAACACAACAAACCTGTCAAACCATCTCAAAAGAAAGCACAGTCTCGATGTCAGTGTGAGTGGGCAGTCTAACTCTAAAACTAAACACGAAATCAAACTGAGTTCACCGGGACAATTTTAGTCTTATGTTTTTATTGTTTTTAATGAATTATATACAGGAAAAATTATTGGTTATTGTAGCTGATAATCGAATCGAAAATAATCGAATCGAATGGTTAAAATCGATAATCGAACCGAATCGAGGTAGTTGTGAATCGTTGCAGCGCTTTAATCAACTGTCACTCCTCTAACTTGACCAGCGGTCACTGTTTTAGTTATAAGTTTAATAAAACATCACCCATTCAACGGCCATTGTCGAATGATACCATCTTGTCACACTTTGTAGCACCTCTGGTAATCCTGTGATTAATAGTTAATTATCTGGTCCCCACTGATCAGGTAAAAAGAACTGAAAATAACAATAAACCCGGAATTATCTGTTAATTAATCATTTGTTTTATTAGATGACAAATTCTGATCTGCTGATCATTGTTTTCACACCTAAAAGAAACATTATTTGATACTGACTGAATAAACTATAAGTACCAATAAAGCCGTGTTCTGTCACGATCTATTTGATACGGATTGAATAAACTATAAGTACCGATCTACATGTAGTATCTATTTTCCATTGCCACTTTGTTGATAAACAGAAGTTTTAGTGCCTCCTATATTACTTACAGAGTTACACCACCAGAAAATCAGTGAAAAATTTAGAAATGTTTTTTTTGGGCATGTGATTTTCTTTACAAAAATGGATAAATATTATCGAATACATCACGATGGTAGACAGTAGTATCAATGTTGGTACAAAATGCTCATTATCAAACTTAGTCAAGGTATTGATGTAATGAAACTATACACCAAGTTTCATCACTCTCACTTAATTAGAACTAAAGTTACCGCGTCCCAAAGCATCAACCAATCAAATTGCTTATCTCTGCTTCCCCTAAGCCGAAAATGCTCATCTTCGAACTCCATCACATAATAAACACCTACACCAAGTTTGAACATTCTAGCTCAATTAGAAAGAGAGTTATTGTGTCCCAAAAAGTGTGACGGACAGACAGACGGAGGAACCCATTTTAAATGGGAAATAACACTCTTGCTGGCTTGAAAGCTCCAGAAAATAAATAATATCTCTATCTAAGTACTAGATGTTTAAGTGTCCTAACTGTTGTGTAAATTATCCATTACATCCTATTTTACTTGTCCAGAGGGTTCGAAAATATTTTTGAATCGAAGTTTCATTTGAAAAGGTTTACGTTAGACGTTTCAAACCATTATGTTGAATTTTTCAAATTTTTTAAATAAGGTGTGTTAAGACGAAATTTGTATCATCAATTAATTGAAATATTCTAAATAAGTACAATTTGTTGAGCAGAATAAAGATTGGGACATATTATTCAGTTACAACAAGAGTGGTATTGAGCCTTTAAGAGTCCCCTGCTTTCTTCGAAAGGCGGGGGACAAAAAAGTTAATATTGGGGACTGGATAAGCCGCACCGATGTCATCCCTCTCAGTGATTGTACCGTCTAGTGAATATTCCCAGCTGGTAAGTGTGATGTGGTACATCAAGATCTACATTCTCCCTTGCATGTGGGCATAGAACTGTACTAGAGGATATACACATTCTCCCATGCAGAGTGATCTTTACATGTGGGTACATGAGTTATATATAGAAACTAGAGTCCACATTGATCATGTGACAGCGTGTCGACACGGGGCCTGGTGGGCCATGTTAGTTCCGGGGAGTTTGAACGTAAATACCTGGATGTTCACTATGTTATGGCATGAATCAATCTGTGTCCAACTATTTTAAAACGAGCACAATTTTTAAATTTTCTCACCCAAATATTTATTGTGTAATAAAAATAATAATAGTGATCCATGGAATGACTTATCTCCGCACCCATAGAACAATTTAATTTGACATGTCAGCGATCTCAACCGCAGTGACAGTCTTTATTAAAGGTACATTCTCGTGTACAAACGGGGTGATTTGATGATATATTTGGCCTAAAAACATATTTAAACTAATTAATACATCATAAATTTTCTTCAAATCCTTCTCAAAACATTGTAATTGTCAAGGAATACCCTTGCTATAAAAAATCGATCAAAAGAGGTCATGTTTGTGTCACGCTTGACTTACACAAGACGATGTTATCTTTAATCGCTGACTATTTATTACAAATATCGAATCCTAATTAAATTCTCGGATTATCCACTGTGCGCGCCTTTTTCTGTGATTTTTATCTTAGAAAGTGTTGTACGTCTAACTTACATAAAGTTTATCAACATGTACATCAAGCGCTCAATCTCCGTGTGCAACCTTTGACGTCACGCGTGCAGATATTCCTAATCGTCAGGCTTTCGTTTAGGGGAACCCTTACATTTTTGTCCTGTATACGCTCCATGGGTGTTTTTAAGGGAATCCAGTATTTTTCTAGTAAGATTGGATATCTCTACTTTCCATATATACCAAAATTGCCATACTTTTATTGGAAATAACCACCCGATAAATACTTTTCTGGGAATCTATCTTTAAATTATTGATCTTTTAAATTAGTGCAATCCCCACAATATGTATTCCTATACAGCCAATTTGTTAAATTTGCCCAATTGTTTTAGAAATTTATGGAACTACTTTATACAGCCAATTTGTTAAATTTGCCCAATTGTTTTAGAAATTTATGGAACTACTTTATAAAGAGTGAAGAGAAATGAATGGGTGTTTTTTTTAAACAATAACAAGGTCGGGTGTTCGATCCCTGCATTGGCCAAGAAAGTTCATTCAGATTTTCTGTCGTGGTTTCCCCTTGTCAGTGATGCAGGATGGAGGGCCTGACAAGGACAGGTGTCTAGTCATTCCGATGGGACAAAAAACCAAGGTCCCATGTACACATTGGCGTGCACGTAAAAGATCCCTTGACAGTTGCAATTCGATATAAGAGTAGGCTGTAGTGCCCCTCTCCGGGCAAAATTTCCCTCATAGCACACTGTATGGCGTATGCCCGTCTTCATTAGCCCAGTTCGGAGCAGAACAGCTAAGACGTTAAACCCCATTACATTTCATTTCTGTATTTTTAATATGGGTCCTGACTACAGGAAGTCTATTAAAGATACATTGCCCTGAAAGTATTTATCGGGCGGTTATAGAAGTATGGCAAATTTGGTATGCATGTATATGGAAAGTATAGACACCCGATCTTACTAGAAAAATATTGGATTACGCTAAAAACACCCATTGGGCAAGCACTGGGAAAAAATACCAAGAATTAATTTGAATTAACTCCATTTATAAGAAGGGAGCTGGGTATAACAGAAAATAAGATTCACCAGCGTGGCACAGGACAACAACCCAGTCGACGCATAGAGTTGCGTACGAGCCAGGGGGAGGGAGGGGCCAGGGTCAGCTGCCCAACCCTAACTTTTCAGGTAGACGGTTAAAGATGGAGAAAAAATTTTTTGATATAATCTAGTTGGTAAAAAGTTTATTTTCTGTTTATTGAATACCATGAATTTGTACTGAATTGACTATAGGGATTAAAACTGCAAGATTTTTCAGGCATTGATTATTATTTGTGGAAGTAGATCCAATAGTCAGATTCGATGGTTGGAATTCAGGTCAGCAAAAATTTCTCGGGCACTTGGTATTGATGCCAAATGATTAAATAGGTCATTTGCTGCGTATTTAAGGATTGCCAAGGAGTAAGGTCCCTTGTTCAACCTCGGTCCCCGGTTTCCTCCCACTGCTAAAGACCCCTACGCACAAGCGAATTATTTAAATAAAATTAAACCATATGTTAGTCCCGAAGTGACCTAGTTTGTGTCGAGTGGACGTTAAACAACATTTCTCTCTTGCTTATTTAAGGAGCTTAATCAAAATCAATTTGTGAATGTGAACAAAGGTTCTGTGTAAATGTGAGAGAGGATGGCACAGATCCATTACTATCTGCCGCCAGTCGTCGTAGGCCAACAAGATAATATCTGGTTATTTATAGTTATTAAGACTCTTGTCACCATCCGTATCATCTGACTGGAAATATATCAATACCACTCCCCGGTTGAAACATTTATCATTACAATTTCACAAAATCCATAACACATCTGGTGGTAAGTTCTGTCAGTATGAAAAGTTTTTCCATTTTGGCCGATCTTTAATAATTATTTTTTTCTTAAGATTCTTGAATTTCGTAACATCTGATGGGAAGTAAAATTTTCAAGATTTTAAGTAGGTCGTTTGGTGCAAATTGTTAAAATTTTACTCTCTCGCGTTTTAATTTTATTGTCAATTCGTCGGTAGGCAGACGAAGTGACTTATCGTCAATAGGTACGGTATGAAGATAAGTCACTTCGTCTGCCTACCGACGAATTGTCTAGATAAACACAGTACATGGCTTAACTAAAGATTGTAATGACTGTGTAAGGGTGTGATTGTGTTGTATAAAACCTGTCCAAGTAATAACTTGGACAACTCTAGTTACAACTATTTTTTGCCTTGTTTGATTATTATTGATTTACATCTGGCCTTCTTGTCTAAAATCAAGAATCACGAAATTTTCTGTTCCAGCATGTATGTGTGCAATATGATCATCCTTAAATCTTGGAAATAAAATTTAAACCTCTAGGTTAATCGTAGGAATCAGATTTCTGTAACGGTAGAAGGTCGTGACAACAAACACTATAATGTTAGACCAGTGATTCAACTAAACAATCCCTCCTATTGTTTATTTTACCAAACCAATGAATTGACAACTCTCTTGCAATGGCATCAGAGATGATATTACACAATTATCTTGAGAAGTTCGTGAAATGAATACTAAAGAGGGGGTGATAAATATTAAACAAGATATTGAACTCCTGAAGGCAGAACAAGAAATAATGAAGCAAAGACTTGGATGAAAGTGAAAACAGAAGAAAGGAGCATAATATATAATTTCATTTTTATGGAATAAAAGAAAAATAAAGTGAGGTTGAAACTCAGGGTGATTAATCCCGTTTACACTTCGCCGCGATAAGCGTGCCATTTTCGGCACGGTAGCAGCCCGCGATAAATTTCAAGAAATTGACCCATTTACAAATGTCTAAGTTCTTTGGAAAAAGGTCAAGGTTCATTTGGCGCATACGCTGTAATCCGCACTGAGAATCGTTCGCAGACCGGATAGTGTTTACACTACGAAAAATTAAGCGTACTGTGCCTAGCACCGTGCCGAGATCACCTTCCTTACTTCTGTCGGCGAAATTGGCACGGCACGCTTATGTTTGACGTGTTTACACTACAAAAAAATAAATAAATAATCGTGCCGTGCCTGGCACGCGTAAAATTTGTAATGTAAACGGGGTAACTGTGAGCAATTGGGCAATTAATCAAGGATGATGTTTTGTCCGATCTACCAGGGGTGAGCGGGAATTCTGAGATTAATATCGAGGGTATATTCAAAGAAACAAAGAAAGGGTACGAACGATATTGGTTGTGTTTAACAAACTGAGAGACAGAGATTTAATCCTAGAAAACAATTTAAAGATTCACTTTTCAAAACGTGTTCGTGAAATAAGAAAAGCTTTGATACCCCATTTAACAGAAGCTAAGGAAGCCAATAAACGGGCATTTCTTAAGAATGACAAACTCGTCATTAATGTGGTAAAGATAGACTATACTGCTTGTATGTCACAAACACCTGCCTACGAAGACTAATGAAGGCAAACGATGGGTTAAGAGATGTCTTTTTCACAGCCCAACCAAGCCAGTTGTATATAGACTATCTTTCAGAAGTATTAAAGGACAATATTGGTGTCAGTCATTATCACATATTATGTGATAGAACTGGTTAAACACGTTCCAAATATAATTTTAACACAGAGATCATTGCTACGATAGATGCATTATGAAGCTTTCAAGAAAGGGGAATAACGAACGTTAAAGGTAAACACGAGTTATCCTTCTATATAACTGACTGAAGTGACGAGTGATAACAGATACACGGGCGAATTTCTGCCCACTAATAATAGTTTTTATAACACTAGAAAAGAAGTGCTGTTGGAAGTGTTTCTAAACTGAACACTTTGCTTGAAGTGTTCATAGAAGTTTATTAGCAATGAAAGCCTTGGTGGATTTTTTTAAACACTTCAATGGAAGTTTCTTTGGAAGTGGTTCTAAATTAGTGTGTCCGATTCCCCGTTTGTACCTGACAAGGAGTAGGGTCGCCTGCCAACCTCGTGGGTTTTCCCCGGGTCCTCCGGTTTCCTCCCACTGCTAAAGACCCCTACGCGCAAGCGAATTATTGAAATAAAATTAAACCATGTATTAGTCCCGAAAAGACCTAGTTTGTGTCGAGTGGATGTTAAACCCCATTTCTCCCTCTCTCTCTAAAATGTGCCAGAACTGGACACTTCAGAGGAAGTGCTCTATTGGAGCCGTGTGCTTTGTTTACCTAGAGGGTAAAACTTTTAAAATTAGCGACTGATATTCCAAACTAACCTATTTAAGCACAGAAATACGAATAATGTCATTCACTTGAAATACTCTTTTTTTTAAAGAAGATAAACGACGTGGGGCATTAAACTAATCCTATCACAAACGTTGTATCCATCGAATAATTTTCATATCACGTCAATCAACAAACAATACGAGGCTACTTTTTTTTAAAAAAACCCCAACAAACATCGGTAAACTTACCTCGGTCGTGATCAGTCAACCAAGCTAGTTGATTATTGGGTAAATAAAAACAACCGATGAGTAAAACTTATTTATTCCATAACCATTAGTAATGTATTATAAGGTCCATGGCTTAAAGGAGCTAAATCGCTATTCTTTGGCACCTAGAAATGGACACAAATGGCTCGCAACCAAACAAGGCTAGCGCTTATCCCAACCCTAACCCTGACCTACAATCTCGCCAACAACCACGTGCCCTAACCTTATTTACACCTCCGTGACCTTGACTAAAATTGAGCTGGCCTTAACAGATAGATTCAACCATAGATCTTGCCGTATGAACAAAGGTCACTTCCGGAGTAGCGTTGTATCCTGATTTTAGACGACGGATTGAACAACTGTATGAATTCATAAATGAATACAGACCGTATAGCACAGCAGAAACAAAATCCACACAATAATATAGCCCACTTTTCTTTCTTTTTGTTCTATTTTACTTCACGGTCTATTTATGTAAATGTTATTTGTGAGATACTCGGGTTGGGTGGATCTATGTCTATAATAATGTTATATGTCGTAAACCGGAAACCGTCCCAGTTTTGGAAAAGAAAGAAGGTGAAAGAAGATGCTATAAAAGAATGTTTTACAGGGCTTAATTGTTTATATTTTGGTGTTTTATTCCACACAAACTGACAAACAGTGGCATGCCTCCGGACTGATGGTAGGCGTTTTGAAAATATAGTCAGTTGCATAACAAACATTAGTTCAGCTCTGAACGTAGTAGGTATCATTGGTAATTGGCTGATCGGGACCATGGCTGATTGGGACCTGGCTGACTGGGACCAGATTTGTGGCTGATTGGGACCAGATTTTTGGCTGACTGGGACCAGATTTTTGGCTGATTGGGACCACGACAAGGCTCATTCGGACCATTACTTAAATGACGCGAGTATTTAAAATATGTTTGCATATTTTTGATAATAAGACAACTATGACAATAAATAGTGTAATTAGTCACAAATAATAGTGTAATTAGTGAATGACGGCTTCAATACAAATGAGCTAAATCACAGAGAAGATGCTTTACATTCTTGGCTGATTGGGACCAGATTCTTGGCTGATTCGGACCAGTAATTTTCATGTAGTCATATAGTACACTTTCCTAGATATCACCTACCTGTTTACTTGTGTTAAAATTGAGTCTATAAATCGATTATGATTTTTTCTTTACAAGGTAGGATTAACATTTTGACTGCTTTTATATACATCATATTTGAAATAATCGATTACCATTGCTACTGTATTGCTGGTATTAATTTTCAAATTTGTATGGTTTAAACATTATTTCTATAACATAATTACACACACGTCTATATGTATAATGGATTCGGATTTCCGTTATGCTACTGTATTGCTAGTATTAGTTTTCAAATTTGTATGACTTATTGAAATTAGCATAAATTGGTTTAAACAGTATTTCTACGTATAATTACACACAATATATAGGCTATAATGGATTCCGAAACAAGCTATGAAATTTATAAAATAAAATAAAAATGGTCTGTTTAAATTGCATAAAACGTATGATAATTTACATAAGATTAATGAGATAATCTCTGTTAATATAGTAACTGTGCCATAAAAAAATGGAATATAAACATAAATAACATAGGCCTACATAAAAGCACATAATTATAGTCACGCTATATCCTAGATAAAACTCCTTTAAACTTAATTCAATATCAAAACCTCAGTTTCTAATATTTTTTATCGTGTGGTCCAAATCAGCCTAGTGGTGGTCCCAGTCAGCCTGGAATGTGGTCCCAATCAGCTTTGACTTTTGGCCCAATCAGCCATGGTCCCAATCAGCTTGGTTCCGTATCATTACACGTTCAGGAACCGCCCTAATGAATCCTTGTCGAAAAAGTATCCCCCAGTCAATTTTACTAGGCGACTTTTTACTGCTATACGGTCGTGTGTCAGTCTCTATGAATGCCTGAACAGTTTAGTGAGAAAATAAGACCTTGCTTACCTCGCTAGAGTCGGTACATGTGCAACACAAATGCATGACCACTCGGACCAAAGACCACTCGGACCAAGACCACTCGGACCAAACAAAAAGACTACTCGGACCATACAAAAAGACTACTCGGACCAAACAAAAAGACCACTCGGACCAATAATAAAGTTTTGTTTTAATAAATTGTGTTTGTTTTAATTTGACAACTAATAAATAGATAACGAAAATAACAAAAATAGATTAAAACATATAATTGAACAACGAAATGTACATAACAACAAAAGTGTGTCTTTTTTTCTGTTGAAAGTAAATGCTGTTTTGAACCTCTTTGAGCCTGCACAGAACATAGTTGATAATATTTTAGAAGAGCAAGGTGATAGGAGTGGTCTTCCAACATAAATTGATTGGGCCGAGAGGCAACATAAATATTGATCTAAGTGGTCTTCCAACATAAATTGATTGGTCCGAGAGGCAACATAAATTGATTGGTCCGAGTGATCTTCCAACATAAATTGATTGGTCCGAGTGGTCTTTTGGGTTGGTCCGAGTGGTCTCCCTTTTCGTCCGACTGGTCTTGGTCCGAGTGGTCTTTGATCTGAGTGGTCCGGGAGCCGTGCAACACAGCATGCTGTTAAATATATGTCCCCCATCTGCTAGACGGCTTGGCAGAAGCCATTGAAATATAAATATAGGGTAACGCACAAATTTATGTAACTCGGCCATATAAGACGAAACAAAATTTAGGTAAGCAGGTGAAACAAAATTTGAATTGGGCGATACGTTCATATGTTATTGGTCGACTCTCTTCCACACAGTATTTGTCATCTCGTCCACACCGGTATTTGTTGACTCGTTCACAAGATATTGGTTGACTCATCCACATGGTATTGGCCGACTCACTCACATGGTATTGGTCGACTTTTTTGAACGATATTGGTTGACTCATCCACATGATATTGGTTGACTCATCCATATGGTATTGGTTGACTTGTCCAAAGGTATTGGTTATGTTAATGTGTTTCAGGTTGTATCAACGATTAGTCTGGAGCGATACGTATTCATAGTTTTCAGTACGGTTATATTATACTGTTACAAGTTACATTTTCTTGGCCGGTTATCACTTTTATATAGAACAGGAAACTAATGTTATAACGTTTATGTGTTACAGGAAACGAATGATGTTAAAACTTTTATATACCACAGGAATCTAATGATGTTGTAAATTTTATATATTACAGAAAACTAATGATGTTACAACTTTTATATATTACAGGAAACTAATGATCTTGTAACTTTTATATACATGTATATTACACAAAACTAAGGTGTAATAACTTTCATATATAACAGGGAAATAATGATGTTGTAACTTTTATATATTACAAGACACTAATGATGTTACAACTTTTATATATTACAGGAAACTAAAGATGTTATAATAACTTTTATATATTACAAGACACTAATGATGTTACAACTTTTATATATTACAGGAAACTAAAGATGTTAAAACTTTTCACCAGTGTTGTGTATGTAATCTGATATTTAAAAAATATGACGACTTAGAAAATCACAATAAAATACATGTTAAAGATGAAAAACCTGTAGATCAAAATGAAAGTTGTCAAGAGAGAGAAGAGAAAACTGATGATATAGATGAATATTGTCATGTTCATTTTAATCAGGGTAAAACTGAAGATGAAGAAACTGAAACTGATTTGATGAAACACAGCAAATCACATGTCACACAAGAAAAGAGAGACAGGAAAACGACTTCTAAAAAAAACATGGATCCAAATATACAAGACAGGGCTTGTTTTAAATGTGATGTTTGTGGTAAATCATTTAATAAACGACGGCATTTACAGAGACACATTAGAACCCACACAGGCGAGAAACCATTTGAATGTGATGTTTGTAGTAAATCATTTACTGATGCGAGTAACCTATACAAACACAGAAAGATTCACACAGGAGAACGACCTTACGCATGTCATGTTTGCGGCAAGGCTTTCAGTCAGGCAGTTGGTCTACAGCGACATACCAGAACCCACACGGGGGAAAAACCTTTTAAGTGTGACATTTGTGATAAATCTTTTGCCCAGCTCGGTGGTCTGCAGACGCATATAAAAACTCACAGCGGCGATAAACAATATCAGTGCGGAGTTTGTTATAAATTGTTTCACGACAAAGGTAATTTTTTAAGACACATGCGGATCCACACGGGTGAAAAGCCTTATAAATGTGATGTTTGTAGTAAATCATTTACTCAGAGTGGAACTCTACAGACACACATGAAAAGTCACGCTAGGAAGGTGCAATGTGAATGTGAGTTTTGTGGTAAATCATTTTGTCATACAAGTCGTCTAGAGCAACACAAATGTAGGGAGAAGGAGTTTAGGTGTGAGGTTTGCGATAAATCGTTTACACGGAACAGTAATCTACAGCAACATATGAGAACTCATCTAGAAGATAATCCCTTTCAGTGCTACATCTGTGGTAAATCGTTCGGTCAAAATGGAAGCCTTCAGAAACATTTGAAACTTCATTCAGGAGAAAAACCGTTCACGTGCGACATTTGTTTTAAATTGTTTAACAGCCGTGGTAATCTTCAGAGACATATTAGAACCCATTCTGGGGAAAAACCATTTATTTGTGATGTTTGTGGGAAGTCGTTCACTAGAAATGATAATTTAGTAGAACATATCAGATCTCACAGTGCAGAAAAAACTTTCAAGTAAATATAGTGATCACATTGGCATGGGTCAGGGGAAGTGGTCCCAGGCATACGCTTTTGATCATAAGTTCTATTGATGGGACAGGTGCTATGGGTTCGATCCCAAGCTGGTATGTGATGGGGGATAAGGTCATATGTCCAACTTCATTGGTTTCCTCGAGTGATCCGGTTTGTTCTCACTGCAAGCTAATTATTGACATGAAATTGTATCAAATGTTAGTCCCTTTTTGTAAGGAGAGAGAGAGAGAAATGGGGTTTAGCATGCACTTGATACAAGCTAAGTTATTTCCGGACTAACATATGGTTTGATTTTATTTAAGGAAACCGTAGAAAACCCATGAGGTTGGACAGGCTACCCTACTCCTTGTCACGTACAAGCAGGGAGTTGAAACCATGCCACTTGACTGAGATGCAATAAACTACTAGACCTCCCAACCCGAGTGGTTGTTAAACCAACACATGATCATGTTCAACAACCATGAAACTATATGAAATGGGGTTTAACATCCTACTTTTCTGCACTGACTGGGATATCAAATCAGGTACTGGTATTTATCAGAAATAATTACGATTTGATAGGCTTATTTCTAGTGCTAGTTAATAAACAAAATGGATGGGAGGAAAAACCAAGGTCCTTATGTAGACGTTGATATGCTTGATAATGACAAGAGGACACTTGTTGAAACGTTGCACTATTAAAGTTGCTAGTGATTGTTATCCATAAAGTTGTGTTGTGTTTTTTCAATGCCCAGGGCAGTCAGAGCTGATCAGTAGGACATTAAACCCTATTTCACTTCATTTCAATCAGTATTTCTTGTTTTATGTCGTATTTGTTTATGATAATGACCCAGAAGGCTTTGTGTAATAAGCAACGGCACCATTGTGTAATATTCCACCTGAAGCTTAAAATATAAAATTCTAAATGTGAGTTTTGTTTAAATTAACTAGAATACAAATTTCAAATTTCAGTTGGAGAAATTCTTAAGACCACTAATGCTTAGTTACAATGTAGTAAGGAGGACATCTTGGGTTTAATCCCCAAGTTGACCATGCCAATAAACTCCCTATTTTCCTGTTTAGTTTCATCTTGTCAGTGATGGAAGACGAAGGGTCTTGCATGAATAGTGCATAAGTGTTCAGATGGTATATATAAAACCACAAAGTGTCCGTAGATTTACCCAATAACTGCTTCAATTACCCAAAACAACCTGTAACTTAAGATAGTTGGAATTTTAAAGTAATGTTTTAAGCCAAGAAATGTCATTGATTTAACATTAAATTTAGGTGATAATTACCAGTCTGTATACTAAAGCTTGAGAAAATTACCAGTCCATATACTATAGTTTGAGATACATGTACATGTAATTACCAGTCTGTATACTGTAGTTTTAGATAATTACCAGTCTGTATACTATTGTTTGAGATAATTACCAGTCCGTATACTATAGTTTGAGATACATGTAATTACCAGTCTGTATACCATAGTTTGAGATAATTACCTGTCTGTATACTATAGTTTTAGATAATTACCAGTCTGTATACTATAGTTTGATGATAATTACCAGTCTTTATACTATAGTTTGAGATTACAGAAATATAATACGTTTATCCATCGCCCGTCATAGGTCAATCAAGCTTTTTGGAGTAAATAAAAAAAACATTAAAACATCCGATAAGTAGGCTAAGGCTTATTTATTCCATACAATTAATGTGTGTACGAGCCAACTATTAGTTGTGTAACCCAATCTGATTAAAATACAGATCTATATTTCGTTTCGTCTTTTATACTTTCATGAGGATCTGACTGGTAGTAGTGGAAGGTCACGTCAGAAATCATACGAGGGGCTTTTGACAATAATGACGTTAGACATATAATTAACCAATCAGTGTTGATGTTTCTAGTGGGTTACCCACTTCAAATAAATACACCTACAACATCTTCATTGAGTCTGTGCAGAAATCAAAACAGTTATTAGGGGTCGTATGTATTGTACGTTTAAAATAGATTAGTTTTGTGGGAGGATTTAATGCAAAATATAAGTAAATACAACTGTTTTGGGGATGAATTCTGATTTTCTGAAAGTAATTCCGGTGATTTTTTGTGTTTAAAGCAAAATATTATTAAATAGGAAGATCTTAAGTGCAATTTCCGATATTTTGAAAGTGAATTCCGGTGTTTATATGTTTTCAAAGTGAATTCCAGTGGTTTTTGGTGTTTTAAGTAATTCATTATTAATATTAAGGAATTATGTGGAGTTTTTTTTTTATCAGAATATATTTAAATTTAGAGTGAAGCAAAGTAGCCATTAGGGGATAAAACCTATTGATATTCTGCATCCCATGACCTTCCATTCCTTATCTACATGTATGCTGCCCCCTTCCTTTGCCAAAAGTCTTGCCTACTAGGGTTGCAGGTCTAATTTCGTAGGTTTTATACTGGTCCCCCCCCCCTCCTCGCTGCTAAAGACCTAATTGATTAATGAAATCAAAATGTACCCTATTTGAGTCCAAGTGTGTGAGCGCTAAATATGTTCATTGATTGTGAGTTAACCGGGATGGGGGATCCACGTCCTAAACCAATATTCAACCACCATTGTACAATTTACCGGAAGTGAATTTCAATGAAAGCAGAAACAATTTAACGGACGTTTTAATGTCTACAATATCAGCCTGTGTGAAATATGACTTCACGTTGGAAGCAGAGATTTAGTAATCCCTGCTTTTCGCACAAAATACGATTTTAAACTAAACAAAGCATGCCTGACTAAATTAACAAAGTTGCCAGCCCCATTTACAATTTACCCTTGTTTTATACAATAATAAACTCCAGTTCAGCTAGGATAAACATTACCAACAAAAGAAATGGTAAGTTGTGTTCACTGCTGATTTTTCGATCTTCAAGTGAACTTAACCCCATCTCTCTCTCTCTCTCTCTCTCTCTCTCTCTCTCTCTCTCTCTCATGTAAACATTGCACTGGCCATCAATCAAATGATCAACTGTGACATCACATGTAGAAGTCATTTGAACTTATAAAGGTCAGTCATCTTACACAGAGTTAGGGTCCCTATAATTGAGCCCTGGACATCAGATGAAGCACCATTTAGGTAAAGCGGTCCCGTTAGAGATATAAGACTGTCTTAGAAAAGCTGATTATGGGAATGATATTTCGAATAAATGTTGAAAGCAGTGTCTTCCTTTTTATCGTGTGTGCTGCGTCATAAAGCCTGTCATTGAGTCAACTGGCGTGGTTTCGAATCCCCAGTTGTATGTGACAAGGAGTAGGGTCGCCTGTCCAACCTCGTGGGTTTTCTCCGGGTCCCCCGGTTTCTTCCCACTGCTAAAGACCCCTACGCACAAGCGAATTATTGAAATAAAATTGAACCATGTTAGTCCTGAAATGACCTAGTTTGTGTCGAGTGGACATTAAACCCCATTTCTCTTTCTCTCTTTCTTTTTATGTTATTTACTATTTTTTATTGATGAATGAATAGCAATAAATAATGTTTTGCTCCTGATATTATAAATGGGAGATGGAAGGGGGTCGGGGGTGACAGAGAGAGTGAGCATAAGAGAGAGGGGCAGGGGGAGTGAGACAGAGAGATATTGAGAGATATACATGGAGGGGAGTGAGAGAGCAAGCAAGAGAGTGTGAGGGACAGAGGAGAAGAGGAGAAAGAGACAGCACTCTTTAAATGGCATTTGAACATAATATACATGTACAGGTAACACTACAATAGTGTACTCACTGCTTGGTAAAATAATACCTATAAGAGTATTGAAATGTTGTATGTACATGTAATAAACTAAGAAGTACATGTAGTAAATCCATAAAGTTGTGTTTTCATGAATGATAACACTAGTATAACCACTTATGTTTGACAACCGTCAAGATGGCTAAGAATATGACAATAGATATTGGATGAACTGAATAGTCAGTAGAGATGAGGCAATCATAAGGTATCAGCCAATAATTGTGTTATCGGTGACATCAGTATTTGCTCATTGTCATCATCCTTGTGATTAAATATCTCAGGAAATTAATGATGTTATATAACTTTTATATATTACAGGAAACTAAAGATGTTATAACTTTTCATCAGTGTCTTGTATGTGAAGAAATTTTTCAACAATATAATGATTTAGAGCTACACAATAAAATACATGTTAAAGAAGAGAAAACTGCTGATATAAATGAATATTGTCATGTTAAAAGAGAGAAAACTGATGATGTAGATGAATATTGTCATGTTAAAGAAGCGAAAATTGATAATGTAGATGGATATTATATTAACAAAGACAAAACTGATGACATAGATGAATATTGTCATGTTAAAGATGAGAAAACCGAAGATGTTCAAACATGCTATCAGTGTAATTTGTGTGATGCAGAATTCAGATTAGAAACTGATTTAGAAAAACACTGTGAAATACATGTTAAAGACGAAGATTCTGTTTTACAGCATGGTAAAAATTGGGAGAAGAGTTTTAACCAGTATAATGAAACAGAGATACAAAAACAAATAGGCTCTAAAAAACGCATGATACATGTGCATGTTTGTGGAGTTTGTAGTAAATCATTTATTAGAAAGTCGAGTCTACAGAAGCACATGAGAATTCACACGGGAGAAAAACCCTATCCCTGTGGAGTCTGTGGAAAATTATTCTCCATTTTCAGCAATCTAAAACAGCACATGAAAATTCACACCCATGAAAAAAACTTTAAATGTGATGTGTGTGGGAAATCATTTATTACAAAAAGTGTAGTGAAAAAACACAGAAGAACTCATACACGAGAAAAGCCCTATAAATGTGATGTTTGTAGTAAATCATTTATACAGAGTAGTCATTTGCAACAACATAAGAAAATACATTCTGGGGTAAAACCATATAAATGTGATGTTTGTAGTAGAGAATTTACTGTTTTCACCAATCTTCAATCTCATGAAAGAATTCATACCGGCGAAAAACCATTTAAGTGTGATTTTTGTGGTAAAACTTTCGGTCAGGGTAGTAATCTAAAAGCACATACAAAGATTCATACCGTAAAGAAACCTTTGTAATGTATCTTGTTGATGGAGAAGGGGAGATAACTCTGGAACAGAAGGTTGCTGAGTGCTGTATATCGACAGGATTCATCCTCTCATGACCTCATTGCTTCAACCTTTGTAATGTATCTCGTTGATGGAGAAGGGGAGATAACTCTGGAATTAAAGGTTGCTGAGTGCTGTATATCGATAGGATTCATCCTCTCATGACCTCATTGCTTCACACCAAATTTGAAAGAAATCTGTTAAGATCTGTAGTGTGTGTTCCAGTAGACATACGTGTATGTGGCATTAACACAGGGTTCCATTCGACAGGTGTCTTGTGGTGATTGAGCTTTTACAGTTGCAGCACCCATACTATGAAACAAACTCCCAGCATTTGTAAAGGAAGCCATAACATCAGAGTCCTTTAAATCATGCTTGAAGATTCACTTATTTAATTGTGAATGCCAAACTTGACAGTGTGCTTAGCACCATAGTTCTGGATGAGAGGCACTATACAGTCCTAGGACTAACTAGAAATTAGGCAGATTTCTTCTAGTTTAGGAATGTGACTTCAATTGAACGTAGAAATAAACAAATTTAATAACAATTTAATATAATGAAAATAAAATTGATTCAATTATTCAAAGATTACATAATATAATAATAAGCTTATTTAATTAGATGTAATATCTACAGCATCTTGTCTAAGCCACGGTATACAAATATCAGGTTCTATGAGATTTTCAATTCAAATTGAAATTGAATAAGAGAAACTAATCAAATTAAATATAGAAAGAAACAAATTTAATAACAATTTAGTATAATAATAAAAAATTGGATTCAAACATTACATAAAATAATAATAATAAGCTTATTTAATGAGATGTAATATCTACAGCACCTTTAAGAGTATAACTCATTAAGTAATTATCAGAAAATCATTAGAATTTGTTTCGCCCATGTTGATGTTTAGTATACAAAATATTTAATACCATGGATTTAGGTGTTCGTGTCAAGACCTTAAAATCTGAATATCAATCCAAAGTCAATCTAAACAATTATGTAAAGGCGTAAACGAGGTGTATAAATATAAAATCAATCGGATGATACATGTAACTATCTGGCAGTAATTATCGGAAATCATTGAAAATCAATAGGCTTCTTTGTCTGATGACCTTAACTTTAGCCTCTAGAGCGTCCACAATATTTTTCAAAGTGATAAAGGGCCATAACTCTGGCAGTAATTATCGGAAATCAATAGACTTCTTCGTCCTGTGACCTGAACACTGTGTATAAATTTAAAGTCAATTGGATATTAACTTTACTTCTAAAGGAACCACAACCTTGTATTACATACTTTAACGCTATTTGCGTACAGGGAACGAACATTGTGTCTGGCAATTTTGGTCCAATTTTCACGAAATTCGAACTGTTATATTTTCAAACAGTTTTTTTAAATCAAATAAAAACTGTGACTTCTAGAGGGTCCATAAGCTAAATTTACAGTCCGATACATGCCACCTATATTTCAAGTTTCAACAATATCAAATAAAAAACGTGACCTGTAGAGTCTCCACAATATGGACAGGGGCAATTCGGTCAATATTCGTAAAAAAAAAGTGTTAAGCTGTTATCAATCAACCTCATCATCGATAATAAATATGTTTTATATAAAAAGAGCTTTTTATTTTTGAAATTAAAATGTTGTCATTTGATACGCCCAATGGCAGGTTTATAGCTGTCAACTCTTATCTAATAATAATGCTACTCAAGATGGACATGTTGTTTTGATTAGCATTCCAGGCAATTAAAATTCAGTGAACCCGACCAAACCCAAACATCCAAAATTTAGCTCTTTTTTCTAGTTAGTCCTAGGACTGTATATTAATTTATTAGTATTATTTTGAACTCTGTAATAAAAACAAAGATAAACAACAAATCCGTGCCAGAGTCTGAATTTATGCCTGACAATATCTGTGAATTTTGACTTATTTGCAGGGTTGATTAGTGATAACATCTGTGACCTTTGACTTATTTACTCGGTTAGTTAGTGATAATATCTGTGACCTTTTGACATATTTGCTGGGTTGATTAGTGATAATATCTGTGTCTTTAACACTGGGAGGAAATCAGAGGTTGTCATGTACAAGCGGGGTATAAAAACCATGCCACTTGACTCAATGACAGATCTTGTGAGAGAAAGAGAGAAATGGGGTTCAACATCCTCTTGATGTACGGTTGTATGTGACAAGGAGTAGGGTCGCCTGTCCAACCTCGTGGGTTTTCTCCGGGTCCTCCGGTTTCCTCCCACTGCTAAAGACCCCTACGCGCAAGCGAATTATTGAAATAAAATTAAACCATATGTTAGTCCCGAAATGACCTAGTTTGTGTCGAGTGGACGTTAAACCCCATTTCTCTCTCTCTCTCATTCAGTCTCCCACTGGACAAAACAGAAATCAAGTTGCTGATGATGATCCATGATAATAATAACTTTTATTTGAGAATCGTTTGGAGGTCTTGTGTACACATTGGCGTGCACAAAAAAAAAACCTTCAGCTGTCCGGGAAAAGTTTCCTCATGGCACAATGTATGGTGTATGCTCGTTTTCATTAGCCCAGTCGGAGCAGTTATATTTAATTTTTGTTTGTTCATCTGGTAATAAAATAGTTTTAAGGATAATTGCAATCTTTATTTATTACGGGTAGAATTTTTATCAATATTTTAATATGCCCACATTGAAATGTGGACGTATATTGCCGTCGCCCCCGTCCGTCGTCCACAATTTCTTGTGAACGCTCTAACGCCAAAAGTTATCCAATTGTTTTGAAATTTATGTATGTTGTTTACATTTGTGAGATGAAGAATCCTATTTAATTTCAATAATTTCCGGTTATTACTTCTAGAGTTATGGCCCTTGTTTCACTTTGTTGAACCTTGTGAATGCTCTAATGCCAAAAGTTAACATACGATCTTTGTGAAATTTATATGCAATATTTAAGTTTGTGAAACGAAGAAGTCTATTGAATTTCAACAATTTATGTTTACTACATCTAGAGTTATGGCCCTTGTCTCACTTTAGTGAACCTTGTGAACGTCAAAAGTTATCATCCGATCTTTCTGATATTTATATGCATTATTTAGATTATTGAAACCAAGAAGTCTATTGAATTTCAGCAATTAACATTTATTACGTCTAGAGTTATGGCCCTTGTTTCACTTTATTGGTCCTTGTGAACGCTCTAACGTCAAAAGTTATCATTCGATCTTTCTGAAAATTATATGCATTATTTAAATTATTGAGACGAAGAAGCCTATTGAATTTCAGCAATTTCCGTTTATTATGTCTAGAGTTATGGCCCTTGTTTCACTTTATTGATCCTTGTGAACGCTCTAACGCCAAAAGTTACCACCTGATCTTTGTGAAATTTATATGCATGATTTAAATTAGTGAAACGAAAAAGCCTATAGTATTTCAGCAATTTACAATAATTACTTCTAGAGTTATTGCCCATGTTTCACTTTGTTAAATCTTGTGAACACTCTAATGACAACAGTTATCATCCGATATGTATGAAATTTATATGCATCATTTAAATTTGTGAAACAGGTCTATTGAATTTTAGCAATTTCCGTCAATAATTTCTAGAGTTATGGCGATAGTGAACGTTTGAATGACAAAAGTGATCATGTGACCTGTATGAAATTTATATGCATTATTTAAATTAGTAAAACGAAAAAGCCTGTCAAATTTCAACAATTTCTGTAGATTACTTCCAGAGTTGAGACCCTTGTTTCAGTTTGTAGAACCTTGTAAACCCCCAAACGACAAAATTTATAATCTGATCTGTATGGAACTGTCTTGTAAAGGCCCCCAATTACCTACAAAGGAATAAATATGCGACAACCCTTGTCGACCACTCGGACGATTTAGCTGCTGTGGGCGTATGTTTTGTTGCCTGGCAACCTATCTTTACCTATACTCGAACCCCATTTGCTCACATGATAGCTGTATCAAAAATCTTTTGACGCCAATTACCTTGGTTATCGAGCAACTGAATTTAATTCCAATACATTGAACATTGTGACATCAATCACATTGGTTATCAAGCATCTGAATCCCGATCCCAAATATTTAAAACATTCACTTGAATACATTGAACTATAACCGTGTTTATATGACAAATTTTAAGTGTGCCAGGCACAGCACGTTAATTTTTTGTTGTGTAAACACAGAAGCGTGCTGTACTGAGTACTCTGCCAATTTGGCCCACTGAAGTGAGGTGGTCTCAGTACGGTGCCAGACATGGCACGATTAAATTTGGTAGTGTAAACTCTATCCGGTCTGAGAACCGTTTTCGGTACAGATTACTGCGCAATGCGCCAAATGAACCTTGACCTTTTTTCCTGTGAACTGTGACAGCTGTCATCAGTTCTGTCAAAATGGCTGCCCAAACTAAATCAACCACCATAATTATTTTCATCTGGGTAATTTGCATATATTTACTGCTCTGTGTGTGAAATAGCTTTATTTTACGTCGACTTGTTAGTGATATTGGCGGCCATGTGAATATTTACTGCTAATCAGTTTGATTCGTGTATTCTGAATTGTGAGTTGTTCGTGTTGGATGGATTCACGTCTCTATTGAACCATATAGAAAGCTACACCGGAAATCAACTATATCGTGACTTGGCAATTGATCAAAAATGGTAAGTTGATTTGGTGTCCAGTTGAATAAAGGTCATAGCAGTGGTCAAGTTCAACGTACTACTTCAGATTCAGTTAGTTACTTTAGTAACGGTGTATGATAGTGATAGAGGCTAGCCGCTCGCGTTACGCCACCTAGGTTCTAAGGGCAAGGCTATTTTAGTATATTTTTCATTGTGATTCTTCTTTGTTCGCCAAAAAAGAATCATTTCTTCACACATCTTACACAAATTTATAATAATTCAACACTATTTTCAAGTAGAATTTTGCACTTCAAAAACACAAATTCATTTTAATTGGACTGCTATAATGAAACATGCTTACGAAGATTGAAGGTCACAGTTTCGCTATGGTTAGCCAATTATTCAAAATCTAGGAATGAAATGGTACCGTAAACAAAAGTTCTAACTGTGTTTCAATCAACAGACTAAATTTTCAATATTGATACCACTAAAGTTTTTGTATTCAACATACATAAAATTGATTAATACACAATTGAAGTATAGCAAGTCATTTTCTAATGTTTGAAAGATTTTGGGGTATTTATTTCAATTAATTGTCATAAGATCAATTATATTTGAGTGATTGTTTTACGTACATTAAGAATATTATCCTATATATTCCAGAAATAGTGAATTCATAACCATATATCGCATATATAGCCTACAGTAGAATCTGTATGAGCAGCCACTCCTATTCACCAACATCTCCTTGTAAGCGGCCACGATAAATTCCCCCTATAGAAATTCTATTGTTTCTTCTCTTTAATCAACGGTCACTCCTCTAACGCGGCCAGCGGTCACTATTTTACTAATAAATTTAACAAAACATCGCCGATTCAATGGCCATTGTTGAATGATATCATCTTGTCGGTCTTCGTAGCAACCCCGCTAATCCCGTGATTAATAGTTAATTAACTGGCCCCCCACTGATCAGGTAAAAAAAATGTGAAAATAACAATAAACCCGGGATTATCTGTTAATTAATCTTTTGTTTTATTAAACGACAATTTACACGTAATGAAACATTATTTGATACTGATTGAAAAAACTAAAAGTATCAACAAAATCGAGTTTTGTCACAGTAATCTAGTATCTCCTTTCCATTGTTACTTTGCTGCTAAACAGACGTTTTAGCGCCTCCTATAATATTACATGCAGAGTTACACCCCCTGATAATATGTGACAAATTCAGCAATGGTTTTTAGTCCATGTGCTTGTTTGATACAATAAAATTAATTCATGGATAAACATTATCGAATGCATCACAATAGTAGACAGTAGTATCGATATTGATACAAAATGACACGTTTACAGAAGTTATGTCGGATATTTGAGTCAGAGAATTTTCGTCTCAAGCAAGTTTCAGCGACGGCCAAATTTACCAATGCAAGTATTGATGTTTGCTTCCAATGCATCCAAGCGTAATATTTAATTGATGTCAGCACAAAAAAACACTGATATTTTATTAAGAGGCCACTCCCGTTAAGTGGTCAATCTTGAAAATTCCCTTGATTGGCTGCTTAATACAGATTCTACTGTATATAGAACCAAATCGGCTTTGCTGTACAGTGGGTCATTTATCCTATATATTTCAGAAATACATATGATATGTACCCAATTCATCGCCTTTATAACATATAGAATTGAATCGACTGCACTGTGTGAAAGATTTTGAAGTATTTATTTAAATTAGCAAAATAATATCTAAGCGATTTTGTTATATAAATTAAGAATATTATCTATTATATCCCAAAAATAGGGAAATTCGTTGGCACATATACTCCGAGAACGGCAGGACAGATCAGGGAGAGTACGTTTTGGCGCTACTACACTTTTGTACCACAAATACTTCCCATGGTCGTAGAGACTTGAAATTTTCAGGCGCTGTTAAGGGTGACTATTGATGATAACACACTAGGAACACCTGTACGAAAGTGTAGTAGCACTGAGATTTCTTTTATCATTAACAATGAACCCCCCTTCTAAGCTTGACCTTCAAAAAAGAGGCTGGGCTTAAATCTGCCTTGCTGTGCAGAATCTATCAAAATCTAACACTAACCCAGACAGTCAGTAGGGTAGACATTGTTTATCAGACATTCCGTAGAAGTTGTTTACCAGACAACATGGTGAGCTAATTGTTTTTACTCAGGGTTCTGGATTTGATCAAGTTTTTGTTGGTTCCTCTAGTATTTTTAAACCTGCAATGCTGCTAATAATATTCAGACACCACTATTGGAAATTCCACTTATACCATATTGCAAGGATTGCCAAAGATTACCTATATTACTTATCAACATTTTCATCAAGCTTTTGACTTTTAGAAATGATTTTTCTACTTGATACATAAAATTATTTATGATAATTATTTTGTTTACCCAATCGAGGTGACATACTCCAGAATTATATACTCAAAGCCATGCACTAAACATTGATTGGGAGAGAGAAATAGGGTTTAACATCCATTTGACACAAGCTAGGTTATTTCGGGACTGACATATGGTTCAACAATTCGCTTGCATGTAGGGGTCTTTAGCAATGGGAGAAAAGCGGAGGACCCGGAGAAAACCCACGAGGTTGGACAGGCGGCCCTTCTCCTTGCCATGTACAACTGGGGAATTGAAACCATGTCAGCTGACTCAATGACAGACCTTATGATACAGCGATATAGCGTGCACATGCTAACCATTCGGCCATCCAACTCCCCAAACATTGATAGTAAACTTAGTAATGTTGTGACTAATGCAAATGATATGATACCCCTACTCTTCAGCACAGTCTGAGTTAATGAAGACGGGCTTATGCCATTTTATAAGATCAAGTTTTTCTAAACCAGGGTTTTTTTTGCATAGCTTTTGACTCTGTGTGGTGATCGGGCATTTGACAGGGCTTTTCCTAAATGATGATCATCTTGTAG